TCGCACTCACCAAAAAATTTTCACATTCCATTTTTCATATTTATCGGCTTCTTTATCAGACGTGATAAAGATCTTTCGTCTTCCCTCTCTTCTGAATATACCCAGAGCTGCCATTGACAAAAAAGTTGCAGGACTTTCGACCAAATTACAAGTTTTAATTTCTTTGTTTATTTATTTTTGATAAGTAGGTATTAAATCTCTTTTATCTTCTGAGTATATCACTTTTTAATTTTTATTAATTTTTTTTTGTATTTTTGTGTTGAAACATTTGTGTAATCATCTGGAACCAAAAGTGGACTAGTTTGACTTTTGGACCCTTAGTCAAGTTCATCGTTGGATGATTGGAAAACCTTGCTTGATTAGAATTTTATCAAAACTAGAATTTTCAAGAAATCTACAATAAATAAATAAAAAATTACACAAGTACTTGAAAATATTACCAGGTTTTTTTGTTAGGTTGATGATTTATTTATTTCCTTAACTTTATTTGAGTTGATCTTATGGTGCACGATTTTTTATATATTATTAAGATTGATATATCATTAAATATATATATATATATATATATATATATATATAATTTTTTAGCCTTTACATCAATTTCTTATATTAAATATTCAATCATGGTGAGTTGATTTAGTTATAATTTTTTTATTTTTCTTTTCTCCAATGAAAAGGGCATTTTTGAGAAAAGGCATTCCCTTCCAGATTTAATGATACTCAACCAAATAATAAAATGGTAATAATCATTCCATTCCATAACGATTCACCGTATCACACCAAACATTAGAATAGTAATATTCATTCCATTCCATTCCAAATTTCATTCATTTTCATTCATGCACACCAAACGTAGCATAAGATTCTTAGAATACCAAGAACACCTTCTCTAGTGGTTATTTCAGCATCACTAAGCTCGAAAACTAATTCTAGGACATATTCGAACTTCCCAGTACCTTTCCGAGACTCCAACACCTCTCTAGACACCCCCACGCGCCTTTACACTCTTCCAAACACCCTGCACGCATTTCCATACACTTTCCCACGCACGCACGCCCTCCCACGCGCTCGAGAGTGAGCACACGCTCACACGCGCTGAGACGCGCTGCCACACGCGCTGACTATTATTCCTGGTGACGCGGCGTGCCCCCATTGGTCATTTGCACAGTGTCCCCATGGGTGCTGCACCGAATCGATCTGGCATCTTCAATGGCCCAGATCTGTGCACACCATAACATACACATGCCATGCCGCACCGGATTGTTTCCTCTGGTCAACCCCTTCTCTGAGGTTCAGATCTGCGAGCACACCACTATACTCTACACCGCGCTGCACTGGATTTCCCCCTTTAATCATCAAACCCATCAACCCTCTGTAATGCGAGCGCACCACACTGAGGTGTGCTGCGCCGCACCGTAATATACCCTAATCTAAATGCACCGATTCTCTAAACCCTACAGTGGGTTTATATATGCAGTATATATATTTTATTTATACATATAACTAATTGTATAAATAATTTTAAAAATAACAGAAAATTATAAAACCAATCTAAAAAAATATAAAAAAAATTCCAGAAATTCTCCCAGAAATTATAATTAACCCTCCTGGGTTACAAATTCACCTATACATTGATTTTAAAAATATACAACATCTATATACGCAATTAAAATCCAATAAATCCACAAACCAAATATAATAATTTATATTTTTAATTATTTCGATCTAACATGATTTAATTAATGAATTTAATCTAAAATTCTGGCACCCAAGGTGATAAATTTATGGGTCCTAAGAAGAGAGTTAGAAACAACTCGCCTGAAGATTTCGAAACGAAATTGAAGCTTTAACCTTTGATTGTCTCTTCCAAGTTCCGGCATCATCTTTCTCAAATCCGGCCTACTCCTTGTCCGTTCTTTCTTCTTCTTCTTTCTCTGTCATCACATTAAGCGCTTTAAAGCAAGATTGGTGGTAAAAGGTTACACCCAAACCTATGGAATCGATTACACAGAAACGTTCGCACCTGTAGCCAAAATCAACACAGTTCGAGTCTTATTGTTTCTAGCTGCAAACTTGGGTTGGCCATTGCAACAATTCGATGTGAATAATGCTTTTTTGCACGGTGAATTATCTGAAGAAGTCTACATGGATCTCCCACCAGGATGCATGAAACCCGAAAAGTATAGTCGGAAGGTCTGCAGGTTAAAGAAATTATTATATGGGTTGAAACAATCTCCAAGAGCATGGTTTGGAAGATTCACAAAGTCTATGATAGACTTTTGCTATTGTAAGAGCAATTCAGACCACACGTTATTTATGAAGAAACAACATGGTAAGATCACTGCACTCATTGTATATGTAGATGACATGGTGGTTGCAGGGAATGATCTTGAAGAAATGAAGGCTCTCAAAAAGTACTTATCCAGATAATTCGAAATAAAAGATCTAGGTCCTTTAAGATATTTTTTTGGGATCGAAGTATCTCAATCTAATAAAGGAATCTTTCTATCTCAAATAAAATATGTCTTATATCTATTACAAGAGACTGGCATGACAGCGTGTCAACCAGCTGAGACACCAGTGGAAAAAGGACTGAAGTTATGTGTTAAGTCTAACAAAGTACCTGTTAATAAAGGAAGATACCAAAGACTTTTAGGGAGATTAATGTATTTAGCACACATGAGACCGGATTTGGCTTACGCATTGAGCATTGTTAGCTAGTTTATGCATGATTCTGGATAGCAACATATGAATGCGGTTATATGCATTTTGAGGTTTTTGAAATCTGCTCCTGGAAAATGAATTTTGTTCACTAAAAATGTTGGTTGTCAAAACATAGATGCATATACTGATGTTGACTGGGCTGGAGCTATAGATGACAGACGATCTATTTCTGGTTACTTTATTTTTGTAGGAGGTGAGCTTGTTACATGGAGAAGCAAGAAACAAAATGTTGTTGCTCGCTCGAGTGCAGAAGCTAAATTCAGAGGTATGACGCTTGCACTTTGTGAAACATTGCGGTTAAGACTTCTCTTACGGGATTTGGGTTATCTACCTGGACAACCTATTCGACTATATTGTGACAATAAAGCAGTGTGTGATATTGCCCATAATCCAGTTCAACATGATCGTACGAAGCATGTCAAAATAAACAAATTCTTCACTAAGGAGAAGTTGTATGGAAAAATTGTGGAGTTGCCTAAGATTCGATCTGAGAATCAATTAGCCGACATTCTCACTAAAGCAGTCTCAAATCAAGTGTTTTCAAAAATTTTAGACAAGTTGGACATGTGTGACATTTATGCACCAACTTGATGGGGAGTGTTGAGATTTTATCTCTTATAGTATAGTTTTAGGATTGAATTATTTACTCATTGATTTATGACTAATTGATAGGTAATTAGTTACCTATTTTAGCTAAATCCTGTTATAAATTGGATGTAACACCATCAATGAATTATTGAATGTGATTTTAATTCTCGTATTCTTTCTCTGTATTTCAAAATTATTTTATTAGTACAAGTATTCCAACAACAAAATATTATTGGTTTTAAATAGAGGTGCACGCAAATTTGTTAAGATTCAACATAAATATACCATAAAATAATTCACCAAGGGCCTTGTGGCAATAATTCAATCTAATCCAATTCATGAAAAGCTCAATAGTTCTACAAATTAGCTTTTATAAATAGCACCATAATTTATAAAGAAAATTAGAAAATAAAAAATACCTAATGATATGTAGCTCGTAAGGGCACACTCGCGAGAGAGTGAGTCGTTGGTTGATGGGCAAAGAGATATTTAGGTCTGGTAGACAGTTATAAACAAATTGTACTTCTCTTCATCATTGTGGCGAAATCTCCTCATCCATTGACGTAATCATAGAGTTTGGTGAACCATATAAATTATGTGTTGTATAATATTATGTGGATGTTTTATTGCTTTTATTGGATCCTCCATTGTGTTATTGTTGTCACAGTGCGTATTATGAGAAGTTCGACCAGTTGCATTATTGAGGATCGATCCAAATTTCTCAGCTATGATTTCCTACAAAGTTAGACCGGTCACACTTGTCTGGTTCGCGAGATTTTGCTATTTTGGTGATTTATTAGCCCTTATTCCGCTGTGCCAAACCCAACAAGTGGAATCAAAGCTGACGGTTTAACTGAGATGTTTAGAAGATCCATAAAATACAAGAAGTTTCAATAAGTATTGCAACGGATTCAGTTCCAGGTGGAGTTAATTAGTTCGCTTAGTTAGTCACAATGGCCGTCAGGTTCACTCTCAACCCCAAAACATTGAATTATCTATTAGCTTGCAAGTGTTCTCTTGGCCCATAAAAGTTGTGGAGGTTTTGTTTTTAGCAAAATTAAAAGGATAGTGGGTTTCATTATTTAAGCTCTCTTTGAGCCTAAAAGAATAGTGGGTTCATTATTTAATGAAAAATATAAAGCCATTTTGCTCTCAGCTAAGGTTCACTTTTAGCCTAAAAAGTGGAGTGGGTTTGTTCCCTTCAACCCAAAAAAGATAAGGTGGAGTGGGTTAATTCTCTTCGGCCCGAAAAAAAAAAAAGTTTGGTTTTTTAGCTAGAGAAAGACTAAAAAAGAATCGCAAGGAGTTTGAGTCAAGGTGGAGCCTTGAAGGACAACAAGATTGAAGCCAAATGAGTTGCCCGATTTAATTGTCATGGAAAGCTTTGATTGACTGTGATGAAATTTGAGCAAATTTTTTTTTGTCTTTGGTTCAGTTTTTTGAAATTTTTTTTCCTTAAAAATCAGTTTATAATAGCCATGTTTTTAGATAAATATAAAAGATAATTTCTTAAAAATATTTTTATGATTCAGTAAGAATTAAAAAAACAAAAAAGAGTTATAAAAAACTCATAAAACAAAACTGTGTCCACAAGACTGTTTATACAAAGAGCTTGCTTATATTTTGCAACTCAACAACTCATTGTTTTTTTATTTTTATTTTTATGGAACCATGAAGGACAATTTTTTGAAAACAGATATACATTTCTGTCATCAAATGTTCTCCACATCTCCTCCAAGTACAGATGGCCCACTAAGCTAGTCGATTAAACGGGAAGGGGTAAGATTGTTTGGCGCGAACTCCATTCCTAACGACGCCGTCTGCCGGATCAAGAAACTGCTGTACGAACGGATTAAAAAACCCTAGGCACAAACATTTCACCGCCGTACACACAGTACACATGCTCTACGATGATACTGGGAACTCGAATTTCAAACCCATTGTGGTCTCAACGTCCCCTTTTCACTCTCTCTTATCGCATCTACTCTAAACTCAATTTCTTCACATCACCTTCTTCAGCCAAGGTTCGACTAAACTCAAATATCTTTTCTTATTTTCCACTGAAAATTTTCTTTCCCATCCCTTTTTGTTGCCGAGACAGTGTATGGAAAAGAAAAGTAAATTTAAATTCAGAATCCTAAATCTCAGTGAGACTATTTGCGGTTGAATGGGTTGATTATCAGCTAAACACGTTGCATTTATTTTAAAGTTTGATTGATTTTGCTTTTCGAGTTTGTTAGACGCTGTTAATGGACTATTGCCTCAGGTATCAGACTGTTTGGATGGAGATGATGATTTCTTGCCGTGGTTGTGTCGCAAGGCTGGGATTGAAATTTCGTCCGGGCTATCAATTGGGAAGTCTGCACATGGCAGGTCTAATCCCTCTGTTTTGTTGAAAATCTTTACCATTAAATTGATGATTGTTTCTAGTAACAATCCAAGGTTCTTATTAATTTGTTGCCTTTCGAAATTCAATCACTTCAGAAAGATTAACTTAAAGAACATTACTCTTCGAGAGTTTCCGAATTTGGTCAAATTTGTTGTGGGGTAAGAGTTATATTTTAAAAAGGCCTTTATCCAATTGCATATGTATGTTGTCTGTTTAAAAACGAATTGCATTTATCCCCCAATATATATATATATATATATATATATATATATATATTTCAGGGGATACAATGTCTTTGATTGTTAAGTTACAGGACCGATCAGGGAGAACTAAAATGATTGTTGAAGTTATTTATATTGTTGTGGTTACAATAATTCCTTTCCATTCCGAAAGGCAATTTTTGGAACTTGTAGCAATTGAAACATTTAAGCAAATGATAACAAGGCCATTGCGACTTTGAGAGTATTGTACTCTAGACAAGGAATAACTTTTTTTTTCTTTCTTTTGAATGGTAAAGCAAACACACACGCGCAAACACTTTTTGCCCACGCCTGGGCTTGAAGCCTCCCCTACTCTTTGAGGATGGGGAGATCCATTGGGCTAGAGGTCCTTTGGTCTTTTACCTTATCCCTTTTGATTTGGGTTGGACTGAGGAGCATTTATACCCAGCTTAAGGTGAAGCAACAGGGTATGGTTCGAAGCTATTTATGCTTTATCATTTGCAACCCAAGGATTGTGATAAATGCTATACATGGTGGCTAGTTGACAACTTACAGTGTAGGAATTAGCATGGATTCCACTAGTAAATTCTGTGATTATTGTAGTTGTTGCTACCTTACGCGTTCCTTTTAGGGCATTGTGCCTGCTTTGAAGGTCATGCAATAAATGATGTTTTTCATTTTACTGTTGATGGGAAATTCATTGGACAACTCCCTGCCTGGAAAATCAACACCACTCCTAATTCCTATTTTTTACAAAACATTTTATCATTTTCATTGAGAAGGTGTATACAATCAATCAAAGTATAATGACAAAAACATTTTGCATAAATCATAAGGTCATTGTCTAATCGAATAGTTTGGAATTCATGGGACCATATTAATTGATTCCATAATAAAGTTCCTGGGCAGAGCTCTGCTATTCAATTTACACCTGAAGTGGGAAGCTAAGTTCACAGTTTTTGCATTATGTTAACTTGTTTGTCTCTCATGGTGGGCTAAAGAAATGCCAATATTAACATTTTTTACAGAGGATAAAATGCTGTTAGACACACCTGATGTTTATAATTAGTGTCTTAGCAAAGGATGAAATGCTGCAGATATACTTGATGTTGAAAGTTAGTGTTTTATGCCAGAAGCTAGAGGGAAAAAAATTGCAGAATACACAATCGATGGATGTAAAAGAAATGCAAACACAATTTTAGGTTAAAATCTGGGGTATTCAGACGTGACATGTGCTGTGCAATTTTATTTATTTATTATTATTACTATATTTCTAATTGCAAGATAAATGATGATTGTACCATTAAAGGATGGCTGATCCCTGCAATTTGCAATTTTCTCTTGATAGTATTTTAAAATGAATGGCCACTTTTGCGGTTCATTGGCAGTGCTACACCTGGAATGGTAGCTAAAAGGAAGATTTATTAAGTAATTGGTTTATTTGTGTGGTTAATTGCCTACTTGGGTTCAGAACACCTAGGATGTTTTCCCACGTTCAGATTATTGGCTGATATCCGTCTTTAAAAACTGATAAGCTATAGTATGTGAAGATATGCAGTTAATTTTATGATTTTCTTGGTGAAGAAAGATCAGGTGATATGCAATTGATTGGTTTATTTATTTATTTTTCCTTTCCAGCAATGACTCTGAGCAAAAGTTCTCTTCATTTTCTACCCTTTTCTGCTAAATTTATTGTTCCATCAATGAGGACATCAAGCTTAGTTGTCAAAAAAGTTTTTTGCCATGTTATGAGATTGAGAATCTCTCATATCATATTGCAATAAACTTGTCTGCAAATATCTGTTCTTATTTAGTTGTATATGTATTTATATATATATGCTCCGACAACAGGTCATTATTTGCTTCCAAGTCAATAGAAGCTGGGGATTGCATGTTGAAGGTTCCTTATGATGTGGTATATTATTCTGAGTTGCAGTTTCTTAATATTTTAAGTCCATTCTGTTGCTTGGGCATCCTAAACTTTTGTGAATGATTCTTTTGTATGATTTGCAGCAAATAGCACAGGATAATCTCATTCCAGAAGTTAATTCTTTGTTAAGTGATGAAGTTGGCAATGTTGCAAAGCTTGCTATAATCATTTTATTTGAGCAGAAAATGGGTCAGGTACTGTTTACTTTTTGTTTTTCAAGCTTCGTAAGGATAGTTAATCTTTATCAGTAGTTGTGTATATTTGACACCCTGTTGCGTGTTTCTGATTTTTTGTTCATCAGGTTGCGTGCTTTGATGTTACAATTATTCGGCCTGTTTTGAAAAACAATTGGAGCTGAATAATTATTTGCTTTATCCTCCCTTTTTTTGTGCAGCATTCTGAATGGGCCCCTTATATCAGCCGTCTTCCGCAGCCTGAGGAGATGTATTGCACGGTAATTTATTTATTTTTTATTAGTGTGCTGTAAACAATTTATGTAGTAGATACAACCAAATGTAGTTATTGCCTGATGCGTGCTAAAGGCTAATTTAGTGATGTTAGAGTTTTCTTTTCCTTTTTTTTTTTTTTTTTTTTTTGGGGGGGGGGGGTTCGTGTTTATGTTTAAATAGAGATCCATTAATAGGAACTTCTTCATATTTTTTATATCTCTATGTCATGATAGATTAAGCTCAGTTTGTCAGATCAAATAGAAGGTTGTATGTAAATAAAATAATAAATTGATTAGAAAGAACACTAGGTATGGTGTTATACAATAACAAGTTACTTGGCGCTGTGTTAAATCTTGTACATTTCAGGTTTTTAAGTCTAATAGCAGCTACTTTGAAAAAAAAGGTGCATTTATTACAAGGCCAAGAGAATACACAACAGTGAACATATTATATTCGTTATGGATGGAGATGGAGTGTTGTTGGTCTTTTGAATGGATATTCACTAAAGCTGTATGCAGCACTTATCAAAATAACACCCTAAAGAGACTTATAAAAGGAGAAAGAATTACACCTCAAGAGTCGAGATTTTCTGGAACTAATTCTATAGGATATGTTAATATGTACAAAGAACTCTTATTTTTGCTTATGAAATGTAAATTAACATGTTATGGGCTGCTCCTTGTGATCTCTAATAAATATTGAACTGAATGTTGACCTGCTTTTAGCCTTAGCCTTGGAGAACTAATAATTTACATTATCAGTCTACAAAGTACACACTTTTTAAAGTTAATGAAGAAAGCATTATTTGAAGAGGCAATATATACCTGCCTTCATTTTCTTTATACATCAAAATTAACATTGTCACAACTTCTTTGGTTGTGATCTTTGATACTTGCACAGGTGATCGTGGATTGATGTTTTCTCTTTATCATTTAAAAAAGTAATCTACTGTAGGTCAACTAGTTTCCTCTTTTTATAACAAACAGATTCTTACAATTGAGCAGTCTTATCACAATATTTGAATACATTTGTGATTAATGAAGTTGTCAATATTTCTTGAAGGACACAAGTTCCTGTATGATGTTTAACGTGTGTACTGTTGGAATCTTTGCAGATATTCTGGAGTGAGGGAGAGTTGGAGATGATTCAGCAAAGCTCAGTATATCGGGAAACTAATAAACGAAATACTCACATCGAGAATCAATTTTTGGCAGCTAAGCCAGTAAGTAGTTATTGTTTTCCCTGTTGGTTCACAAGTTTATGTCCTGTTAGTTCACTAGTCTACTGCCTCAAGCTGGTGGTGGTACTATGGCCCAGTAGCTGCTGGGAATATGTTGCAATTCATATGGCTTCTTTTTAATTCCAACTAACCTCGTATATGATTTATATCCTAATAGACCGGATGAGTAGATCCAGCAGGTGATAACTTTGGTTGTAAGATGGTAGTATCATTGATGCTTGTATTAAGTTCTATAACAATGAGAATGCCAAGAAGCAGGGACCTAAGTGGGGTACCAAGCTGTCTCATGGAAAAGGTGGTGGGGTTAAACTTTGGTGATCTCTTGAGCCAGTACACTTGGTATTAGTTACATTTTTTTCCCCTTCCGTCTACTTTTACTCAGGTCATTCACTCTTTTTTTTTTTTTTGGGGGGGGGGGGGGGGGGGGGGGGGGGGGGTGGTGTTATACTACTTCGTCATTGGGTATGGACCCTAAGTCCAAAAGATTATCTAATCATCGATCCTCTAATTGGCTGCAAATCCCAGAATCTGTGATGTGATTAATTAGCCTGATAGAGTAGGGAAGTCAGGCATTTAATGCTGACCATGACTTAAAGGGTACCTTCATGAAATGCGAGGAATCCTAAACTACCTCATGTGTTTGCCTCTTAAGAGATCATCTCTTCCCTTTGTAACACGCCAAGAGACTCTCCGTAACCAGTTCAACTTCCCTCGAGTGTGCAGCCATCAGGCCGATTCCCTTTATTATCCCATTGGAGGAATAATGCTGCGAGGTTGTGTCCCACAGAGACTGCAAGGTACATTGCATGAACCAAGGTTTACCATGAACCAAGGTTTACCCTCATAGGTGAACTTCTTGGGGTTTTGGTGCTTTCTCGAGGCTTATCCGTAGGTGGAATCCCCATTGGGCTTTATATCTTGCTGCGATTGTAAATAATCTTATTTAGTGAAGGAGAGATCGTTAGCTTCAAGATATGGAAGAGTATAGGATCCTTTTGCCATGGGGACAACACAAAAGGTTGCCTGAGGGGGACCTTGTATAACAGATATATTTACACAATATGTACGCATATACCTATACCTAAATATTTATATATATATATAAGGGAATTAGAAATGTCTATCGGTGAGTCCAGACACGTGGCAGGGTTTATGCCACATGGTGATGACATGGCATGGGGCCATAGTATCAGTCACCTACAATATTCTAAAAGTATTTAAGTTCATCTAGATATTTTGATGTTTTAGAGGAATTGTAATAGAACAATTATCTTTTCAGTTTTTTCACATTCCAATCTACCACCGCGATACTGAGCTGCTATACTAATGAATACAACTGAACTGAACTGAACAAAGTCTTTTCTTATCTACTTGGGGTTGGTTACATGAATCCTATTTTTCTGTTTTACTCTATCTAAGGTCATAACGTCAGTCAAATTACATGTTATATCTTTTCCTTACTAACTCTATCCATGCTAATTTTGGCCTTCTCCTTTACTTAGCATTACCCTCAATGTGGGTCATGTTACTTTTCATAACTGGTGCACTTAGTGGTCTTATTTACACTCGTCTAAACCATTTTAATTTGTTTTCTCTCATTTTATCTCCAATTGTGCTACTTCAACCATTTCACGAATGTGTTCATTTTTAATATACTCTTGTCTTGCCTCACATCCATCTCAACATTCGCATTTCTGTCACTGTCACTTTATGCATATGTTGTTTTTTAACTGTCCCATATTCTGTCCTAAAGAGAATGACCGGTGTATCAACTATTTTATATACTTTCCCTTACAATCTTAGAGGAATATACTAATCACAATATCACATAATATATTAGGCGTACTCCTCTGTTTATCTCATTTTACCTTGATTCTATGATTAACATCATCTCCAATTTCTCATTCATTGATAATAATTGAGTCTAATAGCGAAAGTGTGCACTTTTTGGTATCTATTGGTCCTCAATTTTCACTATTCCCTACTTGTGTTTTAGCTATATAAAAGTTACTCTCCATATATTTAGTTTTATTCCCCCTTATCTTAAAGCCTTTTAATTCTAGAGCTTCCCTCCAAACCTCCAATTTTGCCTCCAATTTAACACTGACTGCTTCTCTAGTTCCATTAAATCTCATCCTGAATGTGTCTTGTCGATTCTGAGGCCGAAATCTATGGGCTTAATGTTGAACCTTGATGTAAGCCTACATTAATTGGAAATTCACATATATCCCCCACAGTTGTTTTAACTATAATCACACTTCCTTTATACATGTCCTGTCAATATCTGCAACTCCTTTCTTTTTTGAAACTTCCATATTAGATCTCTAGTTACTCTATCATAGGCTTTCTCTAAATCAATAAGAATCATATAAAGATCTCTCCTTCTTTCTTTTTTTTTTCCTATCTCTTTCTATCTGTATGTTTTCCTATTAGTTTCTTCAATAAATAAATAGCCCCCCTTGTTGACCTTCCTAGCATAAATTAATTTTATTGTCATTCAGTTGTGTTGTCCTATCTCAAGTATATGGGTTTCAACACGTCTTGTTCCATCATTTGAGTATCCTAGGGAGCATCACAACAAAATTATGATTGTCAAAATGAAAATTAAACCATACTTATAAAAAATAAAAAAAAAAAAAAACTAATCTAACCGTAAACGAAAGATTGTGCTGTGATATATTGCCATTTTCCTGCTACTAACTACTATATTAAATTCAAATATTCCAAAATGTCTCCTACTATGTCTTATAATATTTAACACTATTAATCAACCAAATCAACTATTTTATGCATTGGATACTGTTATATCCTAGACGCAAGTTGCATATTCTTATACATGTGTTTGTAGTATTTCCTTTTGGTGAGTTTCATATGGTATGGTACAGCCTTCTACCTTGCATGCTTTTGATACAGTTCAATTATGATAAGCTTTGTCATTTAATTTCAGGCTCTTGATCTCTTCCCTGGAATTTTTGGAGATGTCACATTTAAGGATTTTAAGCATGCATATGCTTTAGGTACTAAATTTTACTAAAATGTAATTACCAATACTGTTATTTTTCTCAATTTTTTTACATTTTTTCTTTGGTGTCAAGAACTCTACTTAATTGAATGCCACAATCTCGTTTAATTCCAAATATTTGAACTATGAAGGTCATATCCACATATTTTATATGGTTAGTTCAATTTTCATAGGCTAGTGGTTAGAATTTCCTCATATGGTACACTGCCACGAGTTTTTGACAATATGCAATGGGGTAGTAAACAAATGATCAGCATATGCATAGTGGACATTTGAGATAAGATTCGGTCTCGTTTTCAAAAGTTTCCAAGATTTGGCCATCTAAAAGTTTCATCTTTTCTCAATTGACTAATTGGAAATTTTCGATTTCTTAAAAAGCTGCTCGTGATTTTGGAAAATTTTATGCAGTAGAAATATCAGACCTCATAAACATAATGTCTGAAAAAATTACTGTTGATTAAATTTAAGAAAATTGCACTTGTGCTTTGAAACTTAATTTAGAACGAAATTAAACATTTGTCTTCAATAAACTGCATATGTTTTTTTATCATCTTAAATCTCTGTTTACGCATTTGTGTTAATTGCATGGAGTTATGATCTGTTTCTTTATTCTGATGAGTTCACTGTGGACATTCAGTTGAATCTCGGGCATGGAGGAGCACAAAGGGTGTGTCCTTGGTATACTTCTGTAATGATCCTGTTACATTTGTGTGAAGAGGATAATTAGTACTTATGTATATATTATTGATATAAATGTTCTCAATTATTAACTTATCTTATAGATTCCATTCGCAGATTTTCTGAATCATGATGGTGCTGCAGAGGCAGTTTTATTGAGTGATGATAGCAAAGAACTCTCAGAGGTATCCCCATTTCCACCCACCCTCCCCCTCTTCTCCAGATGTATATATTTATCCACTGCTTATCTGATGCACACAATTTGTTTTGGCTCTGGATTGTAAAAGTAGAATGTTATAATTTCAGTCTGGCCTCTTATGTTTGTGAAAGTTATCTCTGTTTTGTTTGTTGTTGGTGTTATATTGTCATTTTTCAATTCAAAATTTACCTGTACGTTTTCACTCTTTACTCGTGCTAACTGTTGCCATCAAAGCACAACGTTCCAATCTTTTTTGCTGATCTTTTAGGCATTATTTTTTATTTAGAAATGGAGTTTCATTTGTGAAGTTGGATTTGTTTTAAATGTAAAAATCTAACGCCAAGAACAGATTATCTTATGATTCCATGAGTCAGCAATTTTGTGACAGCAATTTTTGCTGATATCAACTAATAAATCAATATAAAATTCATCAAACACATTAAATCTTGTTTATGGATCCAGAAAAAGTGTTAAAGACCATTGGCTTGGTACAATGGAGTTGTGGAGATATTTGGATTTTGTTTTGAGATAACTATTTTTTTTTGGAAAATGATGACAATACAAGTATTACAATTCAAGACCAAAGAGTTACTCAAAATAACTACTTCCATTATCTAGAATCAATATTAAAAAAAGATGTATAGATAGATGGTGATGTAGTAAGTAGGATGGACAAAATGGAGACAAGTTAGTGGTATCCTTTGTGACAAAGGAATACGAAATAAACCAAACGAAATTTTTTATAGAACGGTTTTTGAGCCAGTAATATTGTATGGAGCAGAGTGTTCGGCATGGAAAAAGACACAAATGCAACACATTAATGTAGCGGAAATGAGGATTCTACGTTGGATTATAGGATTAACTAAAAAATTAAGATCAATAATGAACGTGTGAGGTGAACACTAGGTATAGCGCTTATAGATGATAACATTAGGAAAAGTAGATTTCGGTGATATGGACATGTTCAGCATAGACCCAATGATACACCTATTAAAACAGGAAGGGTTGTTTGCTTAGAAGGTAAACGACAAAGAGGTCGACCAAAACTTATGTGGGATGAAGTAATTAAAAATGATTTCAAAATATTAAGTCTATGAGAACACATGGTGTATAATAGAAAAGAATGAAAAAAGAGAATTCATGGTTGTCCCCATTCGGGTTAGCTCGGGTGTCTGTGTCAACACAACACGACATGGACACTGACACAGAATATGGGTTGAATGCCTTTTCACTTCTATCAGACATGGCTGATCAACGATTGATGAAGAGATGCTCGCGTCTCTTTGTTAGATCAAAGGCTGCTGGTTCGAAATTAGGATTTCTAGAAGGTTGAAGATGGTTGGTTTCCCTCATGTGCGATTGTTACACATTTCTGATTTTATCTGAGAGTGCATTCACACCATTTCAGGGATTTTCATCTCTCTATTTAATGTTCTGAAGTGTGGGAGATGAATGGTCATTTTTACTGCCACGTTTTCTTTGTTTCTAAGTGCCTTATCACATTGAGCCCAATGCAGTTACTTTTTAACTTTTTTAACTTTTACATTTACTTCGTATCTTTTTAACTCCCAGGAGACTACTCCTGCTTGCTTTTTCTTAGGAGTATTAAAAAACCATATACACTGAGCCTTGTGCAGTCACTTTTTACTTTTTTCACTTTTACATATACTTTTTACCTTTTTGACTCCCAGAAGACTATAACTACTTGCTTTTCTTGTAAAAAAACATCTACTATACCAACTAAAAGATAAATGATGCATATATCTCTTTTTTCTTTTTCTTTTTTGTAGAGAGAGGGTAGGACGGAATGTCTCCTCTTGATGTAGAAATACTTAATACTCTTAAATAACAGATAAACACCCTATGCTTTTATTATTGTTTAATAATTAAGACGTGTCCAATTGTCTGTGTCCAACTTTTGGATACTTTTTAGCATTTGAAAGACGGATGAATCCAACCTCTAGACACGTACCCGTGTCCGACACCCATACCCGAGTCTGGGTAACACAGCATATGGGATGAAGGCAAGGATGATGATGATGATGTTGAATTTTGTTGCTTAGTGCAATGGTAAAATCTCTAGGAACAAGCTTGAGGTGTAGATTTTAGAGTAGCCACTTTGTGCAAAATAAAAGCAAAGATTAAGTCTCTCTCCAATCTTCTCCTCCTAGCACGGACATACACTAGGTAAGATCTTTTATTAGAACTACTTCCCTTATATTTTTTTCCTGGTATCATGGAAAACATGATTCTTGAGAGTGCATTTCATGTAGAGAGTTGTGAGACTCTTTTATGCATATTCTGTTAGGGTTTCACTCGGGCGTCAATAATCATATCAAATTGAGAGAGTTTGGGCTTTTGGGGTTTTCTACTTGTCGCTGTTTTGGTTGGATATTGTTGTGGCTTGTTTTGGTAATTTCTCGATTATGTTAGTGAAGTTTGTTGTTTATTTTCCCATGCCATAGTCCATAGTCCACCCAAATCCTTGTGTCTCATGCTGCATTCTTTTACATAAAATGCAGACTCAACACTTCTTCATGCCAACTTAGATATTGACAGGCTGTTAGGGTAGCATAAGGGATTATATTGATTCGTCTTTGCTATAGCAGCGGTCACTTCAATACCTTAGTTGCAGAAACAGTAATCCCATTTAAGAAAATTTCAAGCCTTTTCACTTTTTATTTTTATCTGCACAGGTTATTGCTGATCGTAATTATGCTCCTGGAGACCAGGTCAGATGCAACTATAATATACTCTCTCTTCTTCTTGAGAAATTATTTTAACCTCCACTTTTTAAAATTTGAGCTATATGTTGGTTTTGAAAACCTTGTTTGCCTTGGTCATGTCTGTTGTATCTGGTGGATTTGTGTTATAATTTCCTACCACAGGACACTATTTGGTGGGCGTGTACCAAAGGTTCGATGGTTCCTTCGTTTTGAAAATCTCTAATAAGAAAATAACGTCAATAGTAGCTTTATAATTTGTGTTCCATGATCCAAGTGTTCTGCTCACATGTTTCTTCTTGTGTTACAAATACTTTTCACATCTATCATTTGTGGCTATGTATTTGTGATTTGTGTGTGTGTGTGTTTTTTTTTGAGTTCTGATTTTGATATGCACACAGCTTTTGTTCAGGTGATGATAAGATACGGAAAATTTTCCAACGCAACTCTTCTATTGGACTTTGGGTTTACACTTCCTCGCAATATTTATGATGAGGTAAGTATTGTGTTTCAACTTGATGAAGGTTTACCATGGCATTCTTTCTCAATGATATAAAATGTTGCTGTAGCTTATAAATTGATTTTTGTGTACTATTCTTGTCAATCAATATTGACCAGTACATTTCATTCTGTCCCAGCAAATTTAGTCTCTTTCTGATATGTTTGCCACTCTGCAAATCGTTTGTTTCTTGTGTTGGTACAAGGTAGAGTATGCTGTTCTTAGTAAAAAAGATGCAAGAAACATGTATGCTCTTACACACTCACAAAAGGAAAAAGAAAAAATTACAGGTAGTCAGACACTTTGTGAATGATTCTTTCTGTTAGAAGGGGGATTAATGCCCAAACAACAACTAAGAAACTGAAGAATCATTCTGGGCCTTGCGAGCCCTCTGCTAGATGCCCATAACAGGTTCCACAATATGCCTGGTGGGCTCTGATTCATGACCCGATCGATTTGATGGCCCAAGCAAATATTAGTTATACAATACGTGTAGTAATTGGCTAAATGGCTACTTGGGTATTGTTTGAGATTGGTTGCTAAAACTGCTCTGTTTTAATATCATTTTTGATACATTTGGTCAACAGTGTTGGACCTGTCAGTTTATTATTATTATTATTATTTATTTTTACAAGGATAATTTTCTTGAGAGTAGACAAAATTAAAATAAACTGAGGTAAATTTGTGGAAGAGAAGGGAGTGAAAATTCTTACCTAAAAATAATTTATATGCTATATGTGTGGCGTAATTTATATGCATGTCTGCTGACTCTACCTGTGTAGTTCTATAATTGCATGCCCAAACTTGGAAATGCGTTTATTGTGATATAGTATTTTTTTAATTTCTTCTGTAAACTTATATATTACGTTTAATATGCATGGTACCTAAAGGTGCTAATTCCCTAGAAATTTTAGTGAATGTTTTATGGCAATCTCTTAATGCCTCATATCTGTACATGCATATGGCAACATATTTCTGCTGTGTACGGGGCCAATACATTGCTCAAATGGTATATTCCATATTACCCTCAAATGTTATTTAGCCCTTTCTTCCTTATTCCCTCCCATTTTTAAGTGGAAGGAATACGGTGTAGCTGGAGGCAAAGGTTCCCCCTATTCCTTTCCCTTCCAATTTTCCTCCTAAATTTAAAACCATGAAAACTCTATCGTGCCATCTCCTCCTTTATCCCTTCCTACCAAAGAGACCACTAATGATCAGTGGCCTTTCCTTATTGATGCCAAATTTATTGTATTTTTTAATTTGTTTATACATCATTTGGTTATCTGAGGGCATTTCTTTGTTTGTAGTTCCTAATTTGTCCTCTTCTTTTCCATTGCTTGGATATTGTTTAATTTATCGAATTTGCAATGATATGGGTGTATATTATATTTTTGTGACTGAAATTCAGATTCTGGCCCTTTTTTTTTTTCCTTCTAAAATGACAAGTTATTCTCAGGTTCAAATTCAGGTTGATATACCTCATCACGATCACCTGTGTGCAATGAAGTTGGAACTTCTGCATGAACATTGTGCACCAACCATTAAAGATGTCAATATCTCCAGCTCTTGGGATTCTTTCACTATCAAGTTGGTACTGGTTCATGAAATTTGATATCTTAACATGGATGCCATTTTGTTAATCCAGAAGTGTACTTTCTCTTTCTATCATGAACTAAAACATGAAGAAAAAATTTCAGGTAAATATCAAACTAGAAGGAATAGGGAAAGTTCAATTCTTTTTAAAAGAGGAAATTAGATTTCTTCTCGATCTAAAGAGAGTCTGAAATGCTTGAGGCTGACCTATGTGATATTGCTTGTTTCCAGTGCTCCTCTTTGAAAATGATTATCCTACGAACACAAAAGGGTGATATAGAAATGTTGGTCTGATCAGTAGGCTTTAATGCACTACTGGAACTTGGTTGCCGATTTGTCGAAAAATGGTTATACTTCATGCTATCATTATGTAAGAGTTATTTGAAAAAAAGGGTTCTAATATGTCAAGCATAAACTAAGGTAGGTGAACCAGAAATGAGTAACCAGAAGTTCGAGATAGAATTGTGAGCGAGTGTTAGAAGGGCTTTGTTATTAGAATGAAGAATGATCTATTATGGATAGGATCGTACTTTGAACACAGTTTTAACAAGTAATAAATGGCAGCTGACCTCTGGTATTAAAGCAATATGGATCTTAACTAACCATCCTTGAAAGATTCAGCAGGGAAACAAGTATATCTGAAAAGGGTTAAAATTGGTTGATGATCTAGCTACGTGATTAGGATTTGGGGGAGAAAAAGAACTAGTGAGTTGATTGTGGATATTTTGGATTGTCCAGAAGGATAAATTTGGTGGTTTGCAAATGGTTACATGTGATACCTTTGTTAATAAACTAGGCACAGATTGTAACATGATGGAAAAAATTTACCAAGATAGCCCTGAAATATGCAAATCAATTTTCTTGGAATGAATCTTGCAAGAAGATATGTTTTGCAATCTTGCAAAAGAAGTGAGACTTCACGATCCATGTTAAAAAGATTCTCAAAGAGATTCTTTTCGACTAGCTCTTCAAATCAGCAAGGTGTGGTAATTCTGAAACTAAAATTTATATAACAATAATAATAAACAGATGAATAGTTTTGACACTTCCATTTTTGTGGAGCAAGGTTTTAAAGGGGGTGTGGAGGAACCCTTTATATATTGTACTTGATTCTGCTTTTTTTGTTTAAAATCTGGCGTAGTTCTGATGGTACCAAGTTAAGCTCACTTGAATCACTTTTTATGTTAATTCCCTTTTTGAAGTTCTCTTTTATCTTCATTATACTATTATATGTAGAGTATATTAACTCGATTATAATAAAGTGCATGTGACTTTTATTTTCTGGAACTTTTGAAATTGAATGTTGACTTGATTTATTGGTTGAAGTTACAATAGCTACTTACTATGATGGTGCCCCTGTATCCGCATCCAACTTAATTGTGCAGTCTTTGGTTGAATTAAGTTGATACTTTGATGTAATGGGCCAATAACTTAAGTGGTTATGCTTTCAATACCCACCTCTGTTTCTTACAACTTAAATTATTATATAGAGAAGTGAGGTCTGCTAAAGGGAAAGGAAGGGGAATACCACAATCGCTACGCGCATTTGCTCGTGTTCTATGGTCCACCTCTTCTCAAGGTTCAACCATGTTGTCCTCTTTGTCCATAGTTTAAATTGTTTGGTGATATGGATTTCTTTTAGTCTATGTGTCTGCATAGTTTTTTTTATTTATTAATTCTGCATATTCAGAGCTTGATGAATTGGCAACTGAAGCTGCACGAAATGATGGGCGGCTGGCTCGACAGCCTTTGAAGAATACGAGCACAGAAATCCAAGCACATCAGTTCTTGCTTTCACGAATTACTCAGCCAATTGAGAAATATAATTTGTCAATTAAGGTAACTGAGTACCAATTTTACTTCATTAATTAGATAAAGTAGCATAGAAAAACCTAGAAAACAAACGCCACATCAAATTTTAATCTATTTGTGGCACAAATACTCAGAAATTTCAAATAACTTGTCTATTCTGTATTCAATTTGGTTGCTTCATAATTTCTATAAGGGCTTTCAACGAGCTGGAACAAGATGAGATTCTATCTTAATCCACCTACTAATCCAATAAGGATACTGATTTTCACTCATTGGTTCAAATTTGAATCTGACTTGAGAATTCTAATTATGCAGTTGAACTCAGATCCATGTAGAATCAATCCAGTCAAGATCGTGTCTATTTGAATATACGAATATAATAAATTTAACAAGTCATATTTTTATGAGGATGGTTATTTCTTAAGAAATCATATGTATAAAACTACTTATATTTTTGTTGTATTCTGATAGAATTGATGTGTCAAGAGTGTTGTTTTAAGGTTATTATTCTATATTTTGGTTAAAAAAATTAAATTCCATTGTAGCCACTACCTGTATTGCACGAAATTATTGGTGTGAAAATGTCATATAAATTTGTAAGGAACAATAACATTTCAAATAGGATAAAGTGGCATGTTACTGTACCTTGGGGTAAGCTTACCATTTTAGTAGAAGGTCAACTGAACATATTAATTACGCTTAAAGAGTATAAAATGAACATATCAAATGAATAGATTACACCTTTTATCTAAAATGATTCAAGTAACCTCCATGCTATAATTTAATGTGATCAACTTTTGGAAGAATATTCTGTGTTAAAGTAAACTCGTTATCTTTAAGTTGAGCTCATTTCATTACCAATATAATGGATGCCGAACTGCTTAATTTATTAGTTTGTCATATTCTGAAGTTAAAATTGTAGAATGAATGGTATTTTCCCTTTACATATATCAAAGTTGTGCTGATCTACATATCCATACCTTGTGCTAATAATCAGTAGATGATACTTATTCTTCTTATTCATAAAATTTCAATCTGTAACTTTTATAGTTCCTTTTTCATATCTTTGAAGTTAAATGCGATGTTTCAATATTTTACTGCTCACTTCTTTCACATTTTCACTATTTCTTTGCAATTGAAATTAACCTTACAATATTTATATTGCTGAAAACTCAGTGTAACAATCAATATCATCATCCCTTGCATCTTCAAAGAGTTCTGCCTTGTGGTCTTGCATGGGGCATTACTTGCACACATTGTAAAAATGTAACAGGAATAGGAAAATGCAAGAGAAATAGAAATTGTGGGATTATCTCTGCCCTTCTGTGGCACAATGTCAATTGATCTTGCATGAATGACCGAAAGTATAAATTCATTAGTACGATCAGTTAAGGCGCCTTTCTGATCTTTGATAAGTTATCTTCGTGCAATTTATTAAACAATTGCATGGAATGAGCTTCCTTGTCTTGCATGTTCATAAAGAGATCGGTTTTGAGTTTTTTACATGCATGTTCAGGCATTGGGGCCTCCCAGTTCTCCCTTGGTGTTTGAAAAACTCTCTCTTAGGAGGCAAATGGCTCGGGATCTCCTCACTGGTGAGCTTCGCGTCCTCAAATCCGCTTCTGAGTGGCTGAAGAACTACTGTGCAAGCTTATCAGCATTATAGAAGAACATAACTTTTGGTAGCAGAAAAGTAGGGTCTGTTCATGCAGTCAGATACGAGCACTTGACAGGAATTTATGTATTACTGATTGCAGAAATCAGCATACCTGTGGGATCATGATATAAACCTAACATCAAAGCGACATACTTCTCTGATACTTGTACAATTTTACAGCCATGGGTTCCGGGGTCGGTCAGAAACACACACACACATGTTCTTCAACAAATTTGAAAATACTGCCTCTTACGTGACATCGGATACTGTAACATTTTTCTGGACAAGTGCAGCACTGTTTATCCTTAAATTATTACCTTAAATGGTTGTCTTGAGTTGCAATTATGCGTTATAAACTGATATTATGAAAAAGGGTTATGGTTTCTTGCTGCTATGTTAAAGAATTTAATGTTAATTATGTTAATTGTTTTCCTTTTCCTTTGTAATCTTTTTTGGGAGGTAGGGGTGGTTAATTTGACACTACTATTTATGTTAATTACAGTAATAATGTCCAGTATTTTTTCTTCCTTCTGTTTTGTTCTATTTTGTTTTACAGGATGAATGCATGTGTGTATTTGGAGTTGGAAAGAAGGAATTGATACTTTGCAAGAATATTGACACTGTTTTGAATTTTAAAAAGAAAATAATTAGTTCCATTTGTTTCAACGGAAAATATTTTCCGACTTTTTTCAGGTAAAATATTTCTTTTATTTTTAATTTTCGATGTTTGGTAAAGGTCTAAGTCGAGGTTGAGGTCGAGTTTATCGGACGTGTGAAATAGTTTGTCGAAAATTGATGAATAAGTTATTTTTGTTAGGTTTTAATTTTTTTTTTCTTCGTAAATATTTTACGACAATCAAATATCAGAAAATATTTTTCAAAAAGTATTTTACGCTCAAACAAATGGAACCAAATATAAAATTGTCAATTTTCAAGCAAATTATCAGGGAGTTCATCGAAAGATGTGCTACATGATAGCTTAATGTTGTTGTTAGCAAATGTGTTTAATTTTACTATTTTCTGGAACTGCCACATTCATCTAGAAAAATTTTAATTGCTGAAATTAAAACTCACCCAGGACTTGAATACTCAAGCCTCTGGGTACAGTGGTGACTTTTGGGATGGTAAAATTTATTTTTTATTGTGTATTGTGCAAATTTACATATTATTATATTTTACTATATTTTATCACTTATTATATTTTAATATTATTATTAGAATTTATTACATTTTATGGCATGGACAGTTAAGAAATAACATATTTATAAATTATGTAACCGGAATATATTCAAAATGTTAGTATTAGTATGAATGTGCGAAGAGCAAAAAATTATAAAAATTAGAAATTATTCATCGTGAAACAGTCCACTAAAAATAGAAAATGAGAGTAAATCAGGTTTTGTTATGTGATGTTAGAGAGAAAATCATAAATAGCAGAACAATATTTAATATTCCTGATTCCAAATAATTTAAAAAATATTTATTTTGAACTAAATTGAGATGATTTGTGTATTTTCTTAACTCAAAATCGTTGTGAAACGTTTTCAAAATAATATTAATTATTATTATTTTTTAATACAGGTGTTCAGTTTTTATTGATTAAAACTAAAAAAGACTGTTGAGACTTGACCCGACGAATACGGGGCGAGAAGAGCGCAACCCAAAATATCCACAAGTTTGCAACCCATTTAATTATGGGCTTTTCTTTGGATCATATTTGTCGGTTAAAAAAACGAATCCAAGCCGTCGAATCTAACGATCTCGAGTTTATAAATTCAAGAGAGAGAAACGCCATAGACCCCTTTCAGTCGAAATCTAGGGTTATCCATTTCGGTGCCTTTCCGTTCCAAAGGTTCTCTCTCTATATTTATATCGATCTTTTGTGTGGATTTGTATGAATTTCTTCTATCGATTTTATGATTCAGTACGGTCTCTGAATTTATGCGTGTTAATGGTTCCTCGAAATTTACGATCTTGTTTAAATTAATGGTTATATTTTCTTGTTTCAGCTACTTTATGTGTTTATATATGCTACAAATCTTTTTTTTTTTTTTGGGTACTCTGATTAGATCTGTTATATTATATCTATGCGCGTGTTTTTATATATAGATATACATGTGCATGTATTTATTATAAACGGTATATTTTGCTATAATTAGGATATAATTACAAGAAGAAAGTTGGTAATTTTGCCTTTTCGTGCATGTTTTGAATTATCCAACCTATGGAACAGGATTTCTATTAGGATTTTATAACCCCAATCAGCATGCACGCATTAAGTTTGGATTTTATATGCCTATCTTAGATGGTAATCAAAAGAAAAAAAAAAGCATTTTGAGCAAATTTCGACATTTGATTTCTTGAAACCTTTCTCATATCAGAATAGTTTTGTTGGTAAATTTTCACCAATAAACAGGCTATACCTGTATTTACCTCAAATCTTATTTGTTCCATTTATGTTTCTGTATTCTGAAAATTTTCTCAAAATTTTTCTAAAGAAAGGTTTATCATATGTTTACACATCATACAGTCCATTTCATTTCCTGCTGTTTCTGTTCTGCAGTTTGCATGATGTTCTTATCTGTTTACTTTGAATTTGTTCTGTAGTTGTATTGCTTATAATATTCTTTTATTAAGGGCAAATTTCGTAAAACCCCCAATACTTTCATTTTTTGATCATAAAACCCCAACCTGTTTCTAAAAACCCCTGCACTTTTAAAAAGTGTTCACATTGCCCCAAGATCCATATCCGACCCGTTAATTGGGCTGTGAAATGACAAATTTGCCCTTACCATTTAATATTAAATTAAAAAATAAAAATATTTTTATTAAATTACAAAAAAACCCTTAAATAGGGAGCAAGCGGATAAGAAGGTGGCGGCAGCGGGTGGTGGGGATTCGAAGAGCTTTCCGAGTCTGAGGGATGCGGTGAGCACCAAGCCGAAGAAGAAGATGATGAGCTTGCAGGAGATCACGATGCAGCGCCCAGAACCGGTGTTTGATTACAAAGGTTTGACGCCGGACGAGATGCTTAGCCCGGCCGGCTTGGCGGGGGTTTCTCTTCTTACGGCCGGTCCAGTGGAGGACCGGGTTGTATGCGGGATCGAGACGGAGATGGTGATAATACTTGGGGAAGTAATCGAAGATCTTACAGTGGTGGATTCGATGACGATCGTAGGGGTCCGCCTTCTAAGGTTTCGGATTTTGATCAACCCTCGAGAGTTGATGAGGTCGATAATTGGGCATCGGGGAAGAAATCTCTACCGTCCTTCGATTCCGGCAGCTCTAATCGGTACAGGTAGCTTGGTGGTGGTGGTGTTGAGGTAAGAGGCATGTCTAGGGCTGACGAAGTTGATAATTGGGCATTTGTGAAGAAGCCAATGCCTGCAAGATCTTCAACTTTTGGTTCGGGTTTTTTCGTAATTCCAGTCCAGAACCAAATCGTTGGAACAGGGGATGATGGGGAGCTGGAGCGCCGCTGCTTGGTTTTGGATCCGCCACAGGGTGAGGGAGCTATAGTTGAGCCGGTGGTAAGAACGAATAAGTCATATTTTAGAGAGAGAGAAGGGGGTGAAGAAGAAGAAGACTTGAAGGGTATTTTAGTAATTTTAAAAAATAATTTTCAGTTTTTAATTTAATATTAAATGGTAAGGTCAATTTTGTCATTTCACAGCCCAATTAACGGGTCGGATACGGATATTGGGGCAATGTGAACACTTTTTAAAAGTATAGGGGTTTTTAGAAATAGGTTGGGGTTTTATGATCAAAAAATGAAAGTATTGGGGGTTTTACGAAATTTGCCCTTTTATTAATAAAAAAATGGAATAAATTTATATATTTTGTCATGCTAATTATTGTAAATTTTCAACCAATTATGGGTTTTACTTGACGATTTAATTTGTTTATAAGTTGCCTAATTAACTCCGAATAGCTTGTCTCTTATTCCTTCATTAAGCAAACTAACCAAACTCGAGTATAGGCTTGTTTAGTAAATGACCAAAGCTGGGACAATATTCGTTCGGCTCGTAAGTACAATTCTTACAATTGCTTTTTCAATTTGAAAAGTATTGTGCATATTTAATTGATAAAAATTTAAAATATAATAGTTAGTTAAGATAATGTGTTTTATGAGCACATGAACCAATCTCAACCTGCTGTTAGACAGTACAAGCTTAATTTCTTGTCACAAGCCCGAGTCAAGTCAATTTGAGACATGAATGATTGAATGAATGAGCCAAGTCCAAATAGTCTTGATCTTGATTAATTTGCCACTCTAGTTGCAACATCTTTCTAGCTGCCGTTGATTTGATGATTTTCATTGAAATAGCATTTGATAATACTGAACACTACACTATAGTCGTGTATTTTTTGAAAGATTATTTTTTTTTTTCTTTTTTTGGAAAAAAATTGGACTTGTCGTGATTTGGGAAGTCAGCCTTTTCCTGTTAAATGGTAAAGACATGAACAAATAAATTCGCATTTGTGTATTCAATCCATGAATAATTGCCAAGTTGTTTCCATGATGATCACTAATGGACTCTTATCTTTGTTTTAAAGAAAATGCCTCGGTATGATGATCGACGTGGTGTTTCGCGTCTCTATGTTGGCCACTTGTCTTCGCGGACCCGATCACGTGATTTGGAGGACTTGTTCAGCAGATATGGAAGGTAACAAATTTTTTTGCCAATTAAGCTCTGCTAAGATGTTGTGTTGTGGTATCATTGATGATACAAGCTCAGCCCTAGCCTTCAAATTTACCCTTTTTAAAAAATATATATATATATCATGCTGAATTTTTATATAAAAGCTTTAGCAGTAATTCTATCATCTGGTCTTATTATTACCAAGAGAGAGGAGTCCATGGGATTAATCTTGTCGAATTTAACCCATTTATCTTCTGTAAAAAATGTTCTAACATGTGTGTGTTTTCAAACATAGTGCACTCACGGACCTTTCAGATTGTATGTTAGATCTTGCACAAAGTAGTTGCATGATTCAATCAATTTAGCTCACATTTTATTTAATATTTAATTTCCAATGTGGAATAGTGATCATTGGTCTCATTTCTGGGGTTTATCCACTTCAAGGTGTGTATGAGACAATGAAGTGTTAGCCAAGCCTCTTTTTGTGCTTGTCATTGACACTGGATTTTCTTTATAACATGTGTGAGAAAGTTGCACCCTCTCCCATGTGTCTCAGTGATTTAACTTGAATGATCTTTCTGAAGGTTTCTGGGCTTTTGCCCAACCTGGAGGTCTATGGTGAGAGGTTGCCCTTGGGTGGAATTGGTCACAATTCTTGCGGTGTATAGGGGACTTTGGCGATTCTTTCTATAATGTTATTGCGTGTTTTTTTGATGGAAATGGCAACAATCTCAAAGTGGTGTTTAGTTCATCTTAGAGGGGCGAAGTATCAACCCTTCGGTTCTTATGTCATGATGGCCTTACTGTTTCTGGCACCGGTTTACGCAGAATACGCGATGTGGATATGAAGCGCGACTATGCCTTTGTTGTATGTATTTCTTCATAATCTCCCCACTCATGTTTTTGTTATTCCATGTATGGGGTATATTGCCCTTTCTCATAATACATGTATTTTGTAAATATGTGCTCTTTCTTCTGATAATAGGAATTTAGTGATCCTCGAGATGCTGATGATGCAAGATATTCCTTAAATGGTCGGGATTATGATGGAAGTCGTATAATTGTGGAATTTGCAAAGGGGGTAAGTTGTATGGTTTATATGCTTCGTATATGGTTCTTGATCCCGTTGTACAGTTGATGAATTGTTACTTGGTTATGTTGTTATGCTGTTATAATGCTAGTCATAACATTTTTTATGATGTCATATTGTTATGCATATGAATGATTAATGGAACTCAAAACAATGAGTAAATGGAATTATACTTTTAATTGTTTGAGATTATGTTTACTTGTGTATTTATGGAATTAATTAATTATACTTATCAATTATTCTTGTTGTTTCTTGTAACATGTTTATCCTGCTAGGTCAATATCAAGTTTGTCCTTGCATTAACACTTAAATTAATCAATTCAAGCTTATAATGTTACATACCAATATAATGGAGACTAAGAAAAAGAAGAATCTCATGCTTCCCTGGCCTGCATTCTGTATAATGTTAATATTTTTCTTTTTTCTCTTTTTATAGTTGGCTTTTTAACCTTTTCCCTTCCGTTGAGCAAGCCACCTCTTTGTATCCTATCTTGGTGTTTGATCGAAATGTTAAAACAGTTGTCCGAATCTGATTGTCATGCCAGCCGGAAGAACACATGTTTCTAGTTTCATCACCTTTTTCATGATCCAGATTTTTCATAACTAATAGACTAGATTGCTTTAATTTTCAGAACAATATTATTTTCTGTTCTTATGTTTTATTTAGTAATCTCAATCATTGTGTGGACATTCATTTAAACAGGATTTCAAAGAGATTGCTACTCATTTACAAATCAGAACAATGCTAAATTTTTTTGAATTGCAATATAGGGCCCTCGTGGTCCAGGTGGATCTCGTGAATATCTTGGCAGAGGTCCTCCTCCAGGATCAGGGCGCTGCTTTAATTGTGGAATTGACGGCCACTGGGCTCGAGATTGCAAGGCTGGGGACTGGAAGAACAAGTGCTATCGCTGTGGGGATCGAGGCCATATAGAAAGAAACTGTCAGAACAGTCCCAAGAAACTAAGGTACCCTTCTTCTGGAGATCTTTGTATGCCTACATCTCATTTTCTGGAAGTCTTGAAAGTTGTTTACTCAGGAAAAAGATTTTTGGTGCAGACGTGAAAAGAGTGACTCCAGATCTCCATCTCCTCGACGTGGCAGAAGCCGAAGCCGCAGTTTTAGCAGGAGTCGTAGCTACAGGTTTTTCATTTTTGTGCCTTCTTGGACTGTATATTGTGTGTCTGGCGTAATATGATATTTCTGTTAATTTTGAAGCATTTTTCCTCGATACATTCCTACGGTGTCTAATATTGTGTAATCTACATTTAATTAGTTTTTAGGTTTCTGTGAACATGAATTAGCAAGGATTAAGGAAGATTAGCATGGTTCATACTTGTGGCAATGCTTTTGGGGGATAATGCTGAAGGGGATGACGGACGTTAATGGTTGGTAGAGTTGGTCAGAAACGTTATGATAACAACCTTGGATAGGGAATGGGAAAATTAGGATTCATGTTGTCTGAGTCCACGTAGTTGGAAAGTTGAGTACCACTAGTTTGGTATAGGCAGAACATATTTCCGAGTAACATGAACACAAGTGTATGGTGCCTGTCAGAAACTGACATTTATCACATTTTTCACCATTTGATTAACTATTTACTCATAGATATGTGACCGAGATTTTCTTTAAGTGTAGGAAGAGCATGATATAAATAAAAATCGTAATCGGTGGTTGGTTTGTGATCCATTATTACAAACTCTGACCTATTGGCAAATGGAAGAGATACTGTGGAGGTTTTAATCCTTGAAGGAGAGGAGTCATTTATGTACATATTTTTTAGAAAGTAGTTGTATTGTAACCTGTGCTTTGTTTTACTGTCCATTCAATATATGACTTTGTTTGTCCTTAATTTGATTTCCCTCCAGTCACTCCAGGTCACCTCCAAGGAGGGAACGAAGCATTGAACGTGTGGAGAGAAGATCAAGGAGTCCTCGTCACAGCAGGAGCCCCAGGCGGCTGAGAGCTTCACCCTTACCATCCAAAGGGAGAAAGCATAGCCTAACACCAGATGAGAGAAGCCCACGAGAGAGAGGTAGCCCATCTCCAAGGGACCGTAGGCAGGCCAATGGTTCAGAATACAGTGGGAGCCCCAGGGCAATGAGTGGGGGTCCCAGGGCAATGAGTGGGAGCCCCAGGGCAATGAGCGGGAGCCCCATGAATGATACTGGGAGAGATAGTCCCAAGGATAGGAGCCCTGTGGAAGAAAATGGTCAGAGTCGCAGCCCTAGCCCTATTGCTCGGGATGTTGGTAGTCCTGTTGATGATGATGATGATAACAACCATGGTTCTCCAAGGGGTAGCGAATCTGCATAAAAGTGGCGAATGGCACTCATTCTACTTGAAACTGCGCTTTTAGTTATCTGAGAAACATAAATTGTGTTCTTGAGAAATTCCTGAACCTGGGTTGTTCTTGATTTTTGGATATTGGATGTTGTCTTGAGGTTCTACTTCTTTCCTTGCCATGTTACTTGAAATAATTAGTTATATAGTTGTGCTTCTCTCTGTCTCTCTCTCTCTCTCTCTCTCTCTATATATATATGTATGTATGTATATGTATGTATGTTTATTTTCGGGTAGTTTGAGATTTACCACTCGGTGACAAGTCTTTTTATATTGAACATGCGTTAAACTGTGATGTATTATTATTATCCGAGTATTCAGGTGAATTTTCAGAGGGTTTTTCACCATTTAGAGGTATGGTTTTATAGAACAAGTACAAACATCTTGAGCCAATTTTGTTTACACCATGAATTTTGGTTGGTTAATGAATTTTAAATGAAAATGGATACGATGTACCAAAAAAATGCTTAAAAGTGCAATGCTTAAAATGCTTAAAAATGCCTAAAAGTGCAATTGTAAAAGATTAATTTTTTTTTTTAGGTAAAACATATTTTTTATTTCAACTTTTTCTGTGTTCGGCAAAGTTTAGGTTGAGGTTGAGTTTATTGTGTAAATTAACTTGTCAAAAATTGATGGGTAAATTATTATTGTTAGATTTTAAAATTTTGTTTCTTCGTAAATATTTTATGAAAAAATATAAAAATATTTCTATTTGATCGCACTTGTATCTATTTCTATTTGTGCATAGAGAGAGGTGGATGCTATAATTAAGATGACCTAATGGCTCAATAGTTTTTTAACAGAGAACCAAAGCTAGAATCAAAGCTCATTAAGATAATCTGATGACGAAATCTCATTGTCAATGAAAAGGATTAACTTATTAAAATAGACACCAAAGCTTAAAAAGCAAGTTGCGTTACAAGGTGGCAAGCCTGTACTCGAGGATAGCTCGTTGTACAAGCAAACTGTATTCCAATTTGTGCCCTAAAGAGATTTACTGGTAGAATTCAAATGACTCCAGTTTTAGAATAAAACCTTCCATGGAGAATCGGCCTTTTCTACAAATACAGGCTTCCCAAAAAAAATAAAAATAAAAAAGTTAATATTCTTATGAATGCCAAATTGAGAACAATCCACACTGAAACATGTAACAGCGATAGTTGGGTTTATTAGGATGCAACAACCTCTCTTTTAGGTGTGTTACTAAATTCTTCTTAAGGCATTTTGACAGTACAATTCCGACCAACGATTGCATCTTTTTCTGTCACATTGGCAATCTAAGGAGCATTATGACTTTGGTCCAAGATTATCACAATGCACCAGTTCGTAAATGTTAAAGAGAATAGTAATGGAGTCTGTTTATGCATCTTTGAAACACGAGCAAAAAATTGTCCAAACACATTCTATAGGACGACGACATCAAACATTTTCTATTTTTATTTTATTTTAATGTTTAGATGACAAACAATAAGTACAGAACACTTGAAAAGAACAATTTGCATATGTACATGCGGTAGTCTTCAATCCTAGAACTATGTGATGGGTGTGAAGAAATTACCCCAGGAATCGGCATGTTTAACAAGAAACTCCAGCAGATCCAACCTCCCTCAGCATAGAACTCTGATCAGTCCTGAATATCTGACTTATGAAATATATGCCTTGATCACTTCTGAATAGTTGAACACGGAACCTGTCCTTGGACAGGTGATTTTGCCATTGTTCTTCTTTGCCATTTCTTCAAGAGCCTGCCATTTTGCAACAGAAGTTAGATTCACCAATCAAAATTGTGCTTATTTATGAGGAGGATAATGCAAACCTTGGTGCTGTAGACATAGCCATTTGGCAACACTAGCGGGGGGTTCTCTGTGTCCATTAACTCTTTAGTTATGTAGCAAACGAGCTTTGAATGATGCTGCTTGGAAAATGGTAATGGCAATGCCAATTTGCGGAAGCTCTCTTGTGACAGAGGATCCTCCTTGCTACAATCATCCTCATAACAGAACCTGAATCCGGCTAAGGCAAAACCATAGACTTGGATAAAATTACAATCCGTAAACAAGAAAAATACAGCGTTGGTTCACAAGATTATTAAGAAAAATACAGGATGGGAGAATTTTTTTGGTTAAGTAATAATGGGACAATAATTATCTTAATCCTAATAATGGATGCCCAAGCATGATTTCGTAAAAGGCATTAAGAGTGAAGCTACTATGCCTTTGCAAATGATCAACCACAATTTGATGATTTAGAACCATCTGATTAAAAAGGTCCTATAACTCATTGAAATCAGGGAAAATAATAATAAAAAAAAAAGGAGGGCTCACAAAGACCTAACCAAAAATTCTACTACCCCTGAATCTGGAAAGATTACCTTATTTGCAAGCTAAACTAGAGGTGTTCAAAAAGATTTAGTACTAGAATTTAGTGTTTCGACTCTAATTGGGATGTGCTACTTGGGCCATTAAACCCCTGGTTAAAAACATATACAAACAAAAGGTAAAGATATATCAGCAGCAAGTCATTGAACGTGGATACGGAGTTTTCAAAGCAGACAAGCCCGCTTGCAGATATATATTCAGCAAAGGCTCAAGGGTCATGCCATACAGCCTGCAAAATTCCTGTTTAAATTGGTCCACTAGGTAATCCCATTGCCTTGGTTCAAATAAAACCTGCATAGAACAACCAAAAAAAAGTCAATTATCTAGCTCATGCCAACCTATAAAACATAAATTTGGAAACTAACAACAAAGCCATGGATCAAATGAAGACGGGGACAATTTACTGTATGAACATAAGCCATTGTCATATGATAAGCAGCAGAAACCATTTTAGAAAATCATGCTCTCACTAAAACCATTATAAATAGCAATCTGAAAATATTATGCAGTTAAACTAGAGAACATCACCACATTTTGAGGAGTTGTAACCGTCACAGAGAAAGAAATTTATCAAGTCTAATCATCATTAGCATTCACAGATTACTTAACAAAAGACTAGGAAGTTGAGAAAAGTCTAGCACTGCCACCCCCTCCCAAGTATCTTTTTCTTCTTCTTAGTTCACATGTATATATGCACTCCAAGCAATCACACTGAAGAAAAGTTCCAAAAACTGAGAGCTATGCTGAAATTGGTGCCACCAGGTGTTTTATCTACTGAATATCATGAGAAGGCATGTCCATTTGCAGTCAGACAGGCGTGACAAAATAAAACATACGACAGGAAGGACTAGGTTCACCTTGTATGTTGCACATTCAGTACTACTCTTAAAAGCCAGTGTAGCCATGACCCGCTGCAGTTCTTTCAAATGGGTAGCTCCCCATGGGGCAAGGTACTTCCTAGCATATGTGATAGCTCGCATATTGTTTTCAGCTCGTACCAACTCTATGAACTCTTGAAGTCTCAACTGAAATTCGAATTTGCTCTGTCATCATGAAAGAGATCTGGCATTAAACAGTGTACAAAATGTTTCTGAAATACTGCAAGTGATGCAATTCTTTCCAAATATTCAGTAAACTACTTCAGCAATGTGATCTAACAAAATTAAGATAACTGACAACATTATGATCAGAGTGAACCGTCTTGAAAGGATTTTATGACCCTCTCACAGAAGTACGAGCAGTCTCCACAAAACAAGAGGAATACATTTAAATATTAAGTTTAATAAAGCAAAATGTTTCTCTTCAGACGTATGCCAACAAAAACATATTTAAGATACTTGACCTTAATTTGTAGTGTCATTTGCATTGCTTGATTAATTTTAAGAACTCTCTACATACTCTTCAACCTAAGAACTTGTCCATACCATCAAAATCTATATTTTGTTCTCTTGCTCCAGTACCTTGTTCTAACAGCACTCAACATTCCCATGTTTGTAAACCAGTTGGAAAAGGTTATGGAGGAAGCATACCCGCTGGGAGGAGTGGAGTAAAGAGATTTTGCAATCAGAGCAGAAATTTTAGGTCTTAGAATTATAAAGGCATCATCTTAGTAACTTCACAATTGTCGGATCGGAAATGACTCTAATCGTGTAGTATGATGGTTGACCAAGTGAACTCATGGGCCTTGGAGATTCGTAAATTCAAGAAGAGAAAGCATGGACTTGTTTGTAGCTATTTGGGTGGAAATTAGTTGGATACGATAAAAAGATGCTATGTAGGCCAAAAAACGGGAAGTACCCTATAGTCATATAGAGTGTTTTTCAGTCTTCTTTACTTTTTTGTTGGCAGTTTTACTACAAGCTGATTCTTTCTGGACAGCAAACACATAAGTACCATTTCAGGATTTAGGAAGGCTCTATGGATTTAGTATTTTGCTAATGGACAAATGGAAATGAGATGCAGGAAAGAAATCTATCAGAGAAAATTTGCTGATTTTTGTGGAACTGAAGCTTTCCGTAGAAAGTATCCACACGATAGAAGGAAATTTTTACAGGGTATAGGTGAACCGAAGAACAGAAAATTAGAAATAGAGCAGACCAACTGAGGTAAAACAAAAACTACAATAGAACTCAACTCAACAAAAGCATTATCTCAACCATTTCGGATCACCTACACGGATGGCAGATCATGATTTGATATTTTTGCTTTTAAAGCCAAAATTTCAATTAAACCTCACACTACCTTTCCTTTTCATCTCCAACCCATGTTACTTTTGATTTTCCCCTTCTCTTAACATTGTTCATATCTTGGTTGTAAATGCAACAGCAAAAATATAATAAAGAGAAAAAAAAAAAAAACTAAAAGATCTATGTCCCAAATGGTTTTCGGAGTTCTATAAAAATATAGTTTAGGTAAGGGGCCATTGCCTGGTGAAGTGGTAAATTCTCGGGCTGTCAAGCGTGAGAACGCAACTATATCCAATCTACCCCTCTAAACACCATCGATTAACTGGAATCACATTAGGTAAGGACCTTTTATAAAAATAAAGTTTAGGAGCTTATTTAGAAACTTCAAAGGCCTCTTACAGATTTTGGGAATTTTAACCAATAGAGAACCAAAAGATTCAAAATCCTGCTCCTTTAATGAGTAAAACATCATGAAGCAGTAAAATGACTTCTGACAGAATGAACTAAAATCAGAAAAAAGTACAGCATATTATCATGTCCAAATATGTCAATATGAGATCACCAACGAAGCAATAGTAGTTCAAGTTCACTAAAGGTCAAAACCATTACATGGAAGTATTAAAAAAACAAAGTATCAAGAAATACAAAGGCACATATAAAAGAATTTAACTTAAAACTTCATATAATCCCCAATCTTTCAATTATCATACCCACGACCTAACCCAACAAAAGCAACCTTAATTATCCATATAACACAATTGTATGATTCGGTGGCAGGCAAAAACTATAAAAGCTGATAGTTATATGCTCATGTATCATATGACCAATATTATTGAATTTCATTGTCTAAACTTTTTAGAAAAATGATACTTCTCCAAGGTAATCATGGAGAAGAGTGGCAAGCATTTTTCCTTTTCCAGTTCAGAGAATGGCATCCAAGTCCTAAAATTCGATGAATGCTTACAACCAGCTTTTATTACCATTTTCTTACATTGAGTTCCACAAGACGAAGCATTCAGTGTTCACAAACTCACAACCTTGACATTTTCCATTTAACAATCCAGGCACACTCATGGAATAGTGCACACTGCACACAAATTCCTAGAAATTATAGTAGCACTGGTTTTAGATTAGTTTTATCCATTAACATAACAGAAGAATATGTGCTTAAATCAACAAAATATCACATAATAAATTGCCATCCTCATACTTTGGAAGGATAAAAAATGCACAGCAGGTAATTCACACTTTAGTATCTGCACTTCCATTAGAGTATCATTATCTCCACCAGTCCACCATCAATAGATTCCCCAAACCCATATTAGGTTAGTTGGTTGTGATACATAAAGTAATCATCACAGCCCCAAATCATATATGTTATTGCAATCTTTGCTTATTCTGGCAAAAATAGAGAAATACCAGAAATCAAACACCTGTGGCTCAACCAAGATTTGGTAACAAGAGCTATGAAGATGGGACACGGATACAACACATTACGGACACGGCGATGCGCCAACAAAAAAAAAAGGACACAATCACAGCAGAGATACCAACTATGAAAAAAAAAAAAAAAAGAGTGTCTTTTTGGGAATCTAACTTTTTAAGATGATGATTTTTAGTGTTTTTTTTTATTGTACTGGTAGTGAATGAATTACCAAATTTACCCATAGTGGGTCCAAAGTGAGGTGATGGTTTACTTTTTATAAATTCAATGTAAGAAAGTTAAATTGGTAATGTTACAAAAATTAGTACATTGACTTTTTAATTGGGACAATTATTTTGGGATAGCTAAAAAAGGAAAGGTGGACACTTTTTTTGGGATAGAGGGAGTATAAAAAAAAAAAATTCCTCATCTTATCTACATTATCACGAGTGTAATCACTAATTTGGAGCTATAGCTGGATTGATTGTTTTTGTTTTCTAAAACTTTATATTATTTTTCTTTTAACCAGTATATTTTTTAAAATTGCATTGGAACAACTTTTTTTTTCATAAAAATAATTGCAAAACTACATTGTTGTGTTCCGAAAGTTATCGGTGTCCCAACCGTGTCCAACAAAAGACAAGAAATTCAAATCTAGGACACTCCTCACCATGTTGGACACGTGTCCGACACGTGTTCATGTTTGACACCACCACAACACCCCTAGAAGAGTGTCCGTGTTTCCTAGGAGATACCACTCAAACTAACAGTTCGCATTTATGAAAGAGTGCTGATTACTGTGGGAGTTACTATGTTATATAAAGTACTTGTGCTCTAATCTATTTCAATTAAATAAGAAGGAGAAAACAAACAAACAAACAAATAATAAAATAACAAAAACCTACTTATAAAAAAAAAAAAAAAAAAAAAGGTAACAAAAAGCTATTCTATTTAAAAATGAGCTTCAAAGAAGACAACCCATATGTACCTTAGACTTCTTCAACCTGGACTTGTTCTCAGCGCACCAAGCAAGGGCTGGAGCTACCTCTTTGTTCTGAAGAGCATCAATCACCTTTTTCGCTTCAAGAAATACATCAATATCAACAAATTCCTGGTACAAAAAGATGAAGATTAACTAACATGGTGAATCCCATGGAGCAGGGGGGGAAATGTCACAATTATTAGCAAACCATTAACAAAAAAGCAGATAATGCATTGCTTGTAGGACCTTGACAACTGAACTAATAAATGCAGTTGAACAACAATAGTTCATGGCACGTGAACACTTATTATTTTTTCCTTTCTTCCTCTCATAGATCAGCATGTAATACTTTTCTGGCACATGCAATGAACCTTTTTTTTCCCCTGGGCAAAGCATGTAAAGAAAGTTCCTTCCCACCTTATACCGGCTAGATTGGGAATCCAAAACTATAACTTTTAAAGCTCCATGAGTTGAAATGATAATAACAAAGTTCCAATTGATAGAACGTAGTTAAATTAATACTTGAGATGATAATCTCTACTCAATTAAATCAGCCCATAAAGAACCCAATTATATAACAGCATATAAACTGAAAATGGCAAGGAACAGTAACCTTTATATTGCTGCTTTCGGCCAGCTTCATTGCAGTATCATAATAAGACATTCGCAACATGTAGTCCACAAGAATCCGCTTTAAGCGTGTGTTGCTCCATTCTGATAGATTCTCTGCATCTGCTGATTCCAAGTGATCCAGGCGAGCCCGGCACCTCTGTGCTTGTAAGTGTTCTGTACGACTCCCTTCTTCCAACTAACCAGTAACAAAAAAATAAATTAATTAGTAGTAAGTAGTAACTAAATAGATAACACTGGCATTAGTAGCTGTAATTGCAATACCAGATTTCTTGAATTGGGAGAGTTTTGCATTATATATAGATAATAATATCAATATTCGGTTTGTCAATGATAATAAAACAAATTGATGAAACATATTGAATGGCATTGAGATACTAATTCCGAAGAGGACAGCATCAAACAAAATCAGCGAGTTCACCAAATCCAACTCAAAATCACAATTGCTTTTGGTCACAGTTCAAATCTTATGTTTACTTATTTTAATTTCTCTCGGTTGAATGATGAAACCAATTTGTTGTATTTGGTTATGATGACTGAAACTTTAATTTCACATTTCCTGGTAAGAATCTTCAAATTTTGTTTGCCAAAGCATAAAACACACACACACAAATACAACATAATTGGTTTCATCATAACCAAATACAACAAATTGGTTTCATCATTCAACCGAGATTCTTACCAGAAAATGTGAAATTAAGAATACAATGAAGTTCACGTCTTCAAGAAACACCATCAAGGAGCACAAGAAATGTAGCTTTTCTAGGGCTTCTACACTACATACCTTCCTCTTGAGACCTTGTAACCTGAAGACGAGTGAATTGAGGTGCTGAACGGCAACGTCTCGGGACAAATCGCCGCCGGCGACGTCCGCCACGCCGGAGATGACAACAGACATCTCCTTCTCGACGATACGGTGGTTGGCGCGGATCGTCTTCTTGTAATGCTCGAAGGGGACTCTCAAGAACTGGTGTTCCAGTTTCAGAAACTCCGCCAACTGATTCAGCTTCGACGGCGGAGCTGTCATGGTGGCGGAGGCGGCAGCCGCGTCTGTGACGGTGGCGGTGGCGGAGTTGCCGTTGGGAAGCGTTTCCATTTCCATCGCGGTATAAAGAAAGGAATTAGATCGAGAGAGAGAGGGGAAAGAATTTTGGATTTTTTAGATTTATGCTGGTATTAAGCATTTCACCAAGACTGTGGGACCCACGTGTATTGCCAAATTGGTTTATGTTTTACACTTTTACTCATACTCTCTATTTGGGTGTCATTGTGGATTGAAATGTTAAGCCTGAATCTAAAATCCAATAAAAGTCCAACAACCATTACTTGTAACCCAAACTCTTTTGTTTTTTTATTTTTTTATTTTTTATTTTAATTTCCTGGCAACACCAACCCACAAAAAGAAAACAAAACTAAGAAGCAGGTGTAAGAATTTTTGGCCTTCCATCCATTGATTAACGTTATTAAAATCCGAATTGATGATTGAATATTAGCATTATATACGGTTACTTATAATGCGATAAACATAACTTAGTTACGTTGGGTTTGTTGTTTTTTTGATAAAGATCCCTTGATGGGAGGGATTTTATCAGATAATTTATATATATATTGTTTGATCCACACTCTCACACATACGTTTAATTCAGTTTAGTCTAACCCCATTAGATAGACTTCTAAGCAAAAGTGAAGGGGTGGAAGATCAAGCAAAACGTTCTTTTGCAAATCTTGTACGTTGTTCTATTTCTCTTTAATTGTTTTGATTTCTTGCTACACATTGCGTAAGGACTTCCGCATGTTTAATCATTATATTGTTGTGTTTTAAGCATGTGTATGATTTCTTAAATTTATTTGCAGTAGCATCCAAGATATTACAAATCGGCAGCGGCAGTGACTGGAGCACTAAATCGATTGACATACCAATCTTTGAGAGCCTAGCAAGAGCATTGGCCACTCGATTACCTGTCGTCGGACATGCGAAATGGAAAATTTAGAAAAATATTGAAGCTCTTGTTTGATCTCAGAGACTAAAGAAACAATTGAAACATCTCTAGAACAAACTCCTTCAACGGCATCCACCACCTTTTTAGAATCCGACTCAAAGCAAATCCCAAAAGACAGCACGGCGAAAGCAAAAAGACTGTGACTTTAGCACGGACGAAGACACAAAAGGCTTAAAAATTACCACTTGAAGAACCAAACCTGAGGAATCCCGAAACACTGAACCTCCACTTGCCAGCTGAGAAAGCTTCGAGAAAGAAGCATCAACATTACATTTAACAACGCCATGCATTGGTCGGTTCTAGCGGGAAGGGGCATCAGTCCGCTGCGAGGGATGAATAGTTTGCATTTCTTGTGCACTCGATTACCCAAACTCAAAATCAGTGTGTTTTTTAATCCATCGAGTTGGAAAATCAATGAATGAGATCTAATAACTTGTTATACCTTAAGATTTGGCGCATATGTTTACCGGTTAGATGACAATTTGTCCTGTAAAAATGGATGGGTACCCACCCCACTGTATCTTGTATATAGTAATTTTGGGAGACTATTTAATTTAATTGAATAAGAATGATTTTTATTAATAAAAATTCACATGGGCGCGTTTATATTTCATATTTATTAAATTATCCTATATATATATATATATATATATATCTATATAGTAAACTGAAGACACAGATTCTTTCACCTTTCATCTCTCACACCTCAAGGCCTGCCACCGTCGCGACTTGCCTTCACTGCAGCCGACTCGACTGTCACCGTCACGGCTCACTGGTGCTAGTGTGGTGCTGTCAGTTCTCTCTCTCTTCTTCTATGGTTCTGTCATATTCATGGTGGAGAGACTTAATTGGTACTAAAAAAAATTGCATGCCATTTTGAAAAGACGAACACAGATATTCATTTGAGGCTTTCTAATCTTTATTTGTAACGAAATTATTTCTGTGATTGAGTACTCCTGTTCTTTAATTTTTCATTCTATATTTATTGATTGGAAAATTTCCCTATGTTGTTATATTTAAGAGATCGTAACTGAGTGTGTTCATTATTATTCTTTTCTATCTTATTTTTCTTCGTTGGCTTAGTTTTGTAAGATTTGAGTGCTTAGGAAAACAAAGGGTGGAAGTTTGGAAGTACACTGGAGTGAAAAAACTTAAATGGGACGGGGATGGGGACGGGAACGGGGTAGGAAAGTACTTGGTTTGTTCGATTTTGGATAAACAGGGACGGAAAAGATACACCCGTTCCGTTGCCATCCCTTTTAACAATCTTGTCAAATTTTTAAAAAATGACTAAATTATCATTTCTTTATGTTAAAAGATCTTAATAGTTTTCTATTTTAATATTAAATGGCAAAAATATTATAAAATGTCATTGAAATGCAAAATATCAATTTTCATACAAATTTCATATTATTCAATTTTACGAAAATAATATATATATATATATATAAGGTAATTGAGTCTTTTGGTTTGATTTTTTTTATTATTAAATTAGATAAGGGTATGAAATATATTTTACACTTAATAATAAAGGCCAAATGCTCTACTAGAAGGAATTTGTAAGGTTTGTATAATTTGCCGGAATAATTTTACTTGAATGGAGTTTTAGAGGTTTTTACGTTTGGGTGGAGTGTTGGACAGAGATACTAGGAAGGATTCTAGAATTTTGTAGAGTATAAAACATATTGCATATGGTAATTTGATGAAATTGTAGATATTTATGTAACAATTTAAATACTCCAGATAGAAGGCCTATAAATAGATAAGGATGTGTATTGGTAACTCCAATAGCTACTTTTAAAATAGATTGTACTGTAGTATATTCTCTCTCCACTTTTATTTTAACCATTAATTTATTAACGTACTTTCCTAAATTGATAAGAGTGTCATATATATATATATATATTGACAAGAGTGTGTTATAATTCTCCTTTGATCCTTAACAAAATTTAAATATATATGATTAAGATAAAATATATTTTAAAATGTATTTGTAGACAGGGCGTACCCTTTAAAAGGTAAAAATTTGTGTTGAAAAGTTTACCGGAAAGTGTATATATATATATATATATAAAATAAAATAAAATAAAATAAAAGATAAAATGCAAAAAAATCTTCCTGAACCATTGAAGTCCTCCTTAAATTATTAAAAACCACTTGAATTATTATTTTGTTGCAGTTTACCTCAATCTGGCAGGTGGATTAATCGAAAAATTCAAAAGACAATTTTACGAGGTGGTTTTGGCACTTTTACACTTAAATGTGCGATGTGGATACACTTAATTGTATGACGTGGCAGTTATAATCTGAAGGACCAATTATAACATGACACTTCACCCAACACAATCTCTCATATTTTGAGATGGTCAAAAGTATTGTCTTTCAAAAATTTTTGAGAGGTCTATTTTTTCTTATAAGGTGCCGTTTGAATGAAAATAATACACCTCAAATAATATTTTGGATGAAATGCACCGTAATATAGTATTTTGACACTGTAGCTCATCTCAAAATATAACTTTGGCATGGAAAAATAATATTTTGCATTGGAGATTCTTTAAGGGCGTGTTTGGGTGTAGTTGGAAGATAAGGGCTTGTTTGTGTTTGGGTTTCATAATCAGAGGCAATAGAGTCTTTTCACATTTATAAGGGTATTATGGTCTTTAAATTATAATATTACGTGTCATGTGATCGGATGGAATATTTTAACAGTGAGATCCAATCGGCCGTTCGCCGGAACAAAAATGCAAAATTTAGGAAGTTTATTGCAATTTTTATAATTCAGGAGAATTTATTGCCGATTGACCAATAATTTAGGAATTTTATTTTTTTATTTATTTTTTTACCTTAAAATAAAATGAAGAGAGCTTTGCCACGAAAGAATGCATGGCAAGTTAGAAGTGGCAAACACTTTAAAGTTGTTTTACCTCAAGAATGTAATTCAATTGGCATTTCAACTCCCTTTAAATGAATATATATGGGTTTTTTTGTCCTATTTGTGATACTTAATATATATATATATATATATATATATATATATATATATATATATATATATATAAACATTTTTAACCTTTTGCATTTGAAGGGTTTGAGATACGTTCTTCTGACGCCACCGCCAAAGAAAAGCTGGGAGCAAGAAGTTTGTCATATATGATCCTTTTAAATGAAAATATTAGAGTTTTGAGTGTCCTGTAATTTAGTTCAAACCCTCATTTTTTCATTTAATAGGAAATAAAAGTTCTATTTCATTTAAATGATTAGTGGTTTTATTTGAATTAAATTATTGATGTAAAACATCTTTAAATTCTTATATATTTTAAATGTGATGGCACACGGGATTCAAATCCTCCTCTTCTTTTTGAGGCAGTTAAAATACTATTTGAATTAATTTCTTGATGTAAAATATATTATTTTTTTTATTTTTTTATATATATATTTTCTTGCAGATATTTTCAGGAAGTGAGTGTCAGAACCGATCAGAACATTAGGTGAGGGGGCAAGAATGATTTTTTTTGTTTATAATAATTTTAGAGGGACAATAGTAATATTTTGTGGGTATACAGTATATAATAGAAAAAGAAAAAATAAAGGCATATTAGGAAAAATAAAGTTTCAGGGGCAATAGCAATATTTTATGGGTTGCATTAATGGCAATATATCCAATATAAGAGGAGAGAATCACTCTCGTAGATAGTTGAAGCTCTCCTAGGTGTAATATCAAATGACAATGATTCAATTAAACCAGAATCAACAATCTTTATGTCCATATAGTGGCACCTACCATGAACTTATGTATTTATCTCCGTCTAATTATTGTTCAAATAAAATATAATTTTAGAAATTATATTTAAACACATATATCAATAGATATAGATATTGAACGTATCATTTCAATAATTTCATAATTTGTTACTCAAAAGTTGGCTGGAATTTCAATTATGTTCATCAGAATGGTCACCGGAATCTAAACTGGAAGGTTAGAACTTTTGCTAGAATTCGGGGTTGTCACCGAAAATTTTATCGGAGCCTCATCGGAATACCTTATAGACTCACCGACACCTCACCGAAATATAGGTTCGTCGGCTAAAAACTTCATCGAAATCCGGGCTTGTCGCTCGGAATCCTCATCAGCATTTAGCAGAATCTCTCACACTCTCACCGGAATTCTCTCTAAGACTTGGACAGTTGGACTTGTTCTCAAGTCTGGCACACCTCATATGGGATCAACTTAGGCCTATTTATATAGGGCTCTAATTGAAAGGTGTTATAAATGTTCCACTAATCCATAAGCCCACTACCCTCCTATGTTCGACGGCTAAGATCACTTTCTTTCCCTATCTCAAATTGGGCGGCCCTGATCGCTCGATCATGTAACCTATTTGAGCAATGCATCAGTCACAGGAGATTCCATACCAGCTATCCAAATAACTTGTTGATTGTATTATAAAGTGGGGAACAAATATACTTAAAGTATATTGTGAAATCCTTTATAAAAATAAAGATGTATGTCAAAACACGTTCTTCCAAGAATTCATAAGCTATACAAATGCATTGAAATGTTTATTAACATTCACTTTTTCTAATGGGTTTGAGCTTTAATTCTCAATCCCATCATCATATATCAATCTGATCACCGATTTGATCAATTGTGTGTCCTTGTCTGTACAACTTAACCATAACTTAGCTTTATAATTTGTGTTAGTAATTTATGTTTATGGTATATGTTTTCGAAAACACTTGAACCTATGGTTTTTATCAATGCCATGTGGGTTTTGTTTTGGTTGTATGTGACACATGAATAGGCTTGACTAATTATCGGGACTCGTGCAAAGCTTCGTAAAGATCAAATAAAATTTAGATTATGTTTGCAGTTGTGATTCCAAAAAAATTACTGGTATATAAGAGAAATTGAACTTGAAACCTAATTCACCCAAAGTTTATCCAAGTCTTTTCCAATTAAGTTACCCCTTGCGATTCTTTGAACACGCTTTTAAGCCCGTGTCTAAAAATTGTCATTCATGACAAATACAATAAAATTTTTTTCTTGTTATACTATTTATGTTAATCAACCAAATCTTGAAATGTTGTATTAAACAAAATTAATTTCATCCCTTTTATGAAAATGTTTATTATAGTCATTTTACCTCAGTTGTTATTAATTACTAATTCAAATAATATCAGTTTCCTAAAATAGTGTAAGGATTCTATTAGCCCTAAGATTAAATTATAAAGCTACACTTGAAAGTCAGAATACTTTTTCTTACTCACCGGAAGCAGTTGAACACAACTCTCTCTATATATATATATATATATATATATATAGAGTAGTTATATGTCCTAGCAAACATTATAATACAGTACCTTTTTTTTTTTAATTAGATTTAATTTTTTAAAAACAAGACTAAAATAATTTATTAAAAATTGAAAGGATCACAAGTAATTTCGTTTACTAACCACCTTTAATAATCACAGATAAGTTGCCATGGAATTTTTAAAAAAAATATGGAGGGCCACCTTTAATAACCATTAATAGGTATTATTACTAGAGTTTTGGAAAAAATAATGGGGTAGGCTATTATACTCTCAGTATAATGATAGTTTATTGCGTAATACAGGATATAAGCTTGTATTGTGTGTCCTAGGTCTTAGTAAATGTTTTGGCTATATATATATATATATATACATTGAATGATTTTTATCTTTTCCCGACCATTTACTGTATCTGGTTATCCATTTACATTGAATGATTTTTATACATGTGGTTGACATTCTCCTTCGCATACTAATCACAAAAGTGGGACCTTTCATGACAAATACTATGCATCATGATGCATAATAAAAGATGAACAACCATTGTCACGAACCATGATTAATTTGTTCATAAACAATCTGAATTTTATTTTATTCACATGAAATTAATCATTTTTCTTACTTAAAATAAAATAAAGTGACAGGGTCCAATAGAAATATGGCTGAATTAATTATTGCAATAAAAGAAATCTAAAAACAAGGTATATAGCTATGTTGTCTTGGTATTTTTTTTCTTTCTTCTTCTCATGTCTCATATATTTTCTTATAGGATGATAAAATACTGTGTACATCTTATTTTTCTTTTCTTTTTTTAAATTTTTTTGTAGTAATTAGAACCTCGTGCACTATGCTGACTATTTTATGCCGTGAAATCTATGTTTCATATGAAGAGTCGAGGGAAAGACAAGGAGTGATATTTTATGTTTTTTTAGCCCTAATTATCTAAATTAAAATAAAAAGCATTCAAAACATTGAAATGTAATTATATCAATTCACATTATATACAATAAAATTATTATATTTTCTTCTATATATATATATATATATATATATATATATTTGTCTAGTTTGGAATAAAAGTAAAAAAAAAAATAAAAATACTGGCTAGATACAATTATTAAATTTTGAAATCCCCTAATTCTTAAAGTCAACATTGTCACTAACTTTGACTAAATATTACCTGTAAAATGATATGGTCATATTATTTGACAGCTATGCATAATAAATCACAATAAATATTATTCACAGTACAGCTGTATACTTGTAACGTAATGTTAAATTTGTGACATACAAAATGTGTTATGACTTATGAGCAAAAATAATAAATAATATCCATTAACATCTTAAATTTAAAAGAAAAATAGTTTTAATTAATCATATATCCTTTTCAACTTTCAAATAATTAGTCAAGCAAGTAGCACTTTAATGAAGGTATTAGTGTGAATCCGACCAAAAAATTTCCTCTTAACTTTATTTCAAAATAAAAGCAAAACACACCACGAACTAAAAACAAAAGAATTACAATAGACTCAGGAAAAAAGTGGAGGGCTAAATTTGAAAAAATTATTACACGAGTCCATATTATTTTTTTATATTTTAAAATAGAAGATCGAGAGTTTAACAAAGGTATTAGTGTGAATGAGACCAAAAAATTTCCTCTTAACTTTATTTTCAAATAAAAACAAAACACACGACGAACTAAAAACAAAAGTATTACAACAGGTTCTAAAAAAAAGCGGAGGGCTAAATTTGAAAAAATTATTACACGATTCCATACTATGTGACATGACATACTAGACTCTTTAGTCTAGTGATAATTTTTTACATTTTAAAATAGAAGATGAGAGTTTAAATTGTGAGTGTATTTTTTTGTTATGAAAAAAAGTAAAAAATAAATAAAGAAATAACATGTAATATAAACAAAGGGAATAAAACTGGATTATTCACCCCACAAACCAAAAGCAAAAGCATTATAGTAGGCTCCATAGAGAAGTGAAGGGCTGAATTTAGAAAAATTATTATATAATTCGAAATTATATGACTGATAAATTAATAAAGAGATGACATGCAATAAAAAAAAACGAAATAAAATTGGATTCGGGGGTTGTTAAGAAATCTGATACTATAACCTTCGTGTCAAATAAAGGGCGGAAAGCATGCAGCAGGTGGGACCCACGCATCAAACGGTGTTGATGCATTCGGATTAAGTTTTTCCCTCTACTTTAGAAGAGGCGAATCATATCTCAAAACATAAAAAAAAAAAAAAAGAAAAAAGAAAAAAGAAAAAAAGAAAAAATCTCTGTAGTTTGACCTTCTCTATGCCCTCCACTGGGCAGTCACCACAAGTCCACTTTCACTGCACCCGACCGCTTCTGATCACAACTCCTTCAAAGGTACGCTCCTCTTCCACCTTATACGCGGCATCGAAATTTTAAACCTTTTGCACTTGGACGAAACTACCCCTCACCGATACTCCGCTCTGAGAATCAGATACACAAAAGAAGAACCACCACTGCTTTCCTCTCACCACTTTGTGCTCTCTCTCTCTGTCTCCCTCTTTCTCTCTCTCTAACATAATTACAGAATTTTCTTTCCGAACAGCTACATTGATTTCAAGATTTCGAACTTTTTGGCCGCCGGAATCGAAGTCTTTCACACCGTTCGACTCTTCGATTGAGTAAGACTCTCTATCTCTCTATACAGACACACACATTTCTCTCTTTAAAGTGAAGATTTCATATATATCATGTATTTGTTCCTGGAATTTCGGGATTCTTTAGTTGGATTATGTTTTGAAATTTCAAATTCGGGAAGAATTTTTTTGATTCCAAATTCGGAAATTTTGACTGGAAATTGATTAGTGACATTTTTGAATACACATGTGTGTGTCTGTGTGGTGTTGTTGAAATTTTTGAACGTTATGGGTTTTCCAAGAAGAGTAGAATAACGGTAATATCTGGGTGTTTGAAATTCTGGAGAGAAGAAGAGAGAAGAGCGAGTAATTGAAAAATATCTGTTTTGTTCTCATGTGTTTTTCTTGGGAAATTTGACAAGAAACTCGTTTAAATGAATTTCAATCCGTGTTCATGCTTGCTTGAGAATCTTGAGTTTTATGTAACATGATTTCTCGAAATAGAAAATTAGATTTTATTTTTTTTATTAATTTATTATTATTTTGCATTTTGGGGTGTGATTTATGACAGCCAAAAAGCTGTTTCTGCAAGAATTTCCACATTGTGTTCGACCTATTAGGATGGGTTTCAGGGTTTGAAGAAATAGGGTATTTGGAGGGTGAGGGTAATACTGTCTTTTAACAGCCTGATTAGCTTGATAATAATATCAACTTCTGACACTAATGCTTTTCAATTATGGGTCAGAAACACATTGATTGATTCTTTTTGGGCTTTCATGATGTCTGCAACGAAAAATAAGGTTGTTGAAATCAATACTACACATTTTTGATTCTTCACACTTGCTGAAATCTGTATATATTAATATATATATGTATAAATATATATATTTCATTTTATATATATTATAATTATCATTGTTGTTTGGGGAAGTGGGGGTTAGTTTTTTTGTTTAATTTGCTTTGAATATGTATTTACTCATTGCTGTTGCGCAGGTCCAAATTGAAGTATTCCCAGGTTGTTTGCTGCTTTTCACTCAGATTCGTTTCAATAATTTTCTGTGGACAAAAGGTAAGAATTACTTTTTCATATTGTTATATATTCCCACTTCTATATTATGTCGGAGTTTTTCATCTTTCTTATTCTAGAGCTGAATTTGGGATTCAGAAACGTCCTTGCATAACATGACTGAATAGTGAATAACTGAGTACCCGTGTATGTTGGTTTGTTTGGAGCTTTTGAAATCTCTTCTGTGTATGTCTTTTATGGTCTTTGACTATTGCCCTTCCCTTAAATTTCATGTGTTCTTTTAGAGGAAAACTTTCTGCAGCAAATGTTCTCTTGGGGATGGGGAGTGTATCTTGTTTAAATTGTATGATAGGCCATTGGTTTTGTTACATATATATATATATAGATATATTTTTCTTTTGTTGATAGTTTTATTTACTTTCTACTTCTATGGTCTGAAGATTTCTCTTACTTGGTATTCCATTTAAGTTGGTTTTAACTAATATGAAATATGAATGCGATTTGCTTCTCATTTTGCCATTACATTCCTTAAATTATTCTTTGAAAAAATGTTTATGCAACTATAAGAATCATGGACTGGAAGTTGCTCTCTCTCTCCCTCTCTCTCTCCCCTTGATTGGAATTTTCTTTATGTTCTTTATGTGGTTTAAGGTTCAATTTCCTTCAGGTTTGTCAAAAAAAGGAAAAAGCTTTAATATGTTTCATTTGGCGAGATTTTCACATTCATTGTCCAAATTATGGGTTTTTTTTTTTTTCCATGTATATAAATTTTAAAATATGATATGTTGAGATTTACAATGCAATGTTGGTAATCTTTAATTGAAACATGATATACTTATGTATGTTCATCTCTTCTGGTTTTGTCTGTCCCTAGCGATTATTATGATGAGCTAGAGGCATCAATTTCAGTTGAAGACACACAGATGATGAAGAAGCTCTTCTTTTTCAGATCTTCTGGATCTGGTAGTGGAAACAATAATTCTGTTTCACACCCTTCAACAGACAAGCAAGTTTATTGGGAGAAAGTAACAGACACTGATACCAGACCGTGCCTTAGAAGGAGCTTTTCATTCTCATCTGCAGCCTCTCATGATGGTGCTCTAGGACAGAGGAATGGGTCTCCTTCTCGCAGTAGTAATGTTCCACTCAAGCGATCCAATCGACATTCATCCCGGTGAGATATTATGTTTTGCTTGTTTTTCAGAATAAGAATTTGCATATATATAAATATATATCATCTTCTAAAATATTTGTAATTATGTATGTGTTGCTTCTTGAAACTGATTTGACTGACTTGTGGTTCTTGTTAGTTATCGTACCTTTACTCCTGAAAGGCAATCCAAGGAAAAATGCTTTGAAGCTGTTGCAATTAAAAATGCGCATGCAGTAGAGAAGCCTGGTTCTACTACTTCGTCTGCAAGTCTCAATGATTCATCAGAGGGCTCCAGTAATGTCTCAAATAAGGTTCTGGACCGTTACATTGACGGGGAACAACAGCAGGAAAGGAGTTTGCCAAAGTGCAATTACTACGAGAGAAATCACATTGGAAATGGAAATAGTGGTGGAAAGTATCCCCGGCAAGTTCAATATACAGCCCCTGCTTCACCAACAGATAGTGTGAAAGGGAAACCAAGGTCTCATTCATTTAGAGAAGCTAAAGGAGGAACCCACCATCATTTTTCATCTGGAGACTCTGTGGGGAATGGATTTGAACAAGAATCTCCTCGGAGGCTTGCAAAGCATGTGATTGAGAGACTTACCCAGTCTCGTGTTTTACCCAAAACAAGTTCAAAAGAATTAAATTCTGATGTTCCAATAACCATTGAAGATATCTATGGTGGACCCTTAAATGGATGCCCTAGTTTGAATTCAGATAGGGTTTTGAGAAACAGCTCTCTACTGGATGGACAGAATAGAACCACCAATGGATATCACCACAAAGAAATCTCAGGCTTCCAGAAACGAAACTGCTTCCCTATTGATAATTGTGGAGATCTGAACTCTTTTGAGATTGTAGAGGACTCAGACGTGGACTTACTAAGAAAATCCAAGGAAGCTGAGAAGCGGTTCATGGTTCTTTCTGAAGAGCTTGAGCAGGAAAACTTTCTTCAAGACAGTGGGTTCAGTGTGCCTGCATTGATTCAGACAATTAGAAACCTAACTGAGGAGAAGGTAAGCATGGCACTTGAGGTTTCATCTATCCTACGGGATCGAGTTGCTGAGAGGGCTTCAACCAAGGAAGAAATTAGACTGGTAAGAGTGGAATTGGACTCTCGGACCCGAAGACTGGAGAAGGAGAAGAACGAGTTGCAGTTGGCTCTGGAAAAGGAGTTAGACAGAAGATCAAGTGACTGGTCAGTGAAGCTTGAAAAGTACCAGGCAGAAGAGCATAGGCTTCGTGAGCGGGTGAGGGAACTCGCAGAGCAGAATGTCTCGCTCCAAAAGGAAGTCTCTTTTTTTAGCGAGAGGGAAATGGAGACTAGTAGCAGGATAACATATTCAGAGCTACAACTTAAGGACCTGACCACAAGTTTGGATGAAACAAGAGAGGAGAATCAAAATCTAAAGCAAGATTTTTCTGACATACAAGAAAAATATAAGGCAGCGGAAGAAGATCGTGATTGCATCCGTAGAAATTATGAAGAGAAGGAGAAAGAGCGTAAACAGTTACACAAATCTATTACTAGATTACTAAGAACCTGCAGTGAACAAGAGAAGACAATTGATGGGTTGCGAAAAGGACTTAGTCATGAAATTAAGAAGGGTTCTCTGGAGAACTTTGATAAGCAGTTAGGAAAGTTGCAAATGGAGCAAATGAGATTGACAGGGGTGGAGCAGGCTTTGAGGAAGGAGGTGGAATCTTATAGGCTGGAAGTTGATTCTCTTCGGCATGAGAATATAAACCTATTACAACGTCTAAAAGGCAGCGGAAATGAGGGTGGATTTTCAATTTTTAAGCTGGATCAAGAACTGCAGAACCGTGTTTGCTGTTTGCAAAACCAAGGACTAACACTGCTTAATGAGAACACTCAGCTTTGTTCGAAGTTACTAGATCACATCAAAGAGAAAACAACCCAAATCCCAGAAACTAACCAGGGTACTGAAGTCATAACTAATGGTTTTGATGATCAATTTATTGTTGAAGCTGATATGAAAGTCCAAGGTTTTAAGCGGGGAACTGAAAGCTTAAGGAGGAGTTTACAGACAATATCTGGTTTGTTGCATGAGAAGTCCAATCTGGTCATTTTGGAGTCTCATTCACATAGCTTAGTGGATGAATCAGGCTGGCTAAATAGTAAGAGCGTTGAGGTAAATTGGCACTGATATATATATTGGTGCACATAGTTGTTATATAATGATAACGATGAAAGTGAAGTCTACTGTTGCTTATTCTTAAAATGTTCTTTCTGTTGAACTGATACTCAACTCATGTTTGTTTTTCTTTTACTTTAAATTGGGTGTTTACCATTCAGTTTACTCGTGTAGGACACCATAAAATCAGAGCTCAAAGCAGAAACTTTACTAACAAGTTTATTGCGAGAAAAGCTGTATTCCAAAGAACTGGATGTGGAGCAACTGCAAGCTGAACTAGCGGCGGCTGTTAGAGGTACTGACATTCTCAGATGTGAAGTGCAAAACGCACTGGACTCACTTTCTTGTGTAACTCACAAGATGAAAGATCTTGAACTTCAGGTAAGCCTACCATGTAATTTTTCTTTTCCTGAAAATTTAAGACCCAGACTCGTAATATCCATGTATGTACTTTTATGTACTTTTTTGTGTGTGTACATGCATATAATTATGGCTGCGCACCAAGTGTATAGGTATTTAATATGAGTGCGTTTTAAATAAAAGTTTACCGAATTAACTTTTGAGTTTAGATAGGACTAGAAAGAGGGGAACATGAGTAGTATAACTAAGTAATATTGCTGTTTGATGATTATGTTTTTAGTAGATAATCCATGAGAAGATGGGAGTGCTTTCAGATTAGCAAACATGTCCACTAATTGGATAATATGGGCCATTTTTGTTTGACATAAGACGTTTGGGCCGCTAATGAAGAGCACTCCTTTAGAATAAGCTTAACTGAAATGAGGCATCAAAGTGGGAACAGTGGCAGGATAAAAAGGATAGATCTAGAAGTTGATGCATTAGTTAGGTGCTTGAGATAGCAATGTTTAACAAGCTGAGCCTTCTCTTTGATAATTCAATCATGTCCAACGAAGGCAAATGACTGCCATTACAAATGAATTATTAGACGAAGTTGAAGGTGCTGCAAGAATAAGAGAAGGCCTACAAACATGGCTAAATGATATGGTGAACTGTACTGTAAAAGGAGAATTTTCTGATAAATTGGGGGGTTTTGGGGTGGGGTGGGTGGGTGGGTTACTTTATTAGTACAAGTCTTTGCTGATATGTGCCTGAGAACTTGGATAGTCGTAGTGAAAATGCAGTGTATTCTGAACTCAGGTAGTATTCATGTATGCCTTTATATGTGCTTCTGTGTGTGCACACGTTATGGCTGCGCATTGAAGGAGAGGATAGGCATTCACATTGGTTAGAGATCGGCATAAAGGGAAGAGGCCCCATGGTTTGTGATAGATTTTTATTTTTTTGTCAACAATACTATATTTGATGTAAATGCTAATTTATTACTAGGTAGAGGGGTGCTGAAATTTGAAGGATTAATGTAAGTGGGATTCTGTTAAATAATGTAAATATTACCATTGCTTTAGATAAGACTTTCAAATAGGGGATGGTGAATAATATGACTAAGATGTATAGAAAGTGATTGTTGTTGTTTATATGTATAGATAATTTATAAAGAAAGAGGTTCTCTATGAAATTAGAGGGGCTGAGTGTTTTCAGAATATCAAACATGTTGTCTAATTGCATAACATGGGCCAAATTTGCTTAATGGTTCAAGACTCTATTCGGATATTCCTTGGGAATAAGCTTAATTGAAATGCGGGTGTCAAGGTGTAGCAGAGGTAGGACAAAAAAATATAAGTAGAAGTTAATGCATTTATTATGTGTGATGTGTGATGAACTATGCTGTATAAAGAGAAATTTTTGATAAATGCAACTTTTTTGGGTAAGTAGTTTTTCAATAAACTTCTATTCTTATGTTCTTTTATTTGTTTGGACCTATGCTTGGGATGTCACTAGTGCACATAGCCACGTGTTAGTGTTCCGAACATTCTTGAAGTACTCTTACAAGATGAATCTTTTATCCTTTTATCATGGAGGGACTAAAAATCACTATTTGTTGGTTGAATCTTAAGTTTTTGTTTGAAAATAGCTATACATTTCCTAAAAATTCAGAAATTTGAGTCACCAAATATAGTGGCATTTAAAAGTATCCTTGAAGCTGCTACAAGTACATTTCAGTAGTAGGTTCTGACAATGACTTGCTGTACTTAATGATACAAATGTTTAGTTTTAAATTTGCTCATTCATGGTTGTGTCTTTCTATTTGGATTTAATTTGTGCTATGGCATATTCCTGCCTAAATTTATTTTTTTGAGTGGTTTGCCGTTTGTATGATTGGATTAAATTTCTAACTTGTAAATAACATACTGCTACATATTCTCTGCTGGCTCTTGATTCTTTAAAACTTTTTCTTCAATTATGACAATATCACTTGCTTACATTTTATATATAATTTTCTGCTGCTTTCTGACAGATGATTAAGAAGGACGAGAACACAAACCGGCTTCAAGATGACCTCCAAGAATATACAAGGGAATTATCCATCATGAGGGAAACATTACCAAGAGTCTCTCAGGAAAGAGACTTGATGTGGGAGGAGGTGAAACAGTACAGTGAGAAGAACATGTTATTGAACTCCGAGAACAATGTATTAAAGAAGAAGATAGAGGCTCTCGATGAAGATGTATTACTTAAAGAAGGTCAGATCACAATCTTGAAAGACACCCTAGGCAAACCTTTTGACCTCATTGGCACTCCAGATTTCCGGCTGCAATGATTGATAAAGAGCGTGACAATTAGGTTGGATTTGTAAAAACTGTTCATACTTCATACTTGTATACTTTTGGATTGTGTTTCTCAGTTTGTTTGTTTGTTTTTTTTTTTTCCATTGTTTAAATATTCCATGAGAGGTGAGAATTGAGAAATATACTGTGATTCTTTTGTAACTGTTCTGAACAATTGTCATGATTGTTTGGTTTGCCTCGTCTGCTAAAAGAGGAAATTTAGATTTTGGAATTTACTTTTAGAAGCTATGAATTTTCTTTGATACTTCTTCACCTTGGTTTTGTGAAGTGAAACCAAGGGCCGGAAAATTGTTCACATTAGCGATAAATAAGATTTTGCAGCAGAAGGTGGTTCTTTTAGGTGGTACCTCAAGCACAACTTGTAGAACAAAGATGTGAAAAAAAAAAAAAAAAACATAATAGATGGGGTTGCCTTTGATAAATGACAACCCTTCTTAGTAGGGGACATTGATACCTTGAAGAAGTTGAAAAATGAGAAAATTGACCGGATTAACATGATTGGTGGAGAACTTTGCTCCACAATTATATAGAAATATTTATATATTTCAACAGATACGTTGAAAAAGTTAGAAAGATGTTCGGAAAATGAGAAAATTTCTTGTCTCATTACATAAAGCAATATCAAAGGAAAATATAATTCTTGTAAAGTATATATATCCTCAGTGATGCTCAAACAAGCATGGTAACAAACATAGCTTACTACATTCTTCCAACTAGACCTTGGAACCAAAAGTAGCAACATGAGGCAAAAATCCCCCTCTAGCTTGACAATGATCAAACCAAACATGACAAATAGAACAACATACACTCTTTATATATATATATATTTTTAGCATAACAATGGTTAGCGCAGAGAGATCAAATTTCACAACCTATTACCATTCGGATAACGCCCCACACCGTACAAATAAAATACCTTTGCTTTTACGTTTTGAGGTAGAAATTACTTACCCGTACATATTTTCTTAAAAAAATATAAAAATAAATTACGGCGTTAAAATGGAACTTAAAAAAGCTTCCCAAAGAAAACGTTAAAACGGCGTCGTTTATAACATCTGACCACTCTCTCGCACACCACTCTCCCTCTCTCGCTACGCGTGTCTTCCTTCCATTTCGATCGGTGACCGACGTCCGGAGACGGCACCACCCACCATTCGTCTATCTTATCTCGCCGATGCTCTCAACGAATTTCAGGTTCCCCTCCCTCCCTCTCTCTCTCTATTTCTCCATACATATACATATATATTTATTTGTATGAACGCAATCGTTTTATAACATTGGAGTTTTTATTGTTAGAATTAGGGGTTTCAAAGTTAATGGAGAATTTCTGATTGTTGTTCAAACCCTAATATTCTCTTTGAACTCGTTCCTTTTATTTATTTATTTTTCCCTCTCACTGTGAGAATTATTTAATGGTGAAATTTTCAGTGCTTTTATTCAGGAGTTTCAGAATTGTGAGTCGTGTAAGCTTTAGAAGCATTGTATGTTATAGCTTACGAAATTAGGGTTCTTGCAGAGAGGGTTATTGCTTATGAGCCTCTGTTTAACAATCCCATTTTATCTTACAGATTTCCAAGGTGATTTTCATTTATATTATATACCTGTTTAATGCAATTGTGTTTGTATTATATATCTTTACTTAAATGCGATGTTCTGTTTCTTGAATCTTTTGTTTGCTGTTCAAATATTGTGATTGAAGGAGACTTAGCAGTGACTCTGAGGTGAAATTTTGATATGAAAATTGAGGCCTATATGTTGTGTATGCATTAGTTATTTTATTTGGGACAAGCGCAGAAAACACCCAAAGTATACTCCACGGAACACTTTACCCTTATTTGAAAAAATGTGCAAAAAACACCCCTAATCTTTTCACATTGTGCAAAAATACATAAATTAGTGTTGTAATATTCATTTTGCCCTTTTACTCTTCCAAAAATGCTTAAGGGTTATATATGCTACTAATCTCATCGTATAGGGGTGTTATGTGTACATTACCTTATATTTTTTTTTTTTGAAACTTTTTTCTCTATATATATCTATAAAAAAAATCCCAATATCAGTGTGCACTGGTTTCCGGAATTTGGAGCAAATATGTTTTCTTTCGTTTGCACTTTATTTTCGTTTTTATTTTTTTATTTTTATCTTTACTTTTGTTTTATACTTTTATTTTTATTTTCTATATTTATCTTTATTTGTTCATTGCCGGCGTCCTCCAATAGGCAATAGTGTCATTTTTCTGTCATTTTACAAAATTATTTATTTTTATATATTTTATAAAATGGTTCAGTAGTGTAATTTAGTCAACTTAGGATTTAAATTTGTCAGAGGGACCTATTTGCACCAAATTAAAACTTTAGAGGTATTTTTTGCACGTGAGGGGCGTTATCCAATAATATCCTTTTCGGTCATTTTACAAAATTATTTATTTTTATATATTTTATAAAATGGTTCAGTAAGGGTAATTTAGTCAACTTAGGATTTAAATTTGTCAGAGGGACCTATTTGCACCAAATTGAAACTTTAGGGGTGTTTTTTGCAAGTGAGGGGTGTGATATGCATTGTAAGCATACTTTAGGGGTGTTTTCTGCACTTGACCCTATTTTATTTATTAGAATGGCAACTAGTTATTTGCTTGATTGGGATATGAATTTGGATATTGTGGATGAGGAGGGTCTTAATCTACAGTATCAATAAGAATAGAATTATATATCCCTATACCTCTAAGTCTTCTTCCAAAAGGTATTTACTATACATAGTGGTCTTTTCACTTTTAGTATCCATACCAAAGGTAAATTGCAAACTCCACCAGAGATAGAGAGGAACACGGTCCATTCTCAAAAAATGCAAGGTGGCCCTTCATAGCCTAGGATTGGCACACAAATAGCAAGAATTAATATCTTACCGAACGTGATTTTACTTTCTGTTTCATCTCTAAGAAATTGGAATCATAATTTTGCTTTCTGTGATAGTAGAAGCAGAAATAACTTCCTCATAGTTAACGGGAGCCCGTTTACGAAGCTTTCTACTGTCAGCCCTTAGAAGACAAAATTAAACCCTAAAATCATGTTTAATAAAGTGCTGCTTTTAATTTTTAAAAAACTACGTTCATGTATATAGATAAAGGAAATCAAGTTTTCATAACTTTTCATGTTCTCTCTGCTACGGCGGGACTAAAGCTTAAAAATTAACGTTAGACACTGTCGTTTATTACATTGGATTCTCAGATATGCAGACCTTCTCCCCCCCCCCCCCCCCGACAGACCTGCTTGCTTGACCAGAGGTTCTATACCACTGACAACCAGTCATTGGCGATACCACCGGCAACCATCAGATCAGCGTTCACGGCAACACCACTGGAAACCACCAGATTGGTGATGACTCCGATTTGGGTAAGTTCTCTTTTAGTAATGAGTTTTTGTATTCTTTCTCCTAGCTTTTATCTGTTCTATTCTACAAGAACCAGCTGGAACCTAAAAACCCTAGACAAATTACCACTCTCCCTCTCTCTTTCTAGATTTTCATCATATGAAAGATGGAGTTTGTATATGAAGATGTCGAATCCTTATTGTTACAAATAAAGAATCAAGAGAAGCAGCTTAATATTAAAAGAAGGTCAGTCTCTCTCTCTCTCTCTCTCTCTATATATATATATATATATATCTTCTTAATTTTAGCGTTCATTTTCATTTCTTAAATTGTAACTCTGTATTCTTGAACAATTTAAATTTATCGTTTAATAAAATTTTTTATTAACCGCCTATAATTAAAATTTTATTTAACTGTATCACATAAATTATACTTACAAAAAAAAAAAAAATAATAATAATCTGTATCACTTACATTAGTAGTCGATATACGTGTTTTTCACAGTGTTTGATTGGAAATTGATAGACATGTTTGGCCGTCATTAATTTTATATCTTGGGTATTTGGGAGGTACAGATTTATAACAAATTTTGGGATTGCAGAGTTTCTTATTTATTTATTTTTTAAGCTTAGGTTTATTCAGATTTTTTTTTCTTTTTATTTGAGATATTTCAGTTCTGTTTTATTACAGTATTGGTTAGTGAAGTGGTTATCACTAAAGCATAATCTTTTGGAACATTTAATGATTTTATAGACCTTTCGAATCATATAATGCAATTCTGTTTTGGAGTGCTGGGAATTACATTAATTCAACAGTTCAGCGAATTGTTCTCTCTCCCTACCCACTGGTTGATTAGTGTATGCACTTTGTGGAAGGCATAGGTTTGCTTTTTGTATAACCTCATATCTCTGTGGAACATTTATTTTCAAATTCATTCTAGGTTATCATTGTAATTTTCAAGGATATTTTATGGCAATTCAGTTAGATATTCCAATTTTGTGCTAATAAGGAAAGAACTGTCAATTGATTTGCATGCAGGTGGTTGATGGGATTGCCTATATCCAATTCTGAGCAAAAGGAATTTAAAGGGTCCAAGTTCCTGAAAGATAGGTACGTGGCAAAATTGGTTCAATTCTGTATAATTTAATGACTATTTTTGGAATATTCAGTTTGTTAAACTTCTTGTTCAGCATAGGAAATTGTTTGAGTAAATTGTGGTTTTGAACTTATGTTTGACTATATTTCAATCTTTTTGGAAGTTAGTTATACGTAGTATTTTAATTATGATGTGTTTTACCAAAAAATAGAACTCCTTTTATGATAATTAAAAGAAAAATTGCATAAAGGATATTTATTAAATATAGGGATCAACAAAAAATGAAAACAAATATGGAAGTCAAGTAAGTATTCCTTTTGAGTCCTAAAATAAAGAACAGTAGAGAATAGAATTGGCTATAAACTCTGAAAGTCTACAAGGTGAGTGCAATTCTCGAATCTGTATTACTTTTTCTCTTGGATTTAACAAAATAAAAAATAAAAAATGCTAGTTGACATAACTCTGCTTTCGAGATCGAAGGATTTAGGCATATTTGTTCAAACTTCAAAATACAAATCCAAATTGATGTCCCTGAACCTGAAGTGTATTTAACCAAGCAAAGAGATATATTACACCCCTTCTTGCCGGCTTCCTTGGTTTCCTTCGAATAACGCAGCTAAGAGAGATAACCCTCCTTACATAACTTGTTAATCCTCTATCAAGTGAGTGAGGTGACCCATTGAGGATGGAGCACGAACAATATAACAAGTAATTACTGGCTTTACCAACCTAGACTTAAAAGCCGGACAATTCCTTCTGTATGGTGCCACTGTCACAGTATATATATAGAATCTTGACCCTAGCACCCTTCGTTTTTTAGTTAGTAATCCCAGTGTTATCGTAAAACAGGTAAAGCAGCTAAGAGAGATACCCTCTTAGCTTAAACATGGGTGTGCTCGCAACTCAACAAGAAGGTTATTGGCTAATCTAAGTGCATCCTTGTGATTGGTGCTATTAAATACCCACAAAACTTTTGTACATCTATGATCAGCAGATAAGTATCCTTGCTGAAATCAGTAGGATATTAGTTTGCATGACATTTAGATTAGAGAATAGTATTAAATTTTCATTTTGATTTTCTTGAAGAAAGGAAATGATAAAATGAGGGTACCCACTGACTATCGCTGCAGCTATCTAGTTTTTCATGAAATATCCTTTGAGTGAACAAGAGATCTATTCTCCCTATCACATACTACCTATAATATAATCCCTTTGTCCCAATTTATTACTCTATTTTCTGGATTTCAACATTTCAAGGGGGCATGCATTTAGTGCATTGTCCCTCTTGATATTCTCAATTTACCCTTTGAAGTTTATATATATTATCAAGTTGGGAAATTTTGCAAAATTCAAGGGGGTATTATGAAAAAAATGCAATTATCTCACTTTGACTTTTCAAACGGGACAAGTATTTTGGGACAGAGAAAAAATGGAAAGAGATTGATAAATTGGGATGGAGCGAGTAGATATACAAGAGCACATTGCCAGCTGACTTCTAGTTGTTAGTTGTTATTTTGGGATAGAGAAAAAATGGAAAGAGATTGATAAATTGGGACGGAGCGAGTAAGATATACAAGAGCACATTGCCATCTGACTTCTAGTTGTTAGCTTGAGTGGTATCATAAAATATATAAAAGACCATCTGACGTCTAGTTGTTAGCTTGAGTGGTATCATAAAATATATACAAGACGATGATGTCATCTCCACCATTCTTCAACACCAGGAAACTGATTTCTGATAATCAATTCCACAATCCTATCCACATCTGCGACTATCACAATCATTATAAAATCAACTACCTGAACACCACCATATTCAACCACCTTCCTCCATATCTCCTTCCCTTCTCAAACAAGAATATTTTAGGGGAACCTTCTACCACTTCACCACCACATTACCACCTCTAGCCCAATTTATACCATTGCCACTCCTCTCTCTCCATCTCTCTCTCTCCCCCCAACATGATGGTACCATGCACGAGTCATGGATCCACCCAATTTATAGAACCATCACTTGCAGTCTAGAAAGCACTGACACTTCACCTAGGGGTGCCGTGGCAGTGTCGGACACGCGGACACAGCTTGAAGTGTCCTGCAATTTAAATATATATTTTTTCTTGGACACGGCTAGGGCACGGTTGAAACACGACAAGGGCACTTTCAGGATACGACAGGGTGGTTTTGTAATTATTATTATTTTTTTAGAAAAATGGGATTCAATGCAATATAAAATATATTATGGGTTAAGTAGAAAAATAATATAAAATTTTAAAAACAAAAATAACAAACATCTAACTCTAAGGTCCAAAATAGTGATTTCATAGATAAAATGAGTAATTCTTTTATATATGTAATAATATATTATATTATTATTTTTTGACGTATCCGTATCCGTGCCCTATTTTTTTGAGATTTTTTGTATTGCCGTGTCCATATCATACCCATGTCTCGTTTCTGTATCTGTGCTCTCTAGCCAACCATATGCAACCTCCTTCACCACCCCAATCTGAATCAGATTTCAACTTCCATCTCCACTTCAAGCTTAAATATGAGTTCCACGACACCTGCTGCCTCAACCCCAAATTCAATCTCATGACCATATTTATATACCAACTATTTTCTACCAAAAGAGAAAGCTTAAGCTTCCCCGTTACAGCAGAAAGCTCCACCACCTGACTTCCAATCCTCATCACAACCAAGAGGAATTATATGGGTTTTTGCTCTTTGGCCTGATAGCAAACTTGTTGGCTTTTTCATCAGAAAACTGTATTTCTCTATGGAGAACTTTCAGAGAATAGGAAGGTAAAACTATATTCTCCATTAAAAAATAATTTTTGTATTGGGAAGGGAGATCCCTTCAATTAAGCTTAACTTTAAAGGAGCTTCATGCATTTTGCTCTTTAAATTGTTAGCATAATAAATACATGGGCGTTGATAAGTTTAGCCAGCTGGCAATATCCAGTAACTCCATATCCGATATTTTTATGGGCAAATTGGAAACGGCAAGGACTTAGCTTTAGGATCTCATGTTGTGAACAACAATAAGGTTTAACAAATCATGGGCCTTGCAATCGCAGGATTTGAAGCACTGCTTTTTATAACTCCGTTGCTTGGGAATTTCCTAGATGTTAACTTGACCTACCATATACATATCCAATCTATAGGGTTAAGTTGATTGTGTGTGTAACTGCTATGGGATCCTTTTTGTAGGCCGAAATTTGGCTTAATTACGTAGCAAATTGAAAAAAATATTGTGAATTATATTAAAAGTTAGTTCAATAAACAAAAATTTCTAGAAAATCCATTAGGGCTTTTAACAAAGATTTTTTCATAATGTGTATAGGCCTACATACACATTACCTTATGAGCAAATGTTATCATGTTATTTTCCTTTCCTTATGTCTTTCTTTTTTCTCTTTATTTATTTTTCCTTCAAATGCTTTTGCTGAGAATAAATTTCGAGTTTGACATTTTTATTACATTTGATTGTGGTGGCATTGGTGGAAGTGGTTATCAGTAACGAATAGCAGTAATAGAAGCAAGCTTCATTTGCTTTGTTGCAATTATGAATTATGCTTTCTCTTTACATAGAAATAGTAGCAGTGACAAACTTGCATTTTTAACAAAATTCGAGTTTCGCCCCTCTGTGGCAAGAATGGCAATAACTCTATATTACTTGGCAATGTTGCTTTTCATGTCAAACTTATCAAAAAAAAAAATGTTGCTTTTCATGTCAAGGCAATCAATTCTTTGCCTTAGAAATTCTTTTTTTGATTAATAATGTCACTTGTTTTAGTTTTGGGTTTGAGTGAATTTGGACCTCTTTCCTTTTATGCAGCATTAATGTCATATTTATGTGTAATTTTATTTTAGAGTATGCCGTTGAATTTGCTCAAGTATAATTTATGGTTTTTGTTTTCACAGGACTGTGCCAGAATCATTGCTTAGGGAAGATGATGTAAGAATTTGTGTCCTAAAATAATCGCGTTATGAAAATTACAGCAGTTAACTTGAAACAAGACGTAAGATGTATTTATGTGGACCTCATGATGATATTGTTTAATGCATGACATAAAAAAATATACTATATTAATAAGGGTAAATTGCATAAAACCCCTTGAACTATCTTCTCTCTCTCTCACAAAAATTTCCCTTGAACTACTATTTAGACAATTAACCCCCTAAACTATCCCCTTTTATACAGAATACCCCATTCCGTTGATGCAATAACAGAAAATTCACCCTCTGCAAGTCACGTGATCAACCCAATTTTTTATAAAAACATTATTGCTTTTATGACCGTTAGGTCATACCCATATTTATTGGGTTAACCCGTTTTAACCCCCAATCCCTCCCACCTTCATTTCAACAACCAAACCCTAACTACTGAGTGCAATCCATTTGCGAACCCGAACTACTTTATCTCTCTTTCATCCATCTATATGTTTCATCCATGAAATCAGTGTCTTTTGGCAACAAGCTACCCGCTAACTCCATCTACGTTATGACTTTGAGCATGTAAATTTTACACAATTTTCCACTAATTCAGTAACACCATTTGGGTGTTCGTTACATGCTCTTGTTGCTGTAATGGCTTAATCAATGATGATTTGAGAATCAAGGAATAACAATCTCCTGTTTTACTGCTATTTCATGTGTTTCAACTTCTCCCTATTATAAATTTGTAGGGAAAAACGAAAGCTAAAAAAAAAAAAAAAAAAAGAAGAAAAAAAAAAGCGAAAAGGGTTGTCACAGGAAGAGAAAATTGAGGGTTCCTTGATGTGGTTCCAGATCAAAAGATTTGCTTCAACAATCAACTTTTACAGTTGCTTCGGCCATTGTGGGAAATGGTGCCTTTGCTTTATGGCTGGTGCCTGGTGGACTCGCTTGGACTCTTTCTAGTTCTGTTCACCGGACAATAATTACGGGTCCATCTGGATTTCCATTGACTGGCTTACTGTATGTTTTCATTGGGTTTACACCTTTCACCATGTTTTAATATTTATGTGTTCATCCATCTGGTAAAGGATTAGGGTTTGGCTAGCTGGTGCAAGATGGAGGAAGTTTTGGTAACTGATTTACTGAAAGAAAAAAAGAAAAAGAAAAAGCAAACATTAACCATTTGCATTATGATAAAGATAGGATGACATGTCGATTTCTTATTGGATGTGGAGTTTACACTAGCCACATCAGCAAGTAATGTTGGATAACACATGAAAGGACGCAGTTCAATTAATGGGTAAAAAAGTAATTTCAAATTTTCGTTAACGGTGGTTTGACACCATGTCCTTAAGTGTGTATTTCTGTTAGTTTGGGGAGGTATTTTGTAGTTCAAGGGGTTATTGGCAAAGGGGTGATTGTTCAGGGAGGTTAATTGCGATTTACCCTATAAATAATTTATAATTCAATGCCTTTGTCATAGTTACATGCCTTCTTTTATTTACCAAAAATAGTCATGCTTGTCTGTTTGCATCAATGTACAATTGACATAATATGCCAGTATTCTTGTGAAGTGATTCCTTGATTCTTGTTATTGCTAGGTTTGGAGTCTGTTCTTTGTCATTATTGCACAAGCATAAGCATGTACAACAGTCTAAATTTTTAGTTGACATTGGGTGAAATATTCATGAAATTTTTTTTTTTTTTTATTTCATTTTTATTTTTCAAAGGGCTTGATTGGTGCAAATAGTGCCAAAAAGATTATTTTTGTACAAAATTTCTCTTGTAGCACTCAACAATGTCAGGACCTAACAATTGGTGCTGTCATTTATATGCATTTCTTTTTAAACTCTATCTATGTGTTCAAGCTTAGTACGTGAACTTATTTTATGCCGTTGCTGGATTTTAATATGGGTTCAAGCTTAGTACATGAACTTATTTTACGCCGTTGCTGGATTTTAATACTTCTCTTTTTTCTCTAGATTCCCCTCATGTTCTTAAGTCACAAAGTCTCTCCTTTGCCCCTTCGATGAATTTCTCAGCTATGTTGTGCTACATATTCCCTTAGCCTTCTAAGATTCTCTGTCGATTTTATATAAGAACCAGAGCAAGCTTCAATTCTTAAAGCTCTGAGTAGTTCAACTATTAAATAATTTAGTTCATGAAAGGTGTTACATTGAAATCCTCTTCTAATGATGTTATAAGATCCCTCAAGGCATTACAAGACCGAGTACCTTTTTTTGTAAGAGGACTTGAAAGCAAATTTTATCAGTAAGTCAGTTTTAGAATCTAGGAATTATGGTGTTCTTCTTCCAAAAAATGAAGTAAATTTTATCACTTAAATAGGCCATAAATGATGAAAATGAGTTCCCTGATTATTTTTACAAGCAGAGCATATGGTCAAATATTACACAAATTTTTAGGATCCTAACTTTCTCGTCCTTTTCCCTGATTATTTTTACAAGCAGGGCATAAGGTCAATATTACACAAATATTTAGGATCCTAACTTTCTCTTCCTTTTCCCTGGTTTTTTTTACAAACAGGGCCTAAGATCAATATTTCACAAATTTTTAGGATCCTAACTTTCTCATCATTCATCATATTTCTTCATAAAATTATAGTACTGCTCAAGGTTTATTTTCTGAGTTTGAGATTTTTGATTTCATTTTTATATTTTCTACCTTGCTTTTGCTTTGAAATTCTCACATCTTTATTCTTTTTCTAAGCAATCCCATCCAGTATTCTACTGTTTTTTGATGGATTGCTTAGATCAAGCCCTTACCATCTACAATGCATAGAAAGGGAGCTACGAGACTGTATACTCAAGAATTCAAGTAATGTGTTACGTGGCTAGTGAGATTGTCCAGTATACGTAGTTAAATTGTCCAGTTTTCGTTTTTGGAGTGCCTATCCTTTCTATATATTACTTTTTGGTATTCTTAGAAGTTGCTAGGCTATTACTGTGACACTTCCATTAATGACTAGGGTTCAATGGTTTAGGATGCCTGTATGGTGTGATTTTTGGTTTCTGGGGTTATGTCATGGTACTACCAACAATATATTCTGGTCATCGGATAGGAACACACTGAGACCGAACTGCTTCTTTGTATCGTTTATGAAAATAATAGATCAAAGGAGTTACCGTGCACTTTGTCTCTGGTAAATCCTTTAGTTGGGTTTTTTATGGGTTGGTTTTCCATTGCACGTGTAGCTTGCAATATTGAAGTGCCCTGTTCCATGTCATTGTGTTTTCCCATTATCCTGCCACTAATGTTTCTTGGTATCTATTTTCAGGTATATTATGAGACCATCAAAACTTTTGTTGAAAAAGGATTTGAAGCCTCTGCTGTTAAAAGAGATCACCATGTGGTTCAAGAAAGAATGCAACTTTTTGATTTATCCCTGCTTGATCATATGACCAATAAGGGGCTTTACGTTTTTGCCAAGATGCTGACAGGTGGCTCAACTAATTTTGAGAAAACCCGGTTGAAAATGAAAAAGATCATTAGAGAATGTCTTCCAAAAATAGTTGGAAACCGAAAGAATAACCACCAAGTGACCATATCTAAACAGATATCTGAACTTCTCAAAGACCCACACAATTTCCGTGGGACTTCCATGACGCTTTTGACACCTGCATCCCAATCCTAGCAGGCTGCTGCTGCTGCTAAGGTACTGGATGGACTTGAGGACTTCCCATTCCAGACCTTGACCGCAATGCACAGGAAGCTTAGATGTATCCAAGGATACATGCCCCAGTTACATCCTCCAAAATCAGGATGGGGACGAAGCAGTTTAATTAAAGCAGTTAGGAAAAGTTCCATGAAGATGCTATCAGAACTTGGTGAAGAGGATGAGCTGCAGGAACCATTAGCCAAAGCAATGGCTGTTGCAGGCTTATCGCTGAAGCTAGTTCTAGGCTGTAACTCTGTAATAGAGTTTCAACAATTTTCACCAGAAATAGAAGCCTTGCAGAAGGAGATAGCAAAGGCTATTTGGATTCTCAAAGAGAAGGTGAGATTTCCGGAGCTGAAGAATTTGCAGCTTCTGTTGGATCCAAATGCTGAATTATCACGAAGGAGTTTACGTGCAGCAGTGAGGAAACTCCTAACTGAATATCTTTTGGAGTGCAGTGATATGGACCATATCCCAGAGTGTTTATTAGAAACTATTGCTGTTATCAATAGAAGCTCTCGAAGTGCTCCTCGTAGATTTTTCTCGAAGAAGGATATAGAAGAAGAAGTAGAATGTGTATTGAGTGTGAGTGCTCAGACAAGGCAGATTCTGTGGGACTTGCTTCCTGAACATGAGTTTGACCAAGATTATATAGATGCATATATGGAGGATTTAGAAGAAAGTGATAATAGTTATGATGATAATGACGACCAGGAACAAGCAGATATCCTGCAAAATATGAGGCTTTTTTATCCCAATGACGAAATAGAGAGCACTGGGGAGACTGACCCCCTAAATTCCAACTTACATGCCTTCTTAACTAAAGGAAATGGCTCTCCGCCAGTTCTTACACCCAGTGGAAGGTTGAACAATGATTCTATGGATTCTCCTTCTTTTGCTTCTTCCACTTCAGGTTGGGAATCAAAGGTTTTTGACAGCCCACAGAATATGGATGGAAGCCGGTACCACTTGGGAAGTACGAGGAGTTTGGGACTTACTGAACATTCAGTCGATCCGGCAAAACAGTCAAAATCCGTTTCTTCTAACTTTGCATGTGGGGATAAGCACAAGATGGGTAGAAACCAATACCTTTCCATCCAAGAAGCCTGTGATGAGACAAGTATAGTCGCCTATCATCTCATTGGTCATATACTGAATGAGTTAGCGCAGATAGAAGGTTTGGATTTAGACTGGGACGACATATCGTATCTCAGAGGCAATGATTCAATTCCAAAAGATTCTAGGTACTAAAGAAACTTGAATTGGCTCCCAAATTTAAATCACAAAGCTTCCTATCCAATTGATTATCCTTACTGTTGTTTCTTCTTCTATCATTATTATTGTTGCCGTCATTGTTATATAATAGCTCTTGTAACAACAAAATTAACTAGTCATTCCACTCAATTCAATGAAACATAGTCACAACTATTAGGATGTTACATGAGTCCTGATTTGCCATCAGGATTCATTATTATAGGGGCCTGACAAAAGGTTTTAAGCTATTTATGAGTTGCAGGATACAACCTCCTTTCTGGGTCTCAAGCCTTTTTGTGCAAGGATTACTAGGAACAATGCAGGCTCAGTTTTTAACAAGTCAATAAGAAAATGGAAAAAAAGAACGAAATTTAACTTTATTTTCCAGTTGTCACTGTTACAGTCGTAACTGCTGTTTTGCAGACAATATATGCATGCCTTTGAGGGGAAAGGGAAAATGCAGGCTCAGTTTTTAACAAGTCAATAAGAAAAAGGAAAAAAAGAACGAAATTAAAATTTTTTTTTCCCAGTTGTCACTGTTATTGTCGCAACTGCTGTTTTGCAGACAATATATGCGTGTCTTTGAGAGGAAAGGGAAAGCAGTCGCGAATCGTGGTGATGTGGTCTATTGTGATAGTAATTCTAAGAACTTCGGTAAAAATATAGGATGTGCCAGCAATTTATTAGATAATCCATGTATTTGCCCACCATAAAGTTTAGAAATAGACTGGAGGGTGTTTTCTCCTATTTTGTTGAGAAGTTTTCTGCCATATATTAACTTCAAGATATTCCGACAAGACATATTATCTGTTATGATAGACTCAATTGATTCTTTGGGCAAGCCTGAATAGTTGGGTTTAGGCCTTGTTGAGTTGTTGAGTGTGGAGATTTGATAAATTTGACGTTTAGATGCATACTCACATTTGATACATCTATTCGAGTTTCATGTAATACAGCTATTAGGTAGAGTTCATGTAATACAGCTATTAGGTGTAACCAAGGGACTAATGAATTACCAATATTATCCGCCTATATTATCCGCCTATATTATTCTATTGTTTTTTGTTACTTGGAAGGAAATGGTTTGTGATGTTCTCCGTTGTCATGTACAGCCACAAAAAAAGGGCAGATTTCCTCAGAGGAAGATATGTGTGGCTCAGTCATCATTCAAGTGTTTGAAGAGCTAATCCCTCTATTTCCTAAAAGGTATCTTTGCTTCTCAAGCTATTCTTTGGAAATTATTTTATTTGCATTGCAGTTTAGACTATTTGAGAGGTTTTACTCTAGATTATATTGGCATAGTCCGTGACCGAACAAACTTAAGCTTTTACTTGATAATACCACTTCAATTCAATACTGACTATTCTAACTGAAAACGAAGTTAAATTAGTAAAAATTTACGTAGGAGAAATTTTTGGAGTCTCCTTGAATTCTACATATATAAAAGAACTATTAATTATACTTTTTAATCATGTAATTGTTGATAAAGTAGGCATAAATTCTGCGTGTTTATACTTGCAGTGGAAAAGAGTGTGTGAAGAAGTTGATGGATTCAAAGTAACTTATCCATTAGCCTGTTTTGAGGGTTTTGTTGGCAACAGCCAAGTGACATGGAAGAATACTTTCGACAGCTTTTGTGTCGTTTTCTTTCTAAAGGTATACTCCCTTTTCCCTCTGGGTTTTACTGGGATATGTGAGATGTCGAGCAAAGAGTAGCTGCACAATCACAGGATAGAACATTTTCTGTCTTGTGGTAGATAATTTACTGAAGGTGATCCATTATGGGGTGCGCGGCATATATATTTAATGGTTTCCACCTTGTGGCCGATAGAAATATAGCAATGGTAAAGAATTCAAATTAAAGAATCTGGTGGAGGTTCTGTCCAGCCAGCAGCATACGTTTTCTTCAGCAAAAGAGTAGAAGAGGAAGCAAGTTTGTGAATTTTATTTTATTTTTTTAATTTTTTTTTGATGTATATATTTTGAGAAATGAAAATATGCGGTGGGCATTATAGTTGGGCAGTCCCATTTTTGTAAATCGAAATTGCAGTTGGCACATCTAAAGATGTTTGGAAACTGAGAAAATGGCCTTGCCTCATTTCATAAGGTATATCAAAGGAAAATATTGTCCTTGTTAAAATAACATTTTCTCAATGATGCACAAACAATCAATAGTAACAAGGTTTGCTACATTCTTCCAACTGGACCTAGGAACCAAAAGTAGCAACATGAGGCACAAATCCCCCTCTAGATTGACAATAATCAAACCCATACCAAACATTTCCTGGTACAAATGTCCTGAAATAGAACATATATGACACCGGCACTTCACGGCCATTATCCTGTCGACGAAGCACCTTCACCCAGCCAGGCCTCCACCCATCTGACCCGAACCTCTTAAGATACAACGCGCAAACTCTGCCGCCCATGCGGGCTCCACTCACCTCAAACATTTCTACGGCACACCTCGCGAACCCACCATATGCGCCACCATGTCTCCTCGAGCCTCCTTTTGGAGCATATAGCAATTTCGGGTTCTTAAGGTGCTTGATTATGACCAAGTCCCCAGCCGAGTCGCTGAACCTGAGACTAATGGTGTCTGTGGTTTCTGCAGCTGGTGCACATGTTGTCTCAATCTGAATTGAGTAAGAGCGGTTTCCTTGGAGGGCAATGCTGGTAATTTGGCTTCCATTGGCTGTTGAAAAAATGATGATGGCAATGACAGAGATGGTCAAGTGACTTGAATTCTTCATGGTGAAACCTAACAATGTTTGTTTTTGTGGATATGTTTCTTGGAAAAGCTAGTTATGGAAGTTCTCTATTTTGAGGTGCATTATGTTCTTGAGTATAGATTCTATTAGGATATAAAGGTAGATGAAAACATGAAAAAGGTTAAATTGAAGTCCTCTTACTTTACTAAAACATGTGATTGTATGGAAAAGTAGATTACTTTTTTTTTTTTTTGATAAGTGGAAAAGTAGATTACTTTGAGTGAGAGAGATTCCCATCATTCTGATTTGATTGAAAAAGAATGGTTCATCTTTGTACTGTTAAAACTAGTGATAAAACTATTCCAAATCAATCCACTCCCAGATATTCTATTAAAAAAGAATTCTTTTATTTGTATTGTCGGGGACATCACCTGGTTGGTAGAACACCCAGCTTTTTAAAGGGTATGCCCGTGTTCGAAAATCTTATTGGCACTGTAAGGGTGATTGTGACGTCTCATGTCATTTGGAAAAATGTTTGATGACATATATACGTGTGAAAACTGCTTAACTGTGTAGATGCATCTTGAGGACAATTTCTACACGGATTGGGACGGATCGTGACACAACTCAACACCACTTGAAATGTGCTATATGAGTCCTGTTTGTCCACTTTTCCCAAACCAATCAACTCAACAAAGCTTGAAATGTGCTACATGAGTCCTGTTTCTCCCCATTTCCAGACACGGGTTATATAACAAAGGGTTCTCTTCTTCCAGTGAAAGAAATAACCACATAAAAATTCAACAAAAAATGACAAACTGAAACTTGCAAAAATCAAACTCATGAATTAAATCTAAGCCTTAAAAAAGGGACACAAAGGATCTCTGTGTGATAAAGCTTCATATTTTCGGAAAAATGGGATCGATAAAAGCATGGTACATTGGGTCAGCCAGCCAGAGTTTAGCTAGATGATGATGAGACACGGTGAGCCGGTGAACTTCTTCAATAAGCCAGATACTGGCTTCAGCTTTAAGAGGATGAAAACTAGTGTCCAATGGTATATGTTCATCCTTGGCGCCGATCCTCATTTGATCCCACTGTTTTAGGCGGATGTTAGTCAGGTAGTGCAGGGGTTGCCCGTATAACTTCTTAACGGATTCAGCCAATCCCATCCATGATGTAAACGGAATAACAGAGCCGCGATGAGTTGGGACTGGGATCTGCTTCATGTATTCTTGATACGTTTGCGCCTTTCTGAACATTGCATCTGCAATTGTAATGCAAAGTTTAATGCAATTATTGGAAGCCGAGAAATCTCAGAAGGAAGGAAGAGAGATTAAAATGCAGGAATTCATGGAAGGAGAATTAACTGCAATCAATTCACAACAAGCACATCTCCAGCAACCTTACACATTGTTTACTTAATATTAATACTACTACAATTAATAATAATAATAAATCCGACATATTGGTCCATATTTTTCGAAGGGACAAAATGTGAGTGTTAAGCAATGCGGATATGTGGTTGTGAAAAAAAACGTTTCAGAGGGGGCGTATAGACTAGTTTGCGCTTTTGCTTGATTTTTAAAAAATTGATTTTAAGTAAATCACCAAATAAATAAGTAATAAAAAACAACTAGAAAAGTAGAGAGAAAAAGAGATATGACACGAGTCTCAAGTGAAACAATCCAACATTAACAAGACAGAGAGAGAGAGAGTACAAGTTCTCCACAAGTCGTCAATTCCAAATTCGAGTGCCTTTTGGAATACCTGCCATTAACATTCCTCTGACGCTAAATGTTCTCCGATTCCAATACCTTTTGAAATCACTAGCAAAACTAATCCCCCTCAACGGGAACACCTCACGATTAGTCGCCTCTCACAGTGATCAATCGTCTTTCTCCTTACATTAGCGCATGCAAAGAAACTGATAATCTGCCGCTATAATCTTTTGGGATGACAATTACTGAGAGCGCACACAATTCTAACAGTATCGAAATTGATAATCTGCTGCTATAATCTTTTGGGATGACGATTACTAAGAGCGCACGCAATACTAAACGTACCGAAATTATTTGCAACGAATCGGAATTTGAAAACTAGCCTATTATTTCAGAGTATTTTGATACCCAAAAGATGGCCTAAACCAACTGAATTAGGCCTTGTACCATACCCTCCCTTGAGTTTTTTGTTCCTTAAAAATCAGAGAACATAGAAAAAGACGACTCAAATTAAGCACCCCACAAACGGAGAACACGAGTGAAGGCATGAGTTCTATCTTTTAGTTCGGTACGTGGTGACATTTGGTGTTTACTTAGGACGGAAAAGTTTTCAAACCTTAGAAGTACGAGTCACTTCTAAATACAATTTTGAAGGTTTAAGCCTCAAATATTTATGTACCCAGCCCCTCAAAAGCCATAACTGTAGAACATAATATTATATAAGTGTTTTGTATAGTATAAGCAGCACAAAAAATTCAATGAGCGAAAACCAGATCGAGTTAAGAAGCAAATAAACCCGACACAACTCAGCTCAACTCAACGAGTCGTCATCTAAGTACAAGAGGAAATGTAAAATACCTTCATGTGTTATTTCTTTGGCAGGTTCTTCAACATCATTGTTCGACTGCTTGCCGATAAATTCATAATAATCTGTATCAGACGAAGAAGAATCATCTGATGATAGATCGACCTGCTCGTTAAATGGCATTGCCCTCTTCATTGTCTATAAATTGCAACCCTGCAGAAAACACTTGCACGATAGATTCTCAGATCGAAACAAAAGAAAATCAAATTACTCACTTGGATCAAACACAACACAAAACATATGCATATGTGATGTTGCATACCAAATTTGAGGAATATGAACTGAAACGATAAACTGCGCCCATCAAATCCGAGCATTATTAATAGAATGAAAGTCCGAAACATGGAAAATAAAAATAAATAATAAGTGAATTTTGATTAGCGTAATAGTCTCTAATACCATCTTTGTACAAAGCATTTAAATGTAAAATGCAGATATAGGCTTGGTCAAACATACTTCATATGCATTACAACCATCTTTTAATTCCCAATTTTATACTGAAGTGTTGCAACATTTTTGCTGCATCTTTCATGTTCATACTTTTTAGCAAGATAATTTTTTATAATATAAATTTGTTTTAGAAGAATAAATAATAATAGCCTCTGAAGAATAATCTCGCCGTGAAAACCAAAAAAAAAAAAAAAAAATGAAAAAATTTGGCAGAGTAAAGCAAAGGGCATTTTTCGTTTCGGCTTTGAAAATGACTTTTTATTTTTAGTTTCTCAATTTTGAAACTTAGGGAAACAGAAACAGTCTCTTACTCTTTCAATTCATTTTACTCGTAACAGAGTCAAGCTTTAAAACAATGCAATTCATTTTACTCCTAACAGAGTCAAGCTTTAAAACAATGTATAGAAATGCTTTTTCTTTTTCTTTTGAAAATTTTCTATAGGGCAGCTCTGATATGTATAAAATTGTCCAAAAAAACATCGATCAAAAGTAATTGTTGCCTCATTTTCAATTATTTTCTGTTCTTGATAACCAAAATAACTCATGCCCAATGGGTTCAAGTGGTATAGATCTCAAATGGTAAAGGCTGACACTTAAATTTGGTGTTAGATTTAATCAAATTAGGGTTTAGGTAAGGGCTTCAATACCATTGCATCTCTGGTGTGCTTCAACCGTCCTCCAACACACATTCTATCTATTAATGTCTGAATTCTTTAGATAATTTAATAAAAAGTTAATTCACAGGATTTGCTAATTACCTATCTAAGTTAGACAGTCACAGAGACCAATCTTATAGAAAAAAAAATCATATACCCACCAACAAATTCAAGTTCTACACCACTAAAATGCAAACACATTATGTACTAGGCCGAAAATTAAGTTCTATCAAGCTTAATACATTATTGTAATGATAAAAGATGCATCCAAATAGATAACTTTGTTCCCATTTCAAAAAAATTCTAATAGATACTTGTATAAAAAATTTCGTTGATAAAGCAGAAACATATATTATTTACCAGAGAATAACAAGTGCAAAACAAATTCAACATATTGTTTTTAAAAAAACAAAATTGATAATGTCTATAAAATAAAAATAAAATAAGATTCTATGTCACGAACCTAGATAGTGAGAAGCGATTCCCGTCACTGTGTAGGTTGTGTTTTGAAAACAATAAGAAACTGCTCTTAGCTAAGTTCTGGAAGAGAGAAGTTTAGTTGGTGCTGAAAGGGAGAGAAGTTTAGGGCAGCGAACAGGTGTATACTTTCAGAATTTGGGAACGAGTGGATTGCGTTGTGAGTGACACGTATGGATGTGAAATTAGTTTAGTGAAAGCGTTAAAATTTCGTATAGTACAGGACTTATTCTCAAATAAACAGAATCATTTTTATTTCTTTCAAAAATACAGTATAAAACTAGCGTTTAAATTTCGTTTAGTACAAGAATTATTCTCAAATAAACAGAATCATTTTTACTTCTTTCAAACGTATAAAACTAATTAATGCTCGTACTCTCACTGTTGATACTTTTTTTGCACATTTTGTAATAGATAGATTAGATGCATTATCATCAATAATTAAGATAACTTATTATACTGGATTATTACAAACGACACTCTTATTTATATACATGCATTCACCTAAATGTACAAGCATTTACAAATCTTTTATAATTTTCTCCCATCTGTTCATTTTTATAATTTCTTAGATGGTGTAGAATTTTCTATTCTTTTGTAACACTTCACGAGACTCCTATTTATATATAGACATTCACCTAACTATCTAGGTATTTACAAATCCTCTATAATTTTCTCTGATTTGTCAATTCTTACAATTTCTTACATACAGTTTTATTTTTAATCTTTTATATTATAGAAATGAAATATACGTAAGAGAAGAAAACTATTATATATTTGTGTTCGAATTTTTAATAGCAATTTTTATTTATTTATTTATTTATTTTATTTTAAATGAGAGATATTATACATGAAATATCTCTATTCGTATGTATTGTATTTGACTATGGGCTAAAATCATTAAAAAAACCTTCTTGTTTTCAAAAATGTCATATAACCCCTTCAATTTTCAAACAACCCCTAAACTAACAAAAACTATCACATTGCCCCCTTTTCGTGACATAACCGTTAAGTTGTTACAAAAGGCATTACTGCCCTTGATAGTATATTAATATTTTATTAAATTGAAATTATAATGTAAGAAGGGCAATCTTGTCATTACCAATTAAAGATTATTTTGATCAGCAAAATAATACAATTGTTGTACATGATTGTCACTTATACAATCCCGTTAGTTTTAGACGGAAACTAACGGGAAGAAGGTAATATGATAGACTCTTTAAAATTTCAAGGGATAATATAATAGTTTTTTTTGTTTGTTGAAGAGTTAGTTGATAATTTTTGAACATAAAAGGGGAGTTTTACAATTTTAGCACTTTTACTAATTATGCTTGTGACTTAAAAATAAATAAAAATTACCATGTATGGTAACTAAATTGCTTGCACAATTTTAAAAATAAAATTGAAAAATATTCAAAGATATTGTGGTATTTACGTTATATTGTCTTAGTTAAAAATTTTGCCGCCATGCATGTTTACCCATAGTGACAATAACAAGTGAGAATGTTTTGCTTCTTGATTTGGGCTTTTTTTATTCTGATCTTACTTATTTGCTCCTACATAGCCAATGCCGAAAGGAATGAAAGAATTAATCATTCACAGTCACTAATAGAGAATTTCTCGAAAGTTAAGAACTAGTAATTTTACACGTTATTAAACGCAACAAAAACGGTTATCAAACAAGTTTTCGTAAAGCGAATTTATTTTAGAAAATCATGAATTGAGTTTTCCTTGAACAAAAATTCTTAAAATCAAAATTATTTAGATACATAATGGTAGCAGCATAAATACACGTAGACACACAAATCAGCAGTGTACCATACTAACGTTTAAAATTATTTTTTATTGCAAAACACCACATTTTCCATCTCTATAATTCTACTTTTCAACTAAATTAATATATTAACGAACAGGATAGAAGATAAAATTACTTTTCCCCGCAAAAATATTGACACGAAATACAAATGTCAATTTTGTACTATTTTTGTATACTTTATAAGTATATACATTTTATAAATAGAATTGTGTTTATTGGTGAGTAAAAAAATTCATCCAAATATATATGAATAATCATTCAATGTGATTGATATATATATTTTTGATAAGAATGAATTTCTTGTTTGCCAAAAAAAAACAAGAGATCATTACCTATTAGTCTATTACCTATGGGGATATAGGTATGTAAGTTCATAAAAATAAAATTTATATAATAATGCCATCAAATTTATACAACAATCCGGTCATTCAGCAAATATCACTGTATGAGTGTTGGACTAAATAGAGTTGATATTATATAAAAAGAAAATGAAAAAATGAAAAAAATAAATAAAAAGAAAAAAAGAAAAAAGGGCAAAAGGAAAGGAAGGTTTTTTTTTTTTTTTACTAAATCAAGGAAATTGAGAGATGAGAAAAGGTTGCCTAAAATGGTGGTTTGTTGGTGGTCAAAGTCAAAACCCCCCACAGAGGAAAAAATACTAATAAATTAGAAAACAAAAAACTGAAAAAACCAAACCCCCAACCCAACCCAACCAGGGCTAGGGCTATTCAGAGAGAGATCGTTTCTTATACTCCTCCCTTCTCTTTCTTCACCACAAAGATATTAACAAAGCTATACATCTCTCTCTCTCTCTCTCTTTAACATTCTGAAGATTTCTCTTTTCAAGGAAAAATCTAACACCTGATTGATCAAATCAAATAATGGGCCTCTTCAATTGAAAGGTTCTGAATACAAGGCATGTTAGATCTCTCTCTCTATATATTTTATGTACCTGCTCTCTCGTTGAACTGTGCCTATCATGTTTGATCTGTGTACTATAATTTTTTTGCACACACTCATTAATTATAATGCAAATATTGCACATACCCATTAATTGGATTATTGTTTTTGTACATTTACAGATTAATGGTGTCTGCATTTATTAATTTGTACTTAAATTTTAGGAATTTTGACGTGGATTGGGAAACTGAGGACAAATTAGGACTGGAAACAGGGTTGGGTATTTGTAATAATAATATTGATTTGATGAATATTTCCATTGCTGGGTCATTTGGATAAATAGCCTGTAAGGGATGGTGACAAATACATTGAAGAAGATTGTGGCCCCTTGTTTTAAGGCTTGTGTCCATGATGACGACGACGGAGATAGTAGTCGAGGAGGCGATGCAAATGGTCGGGTTGATGGGTTGTGGTGGTATAAAGATTCTGGAAACCATGTTGCTGGAGAGTTTTCAATGGCATCGATCCAAGCAAACAATATATTGGAAGATCAGAGCCAACTTGAATCGGGTTCAATGAGCTCACTTGAGTCAGGTCCCCATGGGACATTTGTTGGAGTTTATGATGGCCATGGAGGTGCAGAAGCTTCCCGCTTTGTACATGACCACCTTTTCAGCAATATCAAGAGTATGTTTTTGTTCCCATTGCTGCATTAATTGTTCTGTTTTCTGCAAGCAATCCTATCTCTATTTAATGCATATTTTTATATATTTGCATGATGGTTATTGTGTTTCTGAGTAGTTGCAAGGATCCCAATTTGGTTGACTAGTTGTTATGCGCACCTACACCAATAACAATTTAGATTTTAGTTCTGTAGGTTCCTCTTCGTCATACTACATATAAGGTGGGTGTGTGTGCGCGTGTGTGAGACAGAGAGAGGAGGATTCATGGATATTTTTGTTTCCTGCAGCCGCCTGTAATAATTAATTAACCTGTTTTGATAATCGGATCAATGTTTTTTGATTAGTTTTCACTGCCCTTATCTTTTTCATTGCATGACTGTCACCAACATTCAAGTTACACAGAGTAAGTAGTTTTAGTTGGACTTCTGAGACCACTTTCAGGAGTCAGAATCCATATTAAAAAAATTGAGAGAGAAAAATTAGATATCAAGTTCTTTTTAGTTTTAAATTGGTTTAATGAATGGGAGCATATTATTAGTACAATTTCTCCATCCACAATATCAAATCAGTGTGGGTATTATTCTATGTTGGGAACTTGGATTGAGCGAAGATACAGGAAATTGTGTGGATATGTTGAGGAATATTCAATAAGATTTTGACCTGGGGTAATATCAATGCTTATTAGGTAATAGAAGCCTACATCGTCATTATGGAGACATGCAAACTTATAGAAACTCGAGGATTGTTCAGGTATTGTTCCTACATACAGGCACGTACAATGGGGGCATCAGTCTCCACTGAAATTTTTTAATTCACATTTCTTACCTATGATTTTGGTTAAATTATAATAATGCCCCCACAAAGTATTTGCTAAAACCCAATTTATATTAACTCGCCCCCACTAAGTTTTGGGTCTTCAAACTCATCCTCTCTATCACCCTCTCAATTTTGCACTATTTTTGTCTTTGTCTAGCAGTAGTCCTAGCCTATCGACAACTCCTTCTTGTGCAGATCGTAATTGTTTGCAACATAATGGGTTTCTCAAAGAGGAATTAACGTTCATCAAATGGGTTTGTTTATTTTTTATTTTTTCCATGGGTTTGGGAAATTGGGTTGCTAGGGCTCATGCTTTGGGTTTGTTTGTTTTTTATTTTTTCAGTAATTTTCATGGGTTGGGATTATTGACTTTTTGTTGTATTGTTTTGGTTCATATAATGAGCCGCTCAATTCGAGACATGCTTGTTAACAGAGATGTATTTGATTTTTCATTCTCTATTTTAAAGTATGTATTTTGTGAAATAATATTAAGAGGTGATCATTTTGTTTATTAAGGTAGTTGAAAATTTACCCTAAAGTTGTTCAAGGTCACACCCCTCAAATAATTTTATGGGTCTGTCACTGCCTACATATATGGCTAATTCAAATGATTGAATTATCTGTCATGCCATTTGAATGGAGAAGTTGGTATACTTTTAATGTTTCAAGAATTCCTACGAATTTTGTCTAAATATGATTTCATCTCAAGTGTAATGGGCTTGAAAATTTATATATTATTTTCTAGAGGTAACATGACTTCTTGGTTATTGAGTTCCTATGAAGCACATATACGGATGCGATATGACACGGATATGGAAAATTTTAAAAAATAAATACGGCTACGAAAAATTTAACTAGTTAGTAGACGCTGGTCGTCGGATCATCCCCCCTTATTAGCATCGGATATCCTGTTTTCTTCTTCTTCTTCTTCTTCTCTTTCTCTGTGCGCGATGAGAATAAATATCGATCTGGACTTTTGTTTTATTTCCTTTTAAACTATGAACCTCAATATTACTATTAGACCTTTGTTTTCTTTTCTAAAATGTTTTCAAATTTGACCTGTCAGATCCGAGAAGTACCATGTCATATCATAGCCTTATTGATTTGAAAAGAAAAAAACTAAATTTTGGATATTTCTTAGCTATATTGGTACGTATTTGGTGTGTATTCGTGTCAAACATGTGTCTGTTTCGGCCACGGCAAACCTGGGAAAGTATCCATGCTTTCTAGTGGAGAACTAAGCTTTCAACTTTTGGAAGTAAAAAATTGGAAATGACACGTTTATTGCTAATTTATTCTCGAAGCAAGTCCCTATTGTACATATGATTTTATATGAACTATTCTGAATGTGTGAAGTTTCCATGTTGGATACATGACACTCTAGTATGTCAATGGCTATGGAATATGTGTCCGACATGCTGCTGTGGAATTGGACATACACCTAGTAAGCATATTTGGTAATTCAAAGTTACTATATAATTATACATAAAATTTCCTTTGTTGTATTATTATCTCAAAAGGAGTGAGGAGCCCATCATAAATACTCTTATGATGTATTTAAACACCTTTTTATCATTTAATATAATAAAGAATTTAATTTTATGAGTGATTAGTTGTGTCCCCGTGTCTTTGGATATGAGTGTGATTATTCGATACTTAGACACTAATCAACCTCTAGTGCACATGTCCATGTTCATTTAACATATTATATATATATTCTTTCATGGATGGTGGCCTAGGAAAATGATCAGAGCATTGAACATGGAATATGGACTCAATTCTAGTTCTACTCTCTCTCCCATTTTTAGTTTATAATGTTTGAAGACGGCTAATGCGTGTGTTTACTGACTTGACAGCTATTCATGATGCAGAGTTCACATCAGAGAATCAAGGAATGTCGACCGATGTTATAAACAAAGCATTTTTGGCAACGGATGCGGAGTTCCTTTCCCTAGTAAAGAAGCAGTGGCTAAGCATGCCACAGATTGCTTCTGCTGGGTCATGTTGTTTAGTGGGTATTATATGTAGTGGACAGTTATACATTGCAAATGCAGGAGATTCTCGGGTGGTGTTAGGCAAACTGGAAAGGGCCACCAAAGACATTAACGCTGTTCAATTATCATCTGAGCACAATGCAAACTTGGAATCTGTGAGGGAGGAATTGCGTTTGTTGCATCCAGATGATCCACAGATTGTAGTTCTAAAGCACACGGTTTGGCGTGTGAAGGGTCTTATTCAGGTGATTTGTCTGGGCTTTATTTTATGTATATATATATATATATATATTGTTTTGGATCCTGATTACATGTTTTTCTTTTTCCTTTCATATTTTCTTTTATTATGTGTGTAATATTTCCCATAAAAGTATCAAATTTAATATATATATATATATTTTAAATAACTAAAATCTAACTTTTTCATCAAGTGCATGCCAGCTGGTTTTTTTTTTTTACTCATCAGTAATTCACAAGTAATTCATGACTGCTAATACTTTGGAATTATTTTCTACGCATTTGAGTACCACAAGTTTATCAATCCTCTCTCTCACACACAAATTATTCTCTTGATTATTTTCCAATTTCTATATTAATCATTGTTCAGAACTTTATATGAATCATGTATTTGTCACTATAATTTCAATAGGCCTAAAGCAGAAAATAATCCATGTTTACTGAGGGAAGACCCTTTCTATGGGATTCTATGGGTGAAAGCAATAACTTGGGAAAACTTAAAATCGGGTATTATATATGTGAAAAATAATCCAAATTGTGAGCATTGATGGGGAACTATTAATAAGCTGAGCTGAACAAAGAAATGATATTTGCGAGGGAAAGCAACAACTTGTTCTGAAGACGATGTTGATGCTAGTAATATTGGATTTATATGTGCTTATCATTCATCATAAATGGAACCTTTGATAAATATTCTAGAATTATATTTGCACACCACATGACCAGATTATATATGATTGATGGGCATGTTTAAGTATGATTTATCATTAAAATAAAAAATAAAAAAATTAGACCGTTGAGTTAAATTGGCATTTGATTTATAGTGATGAGTTTCAATATTCTGACAGGTTTCAAGATCCCTTGGTGATGCCTATTTGAAGAAAGCAGAGTTCAATAGAGAGCCTCTTTTGCCAAAATTTAGACTGCATGAATTCTTCACCAAACCGATCCTAAAAGCTGAGCCATCGATACTAGTGAAGAAACTATACCCCGAAGATCAGTTTCTTATATTTGCATCTGACGGCCTTTGGGAGCACCTTAGCAATCAGGAGGCAGTTGACATTGTCCACAACTGTCCACGTCATGTAGGTTTTCATTTATATATCGAGTTTCATTTGTTTTGATATTGGAAAATTACTTCTATCAGTTTCAGCCATTGAACCCTGCTCTAGGTGTCCTATGTCTATTTCCCCATCTTAATTGAATGCTAAATACGATTGTATAGTTATAGGCCAGCTATGCAATTCAAACCGTTCATGCATTTTCTCCTATATTTCTCAATCCATCCCAAAAAGCTGGTGGTACTAACTTGTAGTAATTACTCATGATTTCATAGTGAATAGGTTTATTATTATATATGTACAACACAAGTACTGAAGTCGCTTATAAGTTGCTTTTGAAAATAATTAATATTAATGAATTTGTGCAGGGCATTGCCAGGAAACTTGTCAAAGCTGCACTTCAAGAAGCAGCAAAAAAAAGAGAAATGAGATACTCTGACCTGAAAAAGATTGAACGAGGGGTGAGAAGACATTTTCACGATGATATCACGGTTATAGTTTTGTTTTTGGACAGCCATCTGATTAGTCGAAGCTCCTGCCGCGGGCCCATTCTTTCTATTAAAGGAGGTGGAGGTATATCAGATTCCAAAACTTAGTGCATGGGGTTTTTAACATCTGCTACTCAAGATTCATTTTCCCCATCCTTATTTAGATTTTTTTCTATTTAAAAAAAAAAAAAAGATCAGAAAATTAAGAGAAGATTTTATGTATAGGAGACCTGTTTCCCAATTTTCACCGGGATCTTACCGTAGACGGTGTTGTTGATGATTATGCCAAGAGACACAGTAGAAAAAAAGCCGTATGGAAACTCTGTTGATTGGCATATGAAACTTGAAAAACTGCGACCGGGAACAGTCATGGAACCTTAGTTGCTAAGCTAATAAAAATGTTGCTGTTGAAGGTGAGACTTTGAGTATCAAATAATCAAGATTTTGTCCTGAATTCGACTAACTTTATATGTGTATTTGCATCACAGCCAATATTATTTTCACGTAGTGGATGTCACCTGCATTGCTTGTCTTTCCATTTTTTTTTGTTTTTGGGTCAAAATTCTAATATGCGTTGATGCTTTAGTTCGAAAATGCTTGCCTTCTGAGCTTCATAGGCTACCTTTTTCCCAAGCCTGCATTTTGGTTCTCTCTCTCATTATTGGCAGTTTGATAAATTAGTTTAATTTAATTTTTTGTTTTTTGTCTTGGCAAAGAACTCTTGGGAGACCCGAATTGGACATTTCACTTTTAAAGGAGAGGAGATACTACTAAAGCAGGGACCTTGGTTATAGAATTTATTTATTTTTTCGGAGCAAAGAAGTCCGACAATGTTCTTGGGGAGATTCAAATTCTAAGTGAAAGGAGAGGAAATACCACTAAGACCAAAAGAGGCCTTGGTGGTGCCGATGAAAATTTTCTGTTCTTATTTGTTGATCAAAATTTGAATAAGCAACCCACCCTCAAATACTATTTTAAAGAAGTTTTAGTGCCTTATTTTTTTCGGTCACTAGACCTTTTTATAAATAAAGGTAAAAGAAGACATTTTTGCCTTCCAGTTATCTAAAAACTATGGTAAAATAAAGAAAACTTATTATTGGACTGCCCAACTTTTCAGGTCAGTAAAAACCATTAGACCAAATGCCAATAGCTGGGATCCTCTGCTGCAATTTCGTTTTCGAACACCTTTACATCTACTTATTTTAGCCAAATGTAAACAAACTTAAAGATGTTAAAAAGACAGAAAAATTACAGCTGGTATCCTCTGAATTTAGTAGAGTATGCTGTTAAAAAAAAAAAAGAAAAAAAAAAAGAATTCCACGCATTACAACCAGATTTTAACATATTTATTCTACATTTCACTAAATTTTAACACATTTATTCTATATTTCAACAAATATACTGTGTATTGAAATCATGAATAAAATATATTAAAATCTGGTCGGTCGTGATGATATTGGAAAGTCCTATATCATTATTTTTATTTTAATGCACTTAAATCGTGTTTCAACACATTTCTAACAATCGTGTTAAAAATGCGATGTTGTACTACAGCATCCAATGTCACCCTATCCAACTATATGGTGTGGATTCAACTCTACAAAGTGTACAATCAACCTCATTCAGCAAATATAAATTCACAGCAAACCACTAAATGAACATTCAAGTAATTATTAGAAGCAAAATGAATATGGGTTATAATGGTTGCTTTACATTTCCTTAGTTCAACAGCCAGTCTCTTCAACCCAGAGTGCAATAAAACTACACTCCAACTAATGCATACTCCAGATTAGACTTCAAAGCCATCAATATTAAAGCAAAATAACGAAAAATTGGGGACGAAAAAGAATTCAACTATTGGATTCAACATCTACATTTTGTTGTTCTCATTATATAACATATAAACACGAAGGTCAAGCGTAAAAAAGACATTGTAACAACCCCAAAACAAGAAGTGCAACGACTTCTTCCGAAGTAATTTTAATGGCACGTAACCGCAAGAAACTCTGGAAAAGCAGCTTCCCCCTCCTATGTCCAATTATACAAAAAAAAAATTCTCTATTGATATTATGATGCTCGGTTGTCAAAAGGGTACTACTGTAAACCACCAAGTGCTCAATAAGCGATCTTATACAACCCCTCAATGAGTGCTTGAGAGTAAAAGCAAAGTGAAAATTCGAACTTGCTACTTCAGCAATACTTTCCATATCTTCCTCATATACACAACAAGAGACCATACAGCAAGCCCTGCCGAGACATAAAGCAAAGAAACACCAGAAGCTACTACAACCCCTGCTCCTGTGAGACTGGAGAGAGAGAGAGAGAGCACTCATTAAGGAACGATCAAAAGATACTTCCGGAGAAATTTCCTCATTTATTAGATAGAAGTTTTATACAAAAGATGGGAGTCGAACCTGTTGTCTCTGGTTGCCAGGAGAATAGTTAGTGCGGCCATCTGTGAGGCCGTTTTCCACTTTCCCAGATTATTCACGGCAACAGCCTGAAAATATTTACTATTACTATTGCTTTAGTTAACTCTAGAAGCTATGACTGGTTTGCAAAGAGAGGGTAGTTGATAGAGAAGTATTGTTATCTCAGGGAAAACGAACCTCTAAAAGTTGAGTGTTCTGAGAAGCAGCCCATTCTCTGACAGCAGACATCGTAATCTACAAACAGATTGCAAACTGATTTATAAGGTACCAAATATTAGCTCCTACATTCATCCATGAAAGCAAACCAAAAACATTGTTGTACAAGAAAATGATGGCAAAGAAACAATAAACATGTCACATGCGAGCAAAGTGCTGAAGGTAAAAAAAAGTAATATACTAATCTGAATTGTAGAATAACCACTTGCATGCTCAAAATACACATCAAACCTAGAAAGCTTTAATGCGAAAAATAAAATAAAATAATATATATAAAGAGTTACAAGGCCACATCACAATCAACTGGATTAAAGAATGCAAGGTAAACCATTTTGTTTTATAACAATATTTTCATTCGAGGCTGGTTACTTCTTCTTCAACCATTCATGTAATATATGTACATCTCTAATGATCAAAGCCTGACTGGTCTCTTCACATGCTCATGCAGCCAAATAGTTCAAGTAAACTTGATCACTGTATGTGCATTCGTATCTGAATAATTTGAATAAATACATCTTCTAGTCTAATTTGAATATGTTTACATTAGAAATTGAATCTGGAAAGACTGAAATGATACATAAGCTATTTGTCTCCTTCACACTACAGGTGATCTAGTTCATTATTTTCTGTTTTCATTTGCAATTTTAATCCATTAGTCCTATCAGGTCTTTATTTTGTTCGTGTGTTCACTATGCTGTATGGTTTCTCCAACGTCTGTTTTGCACTTCACTGATTAGTTAAACTTCAATTGACTTGAACATCATAGTTTCATCTTCCATTTTATAGTTTCTTAATAAAAATCAAGCAAAAATATATACATTTTATTTGATTCCTTTATAAGTTTAAGTGTTTACTTCTGGGTGCTTATCGTCTTGAGAAATTAAGAGAAGCTTAATTTGGCTGGGCAGATCAGGACCTAATTTTACGCTGTAATATTATCTAACAAAGAGAAGAAAAAAGATTCCTGCCCATTAACTCCCAAAATCCATAAGAAAAATGCTTCTTACAAGAAGTCCATACACTGCCCACTAAGACTGGCTGAACTAGTGGCTAATGTTACCACTAACGTAGAGTCCTTGTGAAGGGTCAAAGTCACAAAATCCAATAACTTTCACATTAGGGGACCCCGAAAAAAAACGATGGTAAAATAATTTATATTCCAGAGGATCTACCTGATCCATAATGAGTTTACTTCCTAGTAAAATAATATATATATATATATATATATACACACATATATTCTGCAGGCTTTCAAATCACCTTGTGCTTCAAAGTGAGCAACATTTTTAATGCAATTTTCAGTCAACATGCTTTTAACGAAAAATAACACCTAAAAACCCGTATATTCATGAAAAAATAACACAAAACCTCCCATAATCAAAGGTCTGATAAAATAAAGAGCAACTTGCTTAGAGAATTTGAGCTATTAAGGAATGGGTAAAATTGTATATCAAGGTCTCAAAATCTAGTCAATTGCTTCAAAACTTACACAAAAAAGGGATTGGAGCATAAACTAAGCATAGTTGACTATCATCTCATTTTTTTTGTTTAATGTAATCAGCAACCATTGACTAAGAACAGAACACCACCTAAAAAGGACATTTCTGCGATACACGTCATAGACTACAAATGTAAGAAATCTTGATCAATAAAATGTGTCACCCTTGTGTGTATTTTCATTCAAATGTATGCCTATTTTTGAAACATCAATAGCTACAAAACCAAAAGAAAAGTTTTAGGAAATAGTCATACTAAAATCTTCCGGGGGAAAAAAAAAAAAAAAAAAAAAAGTCATACTAAAAGAAGTGAGAAAAAGTAAAGAGACAGATAAAGGGAAAATGGAAAGAAATGTGCCTCTTTTGAACGCAATTAGTTAGGACTTGGGAGTAATGCATCGATTATCTTGAATCTGTAAGACGATTTAGGTTAGGTATTCACCTCTCTACCAATTATGGCAATTGAAGGTACGGCAAGTAGCCATGGCACTTGTCCAAGCATAGGAACTTCCATAGGTCTGGTACACAACAAGACCAAGGTGGCAGCAACCATAAGCTGCATTCAGTAAGCATGCCAAACAAAAAGCTCTTAAATGATCTAACAAGTGAAAAAAGCACGCAAACTCTGCAGTTCTCCAAGTCCCGAATGCTCTTCCTAACCTCCAACCCAATAACACATAAATTATATTGAAGAAGAGAGAACTACCTTATCAGCCACTGGATCTAAGAACGCACCGAATGCACTTCCTAACCTCATCTGAGACATTTTGAAGCATGTAGAATTCATAAGTCGAGATACACAAAAAAAATATATAGAGTCTGGCCAAATGCTTCTTCATAGCTGAAAGACAAGAGCATCACATACCTTCCGAGCAATGTACCCATCGAGCCAATCTGTAAATGCTGCAGCAATGAAAATACTAGTAGTAGCAGTAGTTCCCCACCAGCTATCTACGTAAAAAGCTAGAGGAAAAAGAAAATAATATGTTAGTTTCATCATATAAAACGGTATCATGCAATTAAAATGTCATACGAGCATTTGCTTTTCCACATTTAGATAACAAGTTAAACACCTGCTACACTGCTACAAATAACAGGACATTGAAATTCAACCCTAAGTAAATACACAAACTGCATGTAATATAATTTGTAACGCTCCAATTTCATTTACATGATGATCTTGAAATTCAACAATAAGTAAAACATAGTTCAAATTCACTGCCTAAAAAAAGATTTATATATTTACAAAACCAAGTTTTAGAAACAGAATTTCAAAACTAAAACAGTCCCAACAAACAGAACAAACATCAAGCAACAACACCTTAAAAAAATCAAAACATACATTGAAGATCAAACACCAATCAAATATGGTAAACAAATTTTTTAAAAATAAAATAAACAGAGACCACAAAAAATTTCAGAGTTGTGCTCATAGTCAAAGCTCCTCTATACACCAAAATTTTCCAGGAAAATACAAACTGAAAAACAGAAAATCAAGAGTAATCGAACATACTGCCAACGAGGAGCGGAACGGTGGCGACACGGCCGATGGTCAAGATCGTCGGCAATGTGAGCAATTTTGTCGACTGTTGATGCTGTTCTTTTTTGTGTTGCTGCTGCGGTGGCGGCGGCGGGTGGTGGTGGTTGTGCGACGGCGGCGACCGGTCACTGTCATAACAGTAGTCATCTTTACTCTCTGTACCCATATCAGTGGCAAGACCACTAGATCCTCCTTCAACTACTCCTTTATTATCTTCGGAAGAATAGAAGATTTTCTGACCTCGAAACCCTAGTTTGCTATATGGAGCGAGGGGTGCGTACGGCGTTATCCTCAACACGGGTGTGCACGACACCGGAGTTCTGTCTGTGTGGGTATAGAAGGACGTCGAGGGTTTTGGTCTCGGCGTAATGTTAGTGGTCGTGGCTAATGTGCGCACCCATTTATCGAGGTTGTAGGGTTTGCTGTAAATGGAGGCGACGATTGTGAGTTTGAGGCCCGACATGGTGAAAATTGCGCTTGGGGTTTAGGTTAGCAAATGCGCACTGGGCTTAAGTTAGCAAGTGTTAAGTGTGTGGACTGTCTTCAAAGACTCCGAAACGAAAAAGAAACATAATTATTGAGGTTAGGGGAAGCGAAAGTGCCGGTACAGTACAGTACTAACTGATGCCTATAGATATACGTCTCTCTCTCTCTCTCTCTCTCTGTATATGATATTTTGTATAAATTCAAATTTCTGCTAAATATCTCTCAATTCCTTTAATACCAAATTAAATACTTTTAAAATTGAAGGGAAGGTAATTGGCAATTCGTTCGGATAGTTGGGAGTAAAAAAAAAATGATGATTATTAAAAAATATATATATGCTTAGTCATGAGAGATATGAGAGAGAAAAAGAAAAAAAATGTCTTATACTTGTTTAGTGTTTAAATAATAAAAAGGAAATGAAAACAAAAGAAAATATAATACTTAGTACTAGTAATCATTCAAATTATTTTTTTGTTTTTTTATTTTGTGAGTAATAAGAGCAAAGTAAAAAAATAAATAAAAAACTGAAGTTTAATTTTGAAATTTAGATTTAAATAAAAAAATTAAGAATATACACTTGCTTCCTTGAATTAAAACACAATTACACAGACCTCTTGTATTGATTCCAAAATTATACTTGACGTTGTTAAGTAGGACTGTGATTTTACCTTTTTAGTTTTTACTTTTCTTATACCTTTTTTTTTTTTTTTGTTTTTGTTTTGATTTTTTTAAAAAAGTTGAGTTAAAGTGAAATGTTAAGGCTTATCCACCAAAGCTTTAGCAAAGTCTTGTCGAAATTGTAGATATTTCCGACTCAAAATAATTGTCACCAAAGCATCCTAATATTTTGATTAAATCATAATTTTATCCACTCAATGCAACACCACCAAGGACTGTAATTTAATAATATCTCTCTCTTTCATCGAGAAGTTATTACAGGTACCATTCATCCTCTAATGAATTGTGTAGTAGGTGTGTAAACTTTATTTAATTTTTTTTGGTATAACATGTCCATAAGGTGATTCCTTACAACTAATAGTTCCTGAACCATCTAAAAATTTCTTTTCCTCTGAATCCTAAAGTAGAGAAATCATGATGGTTTTAGGTTTTACCCCAACCAGTGTGCAAGAATGTCTCACGGATTAGTCGTGGGCAAAGTCCCGATTATTACCTTGGTTACCTGAAAAAAAGCAAAAAAAAAAATGATGACGACTATTACGAATTAATTTGCATGAATTTTTTCCTTTTTCTGAAGAAATTCCTAAATGAGGCATGAGATTAACTATTTGAAAAACTGTAGCCATTATAAATAAGATCCTAATAATTTGTATTTTTATTTTTATTATTAATTTTTTTTCTTTCAAGACTCCATTTTACACACCCATTTACTCTCATTTACTCCTACGAGGATATGAAATATGAACTCTCTCCTTCTTTTGGGGAGAAATTATTAAATAATTGAGCACCATTGAATAGTAAATCTCATGCCTCATTTAGAAATTTCATCAAAAAAAAAAGAAAAAATAAAAATAAAAATAAAAATTTGACAAGTATCTTCCAACATTCATGCAAATTAATCCATAATAGTCAGCAGCAATATTTTTTAATGTTTTTTTTCCAGGTCACCAGTATAGTACTCGAACTTTGCCCCGACTAATCCCCGGGACACCGGGCAAAACCCCCCCCCAGGTTGGGTTAGTCAGCAGCAATTGTTTCCCGTAACCACTTGATCAGACGGTATGAGACTGCTTAAGAGAGAATTCGACTGCAAAAACATAATTTGTCAGCAGTAGCTTACATTTGAATTTTTCAGGTAAACAACCTGAAATTATAATACTACATATGATCATAAATGGTTGTGTCTCGCATTAATTTTGAAGATCACACATTTCTATACAATTTATTGCGAGTAAAAATGTCCATTGACATACTGAACCTACAGTATAGTAAAGGCAGTTAGTTTTAAAAAGGTCAAATTCAAAAACTCCTTACAAAATCTTTCACTCTCCAATCTCCATGTGCAAGCAAGATCAGTGGAAAGAAAAAGGCAAGCCCCAAATTTGAAGCAATATGGTGTGGTGTTTTTCTATATAAAAGGCAATCAGATACAACAATCCCAAGCTCAACCATATAATAGGGAAAAAAAAAAAAAAAGAACGGAAAATGCCAAAGAATAAGAGCTGTGGTAGAATAAACACCGCGAAGGGACTGGAAAATGAACTTGTTATCCTGAGGCTTGACTGATTGCGAAATTTGGATAAACAGGTCTGAGGTATCAATTATCATCATCTGTGCAGCCAACAAGAGCAAACCACTAATTTCATCGATTGAAGTGTCTCGGATTAGTCCTTCAATTTGATTTGCCTGATTATCACTGTTCCCTTCTGGTTCTAGTAGCGGAAGAGCATGAGCAAGCACTTTGGATTGGCTGAGTTTCCGGGTCATATTTTTGGGAAGCAAGAAAAGTTAAGGCTGTAACAACATCTGCTATAAGGGGCCGCATGGTTGGCTCCTCCTGAACACACACTGCAGCTACAGCAAGAGCTTGGTACAAACCCCTCATTGGGTATTGTCCTTGGAGTGCCGGGTCAGCCATTTGTGAAAACTTCCTTCGGTCTTTGAATAATGGTCGTGCCTGTAACATAAAGACAACATTTTAGCACGAAAAATTCATGTTTTTTTGTTCTACTGTTTGTTGATAAAATAAAGTCTTTAAATGTATACTGTCACTTATTGCAGAAGGGTATTATTCTTATAATTTCTTTTTCTTTTTTATTTATTATTCCCGCAAAACATTTCTAAATATGTTGTTCATCATTAATTTCATGAAGTCGATTATGTTCAAGAAACTGAACAGCAAAATGGGTTCACAGGTACACAAGGTGCAATATATAGTACCACTAGCATAATGCAGGAATCAACAACCATGCTTTGGGTGCAGCAAAAGTAAGAAAGAGTTTATGGAGTTTCGAAAAAGCTAATCAAACCAGTGGAACATCGTTCTACCAAGTCATCTACCCTTGATTGATTAAGTACCGTCTAGCTCATCTTGCAGTAACACTGAAGTCAGCCATACAACTTCCAAGCATGTCACAATCTATGAATTCGCGAGAAACCATAACTATTCTCCACTCTTTCAAAAAAAATTATCGATCTGAATGATGAGTCATAAGAAGACAATTCATGTGCAGCTGCTTAGTAATAATAAAAGAAGAGTCAAATTGAGTTCAAAGATTTACCTAGGTCAGTTTATGAGCCTTGAAAGTTAAGGATTATTTATCCTTTTTAGAAATCGAATGAATCCAGATCCAGTATTGCATATAAACGAGAAAGGTAATAAAAAAAGGAAAAAAAAAAACTCATTCTGGGTGATTTGTCAATTGTTAGGTAAGGTAAATAAAGAAGGGAACGACTGTATAGCTCCATCAGCTGGTACTTAGACCACACATGCTGATCCCAAAGGTTAACTATGTTGCAAGGACTCAGGTAAGAGTGCCAGGTGCAGGTGTGAGTGATTGTTTAGGTATATATTCTGATTTCCGTCGTTTTCAATTAGTTCTTAGCTTTGAGTATGGGTACACGGCCTACCTGTTTGTCAACATGGCTACATTGAGTAAAGAGTTCAAATAAAATAGAAGGTTAATATTGTGGGCCGAAACACCAATGGCGAAAGATACATATACATCAACCGGAAGAGGTACTAAAATTGATCGCCAAGCCAATGCCATCAACATGCATTTGGTCATGCATCTGACAAAGGATTCTGCCCAGTAATCAGCAGTCTACTTAGTGGAATGGCAAACCACATGAATGCACATGACATGCTCTCAGGGTGCTTTAAGCTATCATAGAGTTAAAAAGGACAGTACTGCCTTTATAATGATTTCAACAACAAAAACATTTGAACAGAGAAGATAACAGTGATTCTTACCCAGGCAACCAGATTATGGTCTCCAGCAGCTCTTGAATTGTCAATTGCTTTTCTGCCAGTGATGATTTCCAGGAGAACAACTCCAAAGCTATAGACATCTGATCTCAATGTAAGCTGACCTGTCATTGCATATTCTGGTGCACAATATCCATACGTTCCCATCACTCTAGTGGAAACGTGTGTTTTATCCCCTACTGGACCCAATTTGGCCAAGCCAAAATCGGAAAGCTTTGGATGATACCCTTCATCAAGTAAAATATTGGAGCATTTTAAATCACGATATATAACAGGGGGGTTTGCTTTATCGTGTAAGTGTTCCAAACCCTGCGCAGCTCCGGCAGCAATTTTCATTCTTGTATTCCAGTCAAGTCGTTTCTTATCAGGTGGAAGGTCTGGCATGTGTGAGTGAGAAAAACAAAAATACAGTCTTTTATCAAAAGATACCTCATAGAAAGTTGTTAAAGCCACTAAAAAGCTTATTAAAAAAAAAAGTTGCATGTTGGCTTGACACTGACAATTGGTTCATCACCATGGATAATGCTGGTGTTGGAAACTGTCATGACCAAATGATTCTGAATGGTTTTTCTTTTTTAAATAGAAAATATAAAAATTGATCATTTTTCAAAAGTAAATAGAAAGAAATACCTTCTATACTATATTAAAATCATAAAAATAAAAAAGAAAGAAAAGAAAAGGTAACAAAATTACATAATGTAGAAAGAAAGACCTTCTAGACTATGATAAAATCATAATAAAAATATGTATAAAAAAACAGTAACAAAATAACAGAATATGATTCCAAATCATACGATCATTATCCTTCTTTTGGCTGAGCAAGCTCTTCTTTTGACTCGTTAAACATCAATCTTCTAAAAGCCACATGTACCAAGAAAATGTCAACCATCAAACTTTTATTTGCAAGTTAAGTGTGTGAGACGTAAGGGACTTTCAGGGGGACCTCAGTGAAAGATTAATATTTTAGGACAAAAACAAATTTGAATCTATTTCTATACCATGTAAATGGTCTTCTAGCGATCCTAAAGGCATGTATTCATAAACCAGAAGTCTCTGATCTCCATCAGCACAATATCCAATCAAGTTAACTAAGTTGGGGTGGTGAAGTAGGCTCAACATCAGTACTTCGACAAGGAATTCTCTGTTCCCTTGCAAGCCGTTACGATCAAGTTGCTTGATAGCTACAATCTGCAACAAACAAGATAACAAGATTCAGGTCTTTCCACAAGCTTACTATCGTGGGTCAAAGCTCCATCCATTAGTACTACATATTACAATGAACCTAATGGTAAAATAGCATTAACTAACTACCATAGAGAGGGAAACAGAGAACCAAATGTCAAAGGGAAAAAGAAAAAAAGAAAAAAGAGCATAACAGGACAAATGAAAAGTTGTGTGTGCAAGCTGATAAAGAATAATAGGTTTTGAGATATACAAGTGCTAGAAGACATGTATTTCGTTTGTACATTGGCCTTTTAGAAGAATAATTAAGAAAATTACAGAGAAATAATCATTTAATAGTTAATATAACGATACAACAAACTTTATTACTTTGGCAAAAAAACTATCACAAATTTAGACAACTTTTTGGGTCTTAAATCAAAACAAGTAATGCATAGCTCATCTGTGACCATCAAAATTACTCTGCCCACAACACTGGACCTCTCTAGATAATGGCATATTATTTTTGATAAACAATTTAGAAGTTTTTAAGGACATCTCCAACCTCACAATAGCCAACAAATCCAAGTTATTTTCCTCTAACAAAGAGGCCTAAGATGAGATAGCCAAGTTAATTAGAATTAAGGAAGATTTGATATTCTGCAACATTAAGCAGACACATGGCTTTGTTAAAAATTTAAAAAAAAAAAAAAATGAAAAGAAAAAAAAGGAAGTTCCAAAATGCATTTTCAATTTCTTTGACAAAGAAACTAAGAAATATGAAATTTAGTCATTGTGTACCAAAGAAAATCATATGAGTTTGAAACTTACAAGAAGCTCATTTATAATGTTACAGAAATTTGTAAGCCATAAAACACATCGAATCCTGACACTTCAAAATCCATGAAGAAATCCCATAGTGAAGGAGTTCAACTCACCAACATTTTGAGCAGAACTAAGAAAAGCATATCAAACCAAGTGTCTTTTAAGTCGGTTCTTACCACTCAAAAGTCATAACTTCACTTCATATTTCAAAACAGTTGAAAAATAAAAATTTTTAACAAACCTGGTTGGTACTCTGCAATCGTCCTTTATAGACTCTACCGAATCCTCCTTCACCCAAAAGACAATCTGCCCTGAAATTCTTGGTTGCAGCTGCCAATTCACGAAATGTGAGTGTATTTGCAGCAATGTGACCTGATTCTCCATCCGTAGAAGCCTCCTTTGCATCAAATGAAGAACTCTTATTCAGTTTTTCTGAAAAAAATAATAGAACTCGATTAATCCTATTTGTAGAACAAAACTACATTACTAAAAAGAAGTACAATCACAAATGACAAGATAAGAAGGAGACGGTCAGCATAACCCATGTGGGTTCTGATTTCATTCTTGTGAGGAGGAATAAAGGGTTGCTACCATTGTTCAAATCATAGAAAACAAACAAAGATTATAAGGGAAAAAACTTTAAAAAGTCACAAAACAAACATCCAAGAGGTATTCTAGCTTGGTTGTTTCCAGTAAGACAAAAACCACCAGTATTGATGGTACTAAGTAGTAATACAAAAATTTGCTTTGCTTCTGTCATCAAGTTTCGTTATAGACGATTAAAGTCACAATTATTTCAGAACTAAATGAATTCTATAAACTATTAAGACAATATTCCCTTCAGTTAAAACTAGGGGGTCTTTGTCGCAAATAGATAAATAATAATAACTAAATAAATAAATATTGGCTTTTGCCAAAGCAATGAAGAACAGTGAAAGCGCATGGTAACAACCGGCCATAGAAGCATGTTCTTTGACAAAATCCGATGCTGCTATGGCAATAACAGTAGTTTAAAACTAAAACATCCCATAGAACAACTGAAATAAAAATAATCCCTTGCGACCAAAATAAATTGGAATTATCTATGACTCTTCACTCAATGTTAATTTTGAATTAAGAAATGGGCTTCATCAAACAAATGTATTAATAAGCAGCTGAAAGTGCATGGTAACAACTGTCTTTGATAAAAGCCAATGGTTGAAACGTAAAACACCCCATAGAGCAACTAAAATAAATATAATCCCTTGCAACCAAAACAAAATGAAATTATCTATGACTCTTCACTCGATATTAATTTCATATTAAGAAAAGAGCTTCGTTAACCAATTATATTGATAAGCAGTGAACAACAGCAAAAGCAGCCTCCACAACTGCCTGCAATGCACTTGCTTTGGCAAAAGCCAATTTTTCCATGGTAACACCCCACAAAACTAAATTTCTTTGAAAACAACAAAAAAAGAAAATTAATAGATTAATTTAAATTAATAGATTAGCTTCACTGACCACTGGGCTTGTAAGAAATGGATTTCCAAGCAATTTAACAGATCAAAACAACCTAAAGGACCTCCAAGTTAAAAACTATGGTTAAGAGACCAAACACCAACATCCTATAAAGACATAATCATAACAAATTAACACTACTGTGTCCAAAAATATAAATAAAATTTTTAGAATGCTTAAAATAAAAAATAAATAAATAAAAGCAGCCCATAAAAAATCAGCCAAGACATAATCATGGAAAATTGATACAAACTCAAAGAAAAAATTTATAAAGAAAAAGTTTTTCCCAAATCAGTGATGTAGCCACGTAGGGACAAGTGTGGGCAACTGCCCCCACTCAACTTTTAATTTTTTTAACATTTTATATGGAAAGATTTTTAATTTGTATAATTGCCCCTTCTAAAATTTGATATATACTATATATATATATATATAACCAAAAGCTCATTCACGGTTTTACACCCAAAAAAAAAAAAAAAGGGGACAAAACAAAGGAATATAATTATCACACAACTGTAAATATATATAATATATCTATCAATTTATCACTTTCTCATAAAATATGATATTTTTTTCTACTTTCCCAAAATATTATAATCTCTCACACTTCCAAAAAAAAAAAAAAAAGCATTTCATCAAGATATTCTATCACACTTTTACTTTACCACAAACAAATGGATTGTTTCCATCACATCTTCAATCTTCAACATTTTCCACAATCCAAACAAAGCAAGTGGAGCAACCATTTACGAGTATACAGAAACTCAGTCAGTCGTACTACAGTGCGGGGTAATCTGATTTTTTTTTTTTTTTTTTAATCATCTAAATTTAAGATTATTATTTGATATTATAATTTTAATTAGAAAAATTATTAGTTATTACTATCAAAATTATTTTAGGGCTTATTGTTCTTCCAAAATTTAGTTTGTGTAATTGTGTTACTAATTATTATTCTCTAAATAAGACTTAAAATTTGTTTTTATTTGCAGCCTAAATCAATGAAATCACAGATTCAATGTTATCATGGATTTTTATTTTTATTCATTTTCATATGTGATATATTAGAAACCTTAGATAACTGTGTTATTTTCTTTTTCATATTTTATTCTTGATTCATTGAATATGATTTTTTTTACTATATTTAATTGAATGAACTCAATTTTGAAACAGCAATGAATAATCTGAAAAATCGTTGTGAATGTACTGAATAGAAAAATCATTATGGTTCAAATTATATATATATATTATTGCTATTAAAGATTGCCCCACAGAAGGGAAATTTCTGGCTACGCCACTGTCCCAAATCATTTTTCTCTAGAATGAATCACACAATAATGCAAACCCTCTGAATAATTATGCAAATGACATTCCCTGATCAGTGAGAAGCAAATCTGAAGGTGGTCATAAATTGTATGAAAATGAACCCAGAAAATAGGTCAAACAGTAATGAGTATAAATGTAATGAGCTAAAAAAGGACTACAATTTTTGACATCATCTGAAATTTGTACATGTGTGTGTATATTTTGCTCGTATAGATATATGTATGTATATACCTGAAGTTGATGGGATCTTGTTGTCAGGCTTCTTCTTCTGCCTTTTCTTTGCTTTTTTGTTTGATTTTCCAGGGCAGAGGAACCAACCCATCGCGTCTTTTCTCTCTAAACTAACCAACCCATCGCTTCTTAGGGGGTGTGTGTGTGAGAGAGAGGCCGAAAAAAAAAAACCCAAAAAAGAACCGACTTTAGAGAGAGATCTAAATTCAGACGGGTTCACTTGTCTTTTCACTCTATTTCTTTTTCCTTTTCCCTTTTTGCCTTTTTTTTTTCTTTTTTTAATTTATTTTTTATTTTATTTATAACACACCCTCCTCTCTACATTGGTGTCCTTTTTGCACAAGTACCCTTGTGTTTTTGTATTAGGTAAACCATCCCATATTTTCCATCTTCTTCATCCAAAATATACCTTTTGTGTTTTTTTTTTTTTTTTTGGTAAATTAAAAGATAGGGACTCGATCACGGGCACACTCATTCGAAGAGTTGTGCGCTATAAGCCTATATCAATTAGGCTACTAAATAATGTCCAAAATATAAATTTGTATCAACTAAGTCACTAAATAATACCTAATATTTATAATTGTATAATTTTAACCGATCTATATAGTAAAGTGATCTAATTAAATTCCACTATTAGAACAAAATGTTGATCAAATTCATTTAGATTGAATCATCATCGCACGGAAGGTGTTCCTTCTTTCATTTTCAATTTATCTTTGCCTTCCTTTCACATACAACAAAGAATTCTACAATACTCTCAATCCCAGCGTATGCATTGCATGTACTTGTCCCAGTTGAAGACTTGGACTTAAATAGCATAAGTCTTGCATGAAAGTAAAAGATATCAATTTCTTCCCTTGAGATAAAAAAGAATTAAAAACAGGAAGAAAAAAAGTTACTCTAATCCATGAGATATAGATTAGTCTGTCGGCCTATTATATATACGAATATATACTTGACCCTCTTAAGAAATAGAAATTGATTTAATTTTGCGAAAATTGATTCTTAGGCGTATTTCTTAGACGGATTAATATTAGTGGATGGGATCATGCTTGAGTTTATGCATTACATGATTTACATCTAATGGATAAAAACCCTTTAGGCCAAATAAATCGACTTGAGAAATAGATCTGAGTATCATTATTCTAATTTTGTACATAAATATAATCGCCAATTTAAATTTTATTGAATTATGCGAGAAAACAATCTTGAAAAGAATCACTAACATCGTAATAGTTTCATGAATATCCTTTATATCCTTACAAATTTATTGATAAAACCCATCAACGAGTTGACAAATCTCAACATAAAAACCGCGCAAGATTCATATTTGTGTTTTCCCATATGAAAGGGTAGAAACAATGAGATTTTAAGTACTACTGGTTAGATCAAGAAAAAGAAAAATATATGGGATATAATAGAAAATAGGTTAGAGCATAAGAGTACCATAGCAAATCCCTATTTTGGCTGCGAAAATTTCATTCATTACAAACCAAGTAACCGAATAATGGGGCCTACATTCTTTATCGGAAGGCTATGTTTCAAATCACTTTATTTTGGTGCTAATTCATTACTTACTACTATTTTTATAAAATTAATTATAATTTCAAAACATCTTTTTGAGTCAGCTGTATAATGGAAGCATTAAAAAGTTATTTATTGTCAAACAACCTTTTAATTAATAAATAATACTCAGGTCCTCAGTAGTAATGATTTATACAATTCTTACTGCTTACGTGACCCAATGAAAAGAAAACATGTTCTATTTTATTTAAAACGTCTTTAAAATAAAATATACCAGATCCTACATACGTGACTCACTGATTCTCTCTCTTTCCGGCATTGCCTTCACCCCTCTCTCTTCACCATCTTCTTCCTTTCAAGCTTCTTGTCCTAGAAGCAAGAATATTTGAAGGAGGTATGATCTTTTTTTTTTTCTTTTTCTTTTCACACATTTAGGGTTTCTTTTATGTGTAAGATTTAAGGATCCACATACATATCAACACAAAATTCAAAAACCTGATTTTTTCTGAGATTATGTCCCAATCTGATCTGCTTCTCTCTCTCTTTTTTTACCTTTTTTTTTTTTTTTGGTTATTTAAATGCTGATTTTTTATTCAGGAGAAAAAAAATCAATGAAATTCGAAGAAGCTGACCAAATACGCCAAAGATCAATTTTCTGCGTTTGTCCCGGACTAAAAGCTGAGAGGAAGAAGAAGGTGAAGAGTGAGAGAGTTTAAGGCTGTGCCGGAAAGAGAGAGAATCAGAAAGCATTGTGAACCCACTTTATCAAATCTCATTTTTATAGGATCCAATTTATTTTATTTTTTTGACCTATTTAATAAAAGAGGACGTTTTATTTTGTGGTATGAATCTTCATTAGTGAGGCCCCAAGTATTGTCCATTTTCAAATATATTGAAGGTCTTTTAATTATTCCATTCACATGAACATAAAACCAACTCATTCCATTCACATACACCACCAGAAGAGATCCCTAATCCGGAATTGAACTGCTTAATGTTTAGGGTTTTGATTTAATCCGTGTTCGAAGATAATGAATCCCACTTCATGAGAGAATGATATACAAATTTCAATCATTTTTCAAAAATTATAATATAGTATCACCCACTAATTAAACATTGATATAATTTTACTTATGCTAACAAGATATAATTGACAAAATATAATTGATTGATGCTCCCGAAGAGATAATGTCATCACTCGTTGAAAGTAGAACTGCATTCTCCCAGTGCACGCGTCTTTGTGATAAATAATTGAACCGTGATTAATGAATGACACATGCTTTGTATTATTGGACCTATCAAAAAGGAAACTTTTTTTTTGTCATCTTGTTATATGCCTGGCGAATTGTTACGCATATATTAGATATGGTACCTAAGAGATAATGGTGCCATTATGACGTGTACATGAAAAATAATGATTTGAGACCCTGAAAGCTTCTTCTCAGGGTTGGTAATACTACAGCAGCTAGACCTTTTGGATACCAAGAAAGCTCCTCCCACTCAGGTTTCTCTCTCTCTCTCTCTCTCTCTCTCTCTCTCTCACACGCACACACACATACTTGCAAAGCATTCAGGACTTCAACTATGTTTTATTGGGACCATTTTTCATTTTTCCAAACTAAGAATAAGAGCTGCATCACACCCTAAACAGTTTATCTGAACAACCCAGGATCAATTCTCACATCTTTATTTGTGGATAATTCACTTAAAACACAATAAACCTAGTATCTTGATTGCTGCAATGGTTAACACTAGACACAGATACCTAGCGAGCAATGACTCTTTGAATAGAAGTCATACTTGATGTGTGTTATATATTCAGAACAAAAAGCTGTGAGAGAAGTATTTTACCTGGTGAAGAATCACCACAAGTTCCTTTGACATTCACCTTTTCCTTTCTGAATGCGTCTCTTTCGCTTGGTGGATCGGGTACCAACATGAAGCAATTTTAATATAAAGCCAGACCCTATCGAGAGTTCAACAAAATCAGCATTGATGAGCTCTAAATACCACATAAAAGTGGGGCAAAGAGATTGAATAGAGAGTTTCACAAGCTTCCATATGCGGAAATCCTGTTTGAGCAACAACACAGCACACCAAAACGAATTGGTTTTATTTGATAGGTCTACACTTTTAAGGGTCATCTAACAACATAATATATAGTCTCGGGTAGTCTTCAGAGTGTCCTCACACTGGTAGTCTTCAATTGCCATAGCTCTACTAATTGACTTTATTTTCACCTTGTATTGCCCGTCATTGAATTGATGCTCCCACCCAATCTACAAACTCGGTGCTAATCTTCATCTATGTATTCCACATGCACTGTCAGGAAAAAGGATGTGTTAGCAATTTGTCACCTTGCTTTCGTTTTCATGCACTGCCTGCCGCACAAATTGTCCTCGAACACGTGGTCTCTGTTCAGCCAGTCTCTTCCTGTTTTGATATCGGACCTGGAAAGCATGAGAAGGAAAAACATTTCCATCATTTTTGCTTTTATAATTGAATAAAGAAATGAACTATGTGCTACAGAGGCCAATGCAAAAACAAAAATAAATTACAATTTCTTCAGTTTTGATGAATTTGTTTACATGCAAATGGTATTACCAACAAAATGCACAAACGGATTTTTTAGAGGTGGAAAAGCAATATTCATGGTGATTGATGTGTCTCCTAGAAGGTGTTTTGTGCAGGATTATGCAAGTGGTAACATAGATGGTCTTGTAGAAATGCCAGAGAGTTGGATTTAAGTCGTTATGCTGGGGAAGCGTCCATTGAAATATCTATGCTATGTTTTTGCTCAGTGTAGATGTTAGAACACAATCCAAGAGTTACCTTTTTCCCAAAGCATCTTTCTTTCCTCTTCTGGCGGAACTTGTTCAAAGCAGCCTGTCTCCGTGTGGACCAATTTTGATGTACCTCAGTCCTGCTTTCACTCCCATTTCCACCGAAAATTTCAAAATTTCTAGCCATACCATTATCACTTTCCATGTTTGTGCCTTCGGCAAATACAGCAGTGCTGCTACCATTTTGATTGCTACCACCATTTTGCCCATTGCTTCCGTTGTCACTTCCTGAAGCACTTCCATAATTAGCAGCATTGCCTTCAATTGGAGTGGTTGACACATTGGATGGCGCAAAATGTGGAGCTGCTACCACATTTCTCGAAGACAAATCATCACAGTTGGACAGCTGCTGCTGTTGCTGCATGTTATGGACAAGGTAGTGATGATGGTGGTAATGGTGATGGTTGTGCTGGAGTTGGACCTGGTGGTGCATACCCCTTGCGTGTGCCAGGACCCTGTCAACTGTTGCAGCGTTGGTTTTACCTGATATGACAGGCTGAAATGAAGACATATGCCCACTTTGCACTTGTTGAAAGGCAGAGAATGGATGGATACTGACTGCAGACTTAGGCATTGGTTTTTCGGTGAACGCGGCTGGCTTGGTAAAAACGTTATTAGTGGTGGAGCCCATGTCATTGTTGTTGCTACTGCCGTTGGAATTCTGATTAGGAGTGCCATTTGAATTAGATTGTAAATTGTGTATCGACTCTGTCTTTGCTGCTTCTGATCTATTATCAAACGGAGAACAGCTGCCTACATTCCCAGTCGGAGCCTGGTTAGCAGCCAAAGTGGTGTTATACTTATACCTGCATGGTAATGAGTCATATGAATGTTCAAGTTAATAGCTTCAATTCTAGTTTAGAAAAGTGAATTTCGCTTTTAAATATCCTCACACCTAGAGAAGGCTGAATGGTCCGACTGTTTTAAAATATTTCGCTCTTGCGGATTGGTCCCAGTATCTCCAGCATCTCTCCGTCTTTTCAAACTGAGCTCAAGGGAAGGTATTTTTTCAGCATCATGGATGGCCTTATCTTTGATGTTGGTGATCTTGGAGAAGTCCATTGGAATTTCGATGGCCATACTTTCCATCTGAGGATTTGTACTGTTGGTGATGGCACCCATAAGATCAGCAGCTTCATTCATGAATTCTGCATTTGATGTGTCTCTGTTGATCTCCCCTTTCCCTTTTTCTAGTTTCTCACAATCTTCCTTCAAGTCTAAATCAGAAAAGGTTTTCTTATGAGTACCTGCTACACTAGTTAATACTTTATTGCTTTGGTCTTCAAGCTGTAAATCTGTATTTTTAGGGACTCCTATCTCCAAATCTTTGCCCATTGTGCCATTCTCTGGGGAATGAAATGCAGCATGATTTTTAGCAAAAGAAGGAAACAAAGAATAACAAAACATATACTAGACCAGTGAAAGTGCAAATTTGATTTTTGCCAATAAAGCCATGCATACCAAGCACGTCACCCTGTTCATGGCACTCCCTTGTGGCATTCATATGCACCAAGTTATTGCTAAACACTTTGGGTTTAGAATGGATAACCTGGGCACGTGTGCTATCAGGGGGATCTGCTAAGTTGTCGCACGATGACATTGGTTTGGTGCTATCAACTTCTACTGCCCTTTTTGTCCAAGAGTTCTGCACATGATAAGATTACTACAATTGATCCTGAGCTGAAAAAAAGAGTCACACTTAATCTAGTCTATAAATTTTTTTTTTTTTGGTAAGTCAATAAAATTTATTATATAAAAAAAAAAAAAAAAAAAAAACAGTGACTTTCCCATTGGAGATTCTAGAATTTGTTTTCCCTTCTTACGTAGTTGGTACTCAACCCCCCCGGCGGGGTAATTGTTTTACCCAAGAAGGGTCGAACCTTAAACCTGATGCTTCCTTAGGCACCAGGGCCAAGTGACTTACTCACTTGAGCCAACCCCTTGGGGTTGACTCCATACAATCTTTCATCTTATCCATAAAACAATGGAATGGAAACAAGTGGCAAGTTTAGTCAAACAAACAAGCTGAAGATACTTAGGCATGCCAAAACAGAACACAGGACTGATTCTATAAGCACCCTCACAATAAATGGAAAGGTGGTCTACCATTCGCTTGCTGTCAAAAGATATAGGCCATTTATTTAGTTTAATTTTTTTAGACCTTCCATCTACAGTAAGGCTCTATGCTTCATTCAATCAACCATGAACCTATTTCTCCGACCTGATCTGCTTTCCTTGCCTTGAAGTAGGTGTTTTGCTTTGGTGCTATCCTTAAAACCCTATCAAATAGAGTTGTACACCCAGAGAACAAAATTTTGTTTTGGGGTTTGGAGGCAGAAGGCCCCTAAACTCTCTTACAGGGGAAGAACTGTCCATACCGGATGCAACCCATTAACAATAACATATAAACAGAAGAGCTCAAAAGAAGCACCCAAAAGCCGCTTCTGGCTTTCAGAGCCCAAAAGCTGCTTTTTAAATTGTTAGAAACAAAAGAGCTTCACGCCTTGAAGAGGTTTCAATTTACCAACTTCTTTGGGACACTTTTCCTAAGAAAACATAGGAAGTTGTTTTGTGTTTAATGAAAATTCTCTGTAGGACTCGTATATATTGGTGGGTATATATATATATATATATATATATATATCTAGTCATTGTGTTTGATTGGACTTGATCACAAGGAAGACTATTTCTGTGTGGTCATTAAGCTCGCCATGTTTTTCAGCAAATATAGCAATTGGTTGAACACTCCCTGTGTCTGTAGATGTATAGAAAAAAGTGGCCACTCTATAAGTTGAAGAATACAGCTGAACATATTTACACAACGAAAATTGAGATGTCATCATAATATGGCCAAGTTAATGCACACATCTGAAAACCATAGATTTTTTATTTAGCATTAAATAATCAGAGGTGGTGTTAGATAGAATGCAATCTGTTTTCTAGAATTTATAGACAGTTCTAAAGATAAAAGGTTCTAGATGTGGCTGACACAATCTGACCCGTAACTAAGTGAAAATTCCGTTGGAAAATTGTATTAATTGAATGCGACATCCTTCATCTGTCCAACTATTATTCTAGCTTATAGATGTAAATCTACTCAATTTACTATCTTTTTCATTTAATTTTCTTTTTGATCCGCTTATATTTGTAACCTATTGAATCTATTCTGATGCTCAAATTTTTAGAAGATTCACGAAGTTTGAATTAGTTGGTGACTATATTCTTTTACTCCTCTTGTTAATTACTCTATTGTGCTGTTATTTCCTTTTAATTTAACTGGTCAATTACTAGATTTTTTTGTTACAACACATCAATTATTTGGCTTTTGTTTCAGGAAGTGGCAAAGAAAATAGATTTACATGATGATAAAGCAATGCTAAAGGCCACAAACACAGTTTTCAGATTAAAAGTACAAGGCAAGAAGGATATATATTTGCTAGTAACTTCCACAAATTGAAGATAACATATTGTTCAGTTCATACATAGACACATCCTCTAACAGAATTACAAATGATACATTTTCGAACTATCCCTCTGACATAACTAGAATGACGAGTAGTGATAAGCCCAAGTTCACTCCTTTTCTTCCAATAGGACTATCACGTTGCCCCATGAATGCCTTCAATATCATTTCCTTTGTTACTGGTTGATTAAGCATCCACAATGTCATGCCCTATAAATATATGATTGTATTGCTATGTTTTAACACCCCCCCCCACACCCCCCCCCCCCCCCCCCCCCCAACCCAACCCAACCCAACCCAACCCAAAAAATATATACATATATATCTTCTGAGGCCAGGATGTGGGGGAATATCATCGCTTTCTTTGATGATTGCAGTTATGTGCCAATGTTGACCCATTGCCACATAATTTTTTAATCAACCCTTAACACTCTACTAATACACATCATTATATGATAATTAATGTAAAACATACACAGATAGCAGCAAACTAAAGCAACAAATGATCAGGTGAACATATTGTGTGTGTATGAACGTATTTATACAAATATGTACATTTAGAGATTAGTAAAAAAAGTGATATGATAAACTACTGCCTTGTCATTTGAAAAGATTTAAGTAATACCTGAGTGCCACTTCCATTGTCACTTCCATCCCTAGCATCCAAACCAGTGCTTCCATTATCATCGGCATCATAGCTGCCAGTGTTATTGTCTGACCCTTCATCACTTTTAGACTTTGTACAAGTTTGAGCTTGTATGCCACTTTCACTCCCACCACTACCACTAGACTGGATGAAAAAAAAATAAGAAGAAGAAGAAGAAGAGAGAGTGAAAATTTCCCCAATGCAACTTAAACCAATCCCTTCTTCTAGTAGGGATTGTTCAACAAATGATGCCCTCATTGTTTACATGCTACATCAAAACAAAGTATATGTTCCATATTGTATTCATATATAAATTGGAATAACTTTATTAACTCACACTGTTACATTTCCTCCAAACATGCCGCCAAAGGTTTTTAAGTTCATTCTTTCGAACAGGCTTCAATAAAAAGTCAACTGCACCCTTCGACAAACACTTGACAACTAAACTCACAGAATCAGTAGATGACATCACTGCACACAAAACTTATCAGGTGTAGCAATTAAGAGTATTGGTTTCATAAATATCAAGGAAAAAGAGTTTTATATGCACATAAAACTAGCATAGGAAATGCAAAAGGCAAAAGCACTCACTAATCACAGGAATATTCTTGCAAGTTTTGTGGCTCATTATCTTGCCTAAGAGACCAATGCCTGATAAAGAAGGCATGACTACCTCCATCAAAACAAGATCAATATGATTGGTTAAATCTTTTAAGATTTTCCATGCTTCTAGACCATTTGCTACAGCTGTAACTGCCAAGATCCAGATGATAAAAAAAAATTAAAAAATTAAAAAAATTAAAAAAAGGATGTTGTCATTAAAAGGATAGACAAAATATTTAGTAAATTCATGTTTTGACATACAAACCATCACATCTATAATATATTCTAAATGTTAATATACATGTGAAAAATATAAGAAATGGATTATGACTTGGAAATCTTATGAGATACCAAACCTCAAGGAAATATATCATCAAATTAATGTCATTTATATAGACATCTACTCATTTAGAGATCGTATATCATGAAATGAATCACAAAAATGAGTAAAGAAACAAATGCATAGGTACTTTAATCATAACAGTAAATAGGTCCATCAGAGAATCTATTCACATAACATAATAGCCAACTATACAAATATTGATGCTCCATACCTTACATCTACTTCATCTTCCATCCTGTGGTCAATACATGAATAAGCTGAAAAACTACTTCACCAGGAGATTAATACATTTACACAGATGGATTCACATTTTACATAGCATAAAAGAGAACAATATTATTGACGTTAAATACCTTATATCTACTGTTTGCTTCTTCTTATTCTCTCTACTTTACACCCTTTCTAATAGCTCTTGTACCTTATCTTATTAGTTGACATGAGGGGAGGCTATTGATCGCTTGCGAAAGCTTATCCAAATAGTGTGGTATGGGAGAACTAGGGTTTGGGAGAATCTGCCTCTTTCTAGTTAAGATTTTGGACTGAATTACAATCCAACTATAGTACTGCTTCATATGGTACACTCAAAAGGAATTCTAGCACTTTGAGTCTAATTAAGAAAACAAAAATTTATAAAAAGATAAAAAGCAAGAGAAGACAAAGAATAGGGTAGGAGGGAATATTCCATATCATTTCAAAAAAAAAAAAAAAAAAGCAGCTGGGCAGAAAAGATATACTAAATGCAGGTTGAAAAAGGAAATTCCAGTTTATTCGACTGAATCATACCAAAACACCAAGAAGCTCACTGATCACACCCCGAATCCAGAAACCCAACACTCAATGTGAGATGTAGGTTTAAGGGTTGAAATTAAATTAAAGTAACTTATCAAAAAATTAAAGTAATTTTACTTCTTAAAAACATATTATTCCAATGAGTTCGTATTATAAAATTTATAAATCAATATTTCATAATAGAATAAATTTCCGTCTTAGTAATCTAGAATAATTTTATTTGGTTTTTAAAATGCACTAAATCTTCTCCATAAATTCATTTCCATTCAGACTATGTCGATTAAAATTTAGGCAGTGCCTCTATATAAAAACTCTAAGAAAACAAAGTAAACCTGCTTTGGATTTCATGGAATTTCATAAAATACTCAAACAAGTCTGAACTATAGGCAAAATTTTAGAATTTTAAGGATATTTAATCCATGATTAATACACATTTAAAATAGGCTAGTTCATAAAACTAAGTGCTCCGGCGTGGGCAAAGTGTGTGCGAGTACTTTTCTGATCAAAAAAATAAAAATAAAGCTAAGTGCTAGTGTGTGAGTATGCATGCAAGAAGCATCATGTTTCAAACACTTTCAACTCCTCTTCAGTCTCCTCTTTGTGGCAAGTCTAGAAATGTAAAAATTTAAAGTGAGCTAACATAACTCAGTACAGCGGTGACACTTATTCTTAAATCTATAGAAACCTAATAAGGCTAATACGCATGAAAATTTTCAACGCACCAATAGCAAGAATTTAAAAGGCGGACAATATATCTGGAAGAGAACAATAATCACTTTAACAATCTATCAGAATTTGAAACAATAAATCCAAATAGAAAACTATAACCCCAAGGCATACCTTATACTGTTTATTGTACAGACCTTTAGGACCCTTCCTCAGAATTAGGCTGAGGGCCACTTCCCATCCCCGTCCCCGTTTAACATAGCATCCCCCATCCCCATTTAAGTTCCGCCACCCCGTCCTCGCACTGGCTCACTCCATTAATTTTTTGTTAAAAAGGTATATATAATATTTTGTTAATTTGTTAATGAAAGAAATCCATTGTGGGAAAGCAATATGAGAAATCAACATAATAGAATCAAAAAACTCAATTACTATATTTGATAAGAAACTCAATTAGTATATCTTCTAATAAAGTACCGGGGTATCATGGTAAGTTCATAACACATAAGAGTATCAAAAAAATCAATTAGAATATTTGATAAGAAACTCAATTAGTATATTAAAAATAAAGTACAGGGGTATCATGGTAATTTCATAACATAACCGGCAGGTATACCTTTCCCGGGCCGTCCCTGCCCAAAATCCGCGCAGGTTTTCACTCCATCCCCTTCCCGTCCCCAATTAATCCACCCTACATCCATTCGAAAGGGGTAGGACGGAGCGGGGTAATTTTCCACCCCTACTCAGAATCCTTTATTCTCAGTTGTCATTTAAACCTTTTAGGGCCTCTCACCGTAGGACAGTTCCCCCATAAACATACAATAATCAATGTCACAACATGTATTCAAAATTTTAGGGGCTCTCACCAAAGGGTCGTACTTCCATTAAAATACATGCCAAATATAAGTGATGAGAGAGTTAAACTCCCATTAAAATACATGTCAAATACAAGTGATGAGAGTTACTAACCTTCATAGCTGCAATTTCGAAGTAATGCACTGACAACATGGCGAGTTGAATCATCATTTTCCACCAGAAGAACCTTAAGAGACCTCAGAGGAAGAAACCTCTCCCAGCGAATCACAGGCCCTTGAGGCTGTTGCTGCAGACTCGGCAGAACAGTGTCTGCTTCAGCCAACTTAATACTCCCACAGCTTACATCTTCATTAATCCTTAACCCATCTTCCTCTAAGAGATCCTGCCCTTCACCGGCAAGTCCATTCCTCAATTCCTTTTGCTTCATCCTTTATGTGGTAATCGAGTGGCCAGTTTGCTGAAATGGGTGCTAGCTTTTCCAGTCTTTTGGTTGTGGGGCAATTATCGTTCATCCAAACACGCCTTATCAACCAGATTCAAAAAGACCAATGATGAATAAGGCACTGGATTGAGTCAGCAACAAAACCTCCAATTTAGAAGAGAAGTTGCACATACTGTTGTCTTCAAGAAACCAACCACAAAAATACCGAATCTTTCAACAAGTTCTGAACCAAAGATATGTACAGAATTAGAATCTACAAATAAACCAAAACATAATGAATAAATACAAATGTAACACAAAGTATCAACCACTCCAATCAAATGTGCGAAGAGCTGTAAATTAGATACTCCAAACCCTAACATACATACTACAAGTAGTACTTTTCTGCAAATAAAGATACAAATCTGCTCTAATCAACACCTCTGTTATCTTATCTGTTTGAATGAGTGCTGCAGAAATTGCACTTACCTTAGGTAACAATCTCAACAAACAAATTTTAACACTATAAACTCTACCATATATTAAGAAGTCAAAATATTCTCATGTGAAACCTGGAACTATGCAATCTGTAAACAATTCAGATTCAGAATATAGTGTATGTAGAAAAAAATAGTGATTACGATTCTTCAGGTCCTGAAGAAATTAAAAATAATCTCTAACTTAGTCTAAACAGGGCATTAACGCTCTCTCACAGTAATTTAGAAACACAACACTCAAAATCCTACTTTTTCAATATATCAAAGTTTCTCAGAATTCAGAAACAAAATATTGCATAATAAAACAACAATTATCTAGAAAGAAAGAAATCAAATTTTCCAGAGAAAATTTAAGCAGGAAAATTGTTCTTTCATATTAAACACTGAATCAAATCACCTTCCAAGCTTCATTGATGAAGAACAGAGCCAATCTTCGAAATTGGGAAAATAAATTAGGTCAGATTTGAAAATTTTGACACAAAGATTAACCAAAATTACTCCAAATGATTTAGAGCAGTTTTAGGGTTTGTTGTTGAAATGTGTCAACGAGAAGAGCTAAAAAGATATGTCTGGTGTTTGGATATTATATTAGTCCAAGTTGGTTGATGACGTGGATATTGTGGAGGTGGGGATTGTCGGAGGTGTTCCACGTAGGATTACATGTAAGCGAGAACAGTATGACGTGTAGTGAAATCTAAAGCCGGACGCTGGATAGTTTAGGCTAGATCTGAAATGATCTTAGATCGGATTGTGGACACGTGGCTCGCTGTGGACTCAGTTAAAGGTCTTTTGTGAGGAAATGACCTTTTTGTCCCTTCAAATTAAAGAAGTGGATTGCGCCGTTTCTTGTGGTTTGAGACTAACGACGAATTTAACGGCGGTGATGTTTGCTTAATGCCGAAATTGCCCTTATACTTTTCCCAAAATACCTCCAAGAGTGGTCAAGCGGTCCACATCAGCTAAAAATATCTGGCTGACTGACAAATCATCCGGTGGCACGTTACAAATTAAAAAAAGGTCGGGACTTTAGTTTGTGACTCTGTATTGTTTCAATCACTTTGTCAGCAGACCGACCAAAACAATGACCCCTTTCGTTGTGCACCAAATGAAGCAGAAATAAAAAAATAAAATTTTAATAATTTGAAATTATTACTTTTAAAATATTATAAACATTGTTATATAATATTAATTGAGGTATGATATTATTTATGTTCGACCCGATTTTTAGGAATAAAAGATGATGATTTTATTTATGAATAATTATTTGGGTAACAATAATGTAACTTCTTCTGTTTATTTTTATTAATATTATTTTGATGGAAATGAAAAAAATAAGATTTATGTAACCAATTCTTGAAATAGTTAAAAAAAAAAAATCTATTAAGTTTAGCTGAGTTGAGCTACCCGCACTACGTTCCTAATGTATCATACTCCCTCCCTCCCTCCCATTTTAAGGTCCATTTTTTCTAATATAATTTTTAAGATTGATTTTTAATATTTTTTTTTGTTGTATTCATAATGAATAAGTTTAATAATTTATTAATAGTAAATTTTCAATGAAAAAAAGATAAATGAGTAAATTAAAAATATTGTAAAATAATATATATTACTGTTTGGTGAATGATTTGTAAACTTTAAAACATTACAATTCTTTTTGAATTACATTGGAGGGGAGTTAGTTCACGTTGGAAGGTAATTTGCGTCACTTTATTGACTAGATGTACTTTCGAGATAGAGTTAAATTATATCAGGTTTATAACTTTTACATTCAGTAATGTGTTATCACATGTTGTACAAGTCTCCCTCATTTCTAAAACTTAATTTGTTAGATTCGCTCTCTCAATTATTTATAGGTATCGACATTATTTCCGGCAACTCTCCACATAAATATTTTCTATTCCATAATATTCTCTAAACTTTATATCCATATACAAGTCCTACAGTACTGTAAAATCTTCTCTACTCTCTACATCTATCTACAAATCTTTCAATATATTAAAATCTTCCCAACTCTCTCTACACTCTAAAGTTCTGTGCACAACTCCGGAAGACTATATAAAAAATTCCATTCCCTTGAAGAAAGTCATTTAGATAGAGTTCAGCGCTCGCATGTGACCTGTGTGGCTCTTTGCAAGTAGTCGGGCACGACTTTGGAAGACGAAGTCGTCTCTTTGTAGGATCCATAGAGTAGTGAAAATAGACGACTAGGTTTTTTCTTAATACTCATCTTTGCGACCTTTTGATGAATGTAAAAGTGTACTCTCTCTCTATTGCCAGAAAGCTATGCCAGATTCATTTCTTACCTTTTTATCTTATAAAGTTCGTTTATTTTTTTCTAGTCATAGTCATGCCAGTTACTTTCCTACCTAACCTTTGCATATTCAAGTAATATATGTGGCCTTAAGTTTGTTTAACTTGTTCTTTCCAATCTGGCAAAAAGCAAAAAGAACTAGGATTGTGGACACCTCCTAGCTTTGCATCGTATTCCTATTATGTGGACTACGTTTCTAATATCCTAAATAAAAAATAAAACAAAAAAATAAAATAAAATAATAAGACAAAAAGACAGAGAGAGTGGACAGTTACTACTTAGTAGTAGCCAAGATGAGTACAAAGAGAGAGGGGATGAGGAATCTAAGAGAGAGGAAAAAGAGCAGAAAAGTGAACAGACACAAATTTCTAAAAGGGGCATATATCATACATGGAGTGTATGGACTGGAGTACGTTACACTTTTGGTAAGTATATCCGTCAGGTGGTATGCTCACCTCACTGAATATCTTTTCGGAGGAGGGGAAGATATAAATATATGAGATAATTATATTTACCACTAATATTAGAAAATTTATAAACTTCCCCTCGCGTTTAGGTCTGAGTAACACTAACTTCTCATTTTTAAAAGGGACATATATGATACCAGGAGCGTATGGACTGTAGTATGTTGCACTTTTGGTGTGTATATCCATCATGTGATATGCTTGTCTCACTGGATATCTTTTTTGGCAGAGGGGAAGACATATGTAAGTGAGATAATTACGTCTACGTTCCTTGTAGATTATGAATTTTCCTTTAGTTTTAAGTATAACAATGACGTCCCATCTGGTTTAGGTGTGAGTAACACTGATTGACCTCCCATGTCATAAAATCTGACACTATTGTTTGTTGATGTCATGCTCAATATTTCTTTAACATTCAAAAATGCTCTTAGAAAGCTTGAAAATGTTAGTTTGTACATTAAAAATAAATAAATATTTTACAATGAGTATAATAGTAATTTAACATTTTAGGATCAAAGTCAGCATTAACAGGGAGAGATCAGCGCTATATTTGAAGACATAGTGAAGGTCATTGTTATTTAATCTACAGGGATGTAAGTGTAACTATCCTTAAATAAAATTACCAACTTGACCATTTGCCGAAGTATTATATTAGGTCATTCACTAAAATTGCCTTTTGGAGAGAAGGATGGATTGTTACTGTGGACGACTTGGAAGATATATATTAACAAAGGATATGTATGATTATTATTTTGGTTGAATAAGACATATAGTAACCAAACCTTACCTTTTACATGGACTTGACGCGCATTTGTATGGTCGATAGAGTCTTACGTATCTTATCAGTTAGGTATTTTATATCTAAAAAGGTTTAATATTGAGATAAGGAAATTTAATTGTTTTGTCTCGTTCAATATTAAGATAAGGAAATGATAATCTCCTAAAACCTAATTCATTCATGTTTAATATTTTCTCAACTTTATATACTATGTAGCTCAAAAACAGTGAAAACATTTTTTTGAGGCTTGGTCATTTGTAACACTATTATGATAGAACAAATTTCAAAAAATACAAATCAAATGAACATTTGAATTGCTTTAAGTTCTTCCTGTTTATTAAAAACATTGATGTTGTGTTTATATGTTCCTTTTTTTATTTATTAATTTAGCTGAAACTTTAAATAGAATGCTACAACACTTCAAGCTAAAAGCGAATGTAGTTTAACTTATTTGATAGTTGGTCCTGCTAAAGTTAAGTCTAATATAAATTGTAATTAGAACTGTCATTTCTCCGATCGGACATTGAAAATCAGTTAAACATACGTTCGATTTTAAAATGAAGTGACTTTAATACATTATTCACAACAATCGAATTTTTGTTGAAACATAATCAAAGATCATATTACACATACTTACCCAAAAATAAAATATCAAATCAAAGATCATATATGATCACTCAACCATATACTTTTACAATAAAAGCAACAGATGATGATAAACTATAAGTGTTTTTTTTTTTTTTTTTCCCCTTTTTTGGTAAGAGCACACAACCCAACCCCAACACACTAACACGCAGTGCCGGAGCCACACATGCATGGAGGCCAACTTTGCAGCTATTTTACAAGGTGCCTGCAGTATATATATATATATATATATATATAAAAGTCTATAGAAAATATCTCTGCAAGTTTGGTCTCCATATATATATATAAGATTGTTAGGGAAATGGAAGTTTTAAAAACTTGTTGAGGAATTTTTAAATAAAAATCTTGATTCATGTATAGAGACAAGTTTTATGCATGAAGAGAAAAATGATTCATTCATTTAGAGTTAGTAAACTTACATCAAAAGTTTGAGTAAACCTTAAATTTGTCTTTAGATCCCTTAGCTAGATGCCTTTTCCTTAGACCTTCATCTTCTTAGTAGTGATCTTGCTTTTAGGAATCACCCATAAACCTTCATGAATGACCTTGGAGACAAAACTTGTGGGAGTCTCCTTTAGATAAAAAAAAAAAACTAACTCTAAATTCTTAAAGGGAAATTTTTTTTTCTGTCTTCCTTTAGAGATATTTTCTATATAGACTTTTTTTATATATATAGGAGTGTTAGGGAAATGGAAGTTTTAAAAACTTTTAAAGGGATTTTCAAATAAAGATCTTGATTCATGTGTGGAGACAAGTTTTATGCATGTTGACGTTAAAATCGACTACTTCGATCCGATTCGGAATTGATGTGATACGGGCATGCCAAAACTAATTATATGGTTCAAGGTTAAATAGTCAACTATAGTCTCTTTAGGAAGGTTAACTTTCAGACGATGCGAGGATGAAGAGAATAGTAAAACTCCTCTTTGAGTTCAAGAATTGCCTTAATTAAAAGGACTTTTAATTGAATAAATTATAGTAACGTTTTTTAGAATAGAAAGGGGAGAGAAATAAATATAGAAAGAAATATAGAGAGAAAGATTGAGAGAGAGAGATAGAGATAGAGAAAAAATAGCAAGGATGTTATTCTGGGAAAGGCTTGAGAAAGCAATAACAATATTAAAATGAGTCTGAGGGTGCTGGACCTCTATCTCAGCATGTCTCTTTAATTATTTATAGAATAAAACATAGAAACAAACTCCTATATGCAAGTATTTTACTTGCATTAGAACTCTATCACTTAATCAACTATTAATTTAAATTAAACTAATCCTAAAGATAAATATAAATATTTAATTAAAACCAACTAACAGATAAATACTAGCACTTGATCCCTATTCATTAGTTAATTCAAAGCTTCTCCAATCTTCC